TTAAGATGGGCTTGAATAGAAATGTTAAACGTCGAAATTCATTGGTTATACGGTTACGCGTTACTATATGCAGAAAATATGTGTCATGGAATTTCAAACTGTACGTACGTACTATAATACATCGTATGTTGGAGTCAGATATTATTAAATTTATATTACACTACAGGAATTATTTTTATAATTTATATTATTTATTCTAAATTTTAATATGAATACGCTAAAATGGCGCGCTTGTAGTGCCCTAGTAATAGTAAAATGTGTGTGTGTGTGTGTTTTCTTAATCACTGTTCGTCTCTCCCTCCCCTCTCTCTCTCTCTCTCTCTCTCTCTCACTTTCTCTCTCTCTCTCTCTCTCCTATATCCTTCTTGAGCCGGAGACAACGGCGTATGCAGTCTCCTGCATACGCTAGTTTCATGTATCCCTGCGTCGTATACACTTTGCGCTACGTTGGTACTTTTTGTACTAACTTTTCTATTATATCTATACGTCTATCCTGTATCTATATTGGTATATGTCTATATGCATCCATATCAACATATCTAAATATCTATTCTGTATATCTAATATTATTATAGTCGTGGTGGGGTCGGGCGCTCATTATGGCGGCTCTGCGTTACTCTGCGTTATTTTACTCAACACTTTGTTAGTGCATTCTTTAATGTTCCGTACGACCAACGCGCACCGTCTTACAACGCCGTCGGCGTGTACCTCTATTTCTAATGAAACCTAAGGGGTTGTTCCCCTAAGGTGTGAATAAACTATCTATCTATCTATCTCCTATAGACAGTCGATTCGGTTTGCAATTATCAATACTCGTTTTCGGTATAACAGTATGGCGTTACATCTGTCGCACCTTCTTCCACATATTTTGCCGATATACTGCTTCCTTATGTTCAATGACGCGTCGTAACGCGCGCGAAAATGTCGGGAACACACGTGCGATCAGTGGGGATATGCGCGCAGATTTTCCGCGGATTCGGCACTCAGGGTAGAGAGGCGCGCGAGCTCTCCCCTGCCCTACTCTTGCCACACACAGCACTCGCTAAAACCCTCCGTACATCGCACCGCGGCCGCGGGGAGAATTCGCTCTCGCTGCCTTCGGACGTACTTATTTATTAGGGATTTATGCGTCGCATGCGGATTATTATGTAGGTACGCACAAGGAGGTATTATTCGTCCCACACGTTCGATCGTTACCGCGGCTTCAATGACCTCTCTGAGGTCGAGTATGTCGGGTATGTCTCTTGGGCGTGTATGTAAATTGCGTGCTTGTGTCGCACGAGGAAGTGTAACGTTCGCGCGAATGCGCACGGGACAAAACGATGCGCAAGCACGTTTTCTTCTCCCGAAGCGTCGGCGAATGTTTACAGCATGGGCGCTCCGTTCAATGGAAAAAGTCGCACTTTCCCCTTTCTTCCCGCTCTCTCTCTCCCTCTCTCTCTCTCTCTCTCTCTCTCTCTCTCTCTCTCTCTCTCTCTCTCTCTCTCTCTCTCCCTCCCTCCCTCTCTCTCTCTCTCTCTCTCTCTCTCGCTCTTTCGTAATTACTCGTGGAGGACAGAACGGTCATTTTGCACATTCCGCTTGCATTGAATATTTTCTGTTGTTTCACAAGGCACGACGACGAATCCGTCATCCGCGATGAAGTCTCGCGGCCTGGCGCCACGACCGGAGATATTGCGACGTATCGCGAATGGAATTAATCGCGGCGCCACACGATTATCAATGTGCAAACGATTATCATAAAGCAGAGACGGAAAATAGTATAAAATTTAAATACTAACGACAAGTGTGTGTGTCTGGTCTGCCGAGAGGCAGGGAAAGGTGCTGCTGCTTTTCCTCACGACGTGCCGTCGGCCTCGTATCGCGTCGCGCGCGGCCCGGCTTATCGCATTCGCATTAGCAGCTATCCCAGCCATGAATTAACGCCTGATTATGCGCGGCATTCTCTTGAGCATGCATTTATAATTACACGTCCGTGGTGTAGCAGGTGTATTTAATTTAATTTCAATGGCGGCAAATAGCATCTCTCCCCTGCCGCTCGGATAACGGGTCGGATAAGTCCGGGATAAGCCCTAACCGGACAAGAAAAATGGACCAATCAGTTTATTCGAGCGGCGGCGGTAGCAAAAGAGCCTTCGACGAGGAGCCCTGGCTCCTCAAACGTGCAATTGTGAGGACATATTCCAAGCATTCTCTCTCCTACGAATCGCGGCCGCAGAGTTGCTTCTACTGGATGGAGTACGTCGTTCTTCTACGTCGTTCAGAGACTTTGCGCTTTGCAAATACAAAACTTTGCCGCAACTTTGCATCTTTACGTACGCACATGCGCGCGCGCGCGCGCTCGCGCGCACGCAAGGTCAAAAATCGTTATCCCGGCTTACGCCGCCGAGAGAGGCATATATGGCGTGCAGTGTACGCGCGCGTGCGTCGCGTACGTGTATACACACGCACGAAAGCAAGTGGCGTGTGCACGTCGTTAAATGATGGGAATGTTGGCGCCGTCGTATGACTCCGCGCGGAGATGCGTACAGCCACGCATAGCTACGGTCTGGGCCGAATGATGTAGCCGCGAGAGAAGTTTGCGGCGCTAGCACGAAGATCTCTCTCGGCTACGTCCAATCTGGAGTAATAAAGCGCGCGCGAAGCGCGCACCTCCTCTCCCTGTCCCTGTCCCTCCTCGCCTAACCCCGCTCGTCTTACCTCAGCCCCTGCCGTGCGCTGCTCATCCGATCCGCCGCCTCATCTCATCGTCGCGCCGCATCGCGCCGAGCCGCGCCGCGCCTCGCGCCGGGCGAAACGAGGTGTCGGCGCCCACGCCGCGCGTATAACGCCATAGAAATTCCTCGTGGGCATTATGAATTTTTTTTTCACCTGCGCTCGCGTCAGGCGAAAAATCCGCGCCATTGTTTGCAGCCGAGCATGGCGCCACGGTGACGATACACCGGCGATATGCGCGGCCCGTCGCGACTCCAGACAGCGCGACTTTTCTCCAAAGGACGTCTTGAGACTTCTATTGAGACTGCGCTATTGTTGCCTTCTTAATCCGAGCGTCGCGATATACTTGCTCGTTGTCGACAATGACAGCAGTGTGGGAATCCGCTCGACCCGGTTTATATATCGGTTCATTTGTGCGCCGGCGACCATTTTGGTAAAGCCGATAGATCGCTCCTTGCGAGAACAGAGAGGCGATTATGAAGGCGATCGTCTGTCTTCCTTTAGCGTGAATTCGTGAAGTAAGTGTGAACACATTTCCACACGCTTTCATATTAGAAAATGATAGTTTTTCACGAATACATGTCAAAGAAGAGGAAATTCGTGACCGACAGTTATGGAACGAAAGCATCTTTGAAATATGTCACGCAGAACAGAATTTAACAATATCTAAATAATAACGATATCTAAATAACGATATCTAAATAATACTATTCTAGTAGTAGACATTTCCAACGGACTTATAAAGATATCTCAAAGATATCTAAAAGGTGTTCTATTTCTTCAGGAGTTTCTTTGACGTTTTCAAGACTCTTTTAGGTCTTTTAGAAGCTTCTGCTAATCGGGAAGACGTTGTATGTTCGATACGCTGTCGGAGTACCTTAACGTTGTCAATTGGAAATCGTCTGAAACTTGTTTTTCAAGCGAACCGGTATCCTCGATGTTCAACTGTTCTTTGAACTGTTTTCTTATTTAGCAGATGACGATTAGGAAATCGTTCCTCGAACAGATGCCCTACCCCAGACAGAACAGAAAATCATGATGACATCAAAATGACGTCAAAATGATGAGGAAAACTCTTTTTCTCATTATGATTCGGTCATCATTTTCTTGTTATTTTGATCTTGTCATGTTGACGTCATCATAGTTTTCTGTTCTGCCTGGGTACTTCACCTGCAATGTAGCTGAGCGAGGTGCCTGTTCGACTTTGGAACTATGCTTTGGAATAACAGCATAGCGTGGAATCCAAAAATGACGAGAACCCCTACGAGGGTTTCTCAAGACACTTCTCCGACCTCTGCGACCTCTAAACAAGAAGATGCAAAACGCCTTAGCCATATCGCTTCACCGCTGCTGTCGGTTAAATCGTTTGGTGCATGTCCGTGCTACATCCATAAATGAGTAACTTGCCCCCTATTTTTTGCATCCCTAGATTAGCTCCTAAGGGGAGATGTCTCGAAAGCTAGAGATGGTATAGATGGCGCTCATCTACACCTTTCTACACTCGGGAAAATTCCATTTATACACGCTGTTGTACTCCCCCTTCTCTCTCTCTTTCTCTATCTCTCTGTCTCTCTCTCTCTCTCTCTCTCTCTCTCTCTCTCTCTCTCTCTCTCTCTCTCTGTGTCTCTCTTTTTCTCTCTGTAGTATGCTATAGAGAGCATAATAAAGATATGTCTCTAGCTAACGCCTGACTTAACTCCTGACATTCGTTTCACATTGCAATTTAAATTCTGGATATATAATCACTTTATCAATGCGTAAGAAAAATGTGGTTCCCCAGTTTTTCGTACATGATGATACGTTCTCAACTTGAAGTATAATTCAAAGTGTCTATTCGTCGCTATTAGTACCAAAAATCAACAATTACCAACGAAGTACGGTTTAATTCATAATCATGGCTGTCTTAACCTGGATTTGAAATGAGACTCTTTTATCTATAATTTAGACACTTTTCCTTGTATTTTGTTTCAAAAGTATAACCAACTGTACATAACTAATTTATCACTTTATCTTCTACATTTGTCCGTATTAATATACCATGTATAGAATTATTACGTCTATTGTGATCGATATATATCTTTATTGTTTTATATCAATGTAAAACAGAGTAAGTTTGTTAATTTTAGAATTTTGAGTTTCAAATTATCCTAGAACGACAGAGAATAATTATAACTTAAATTAAAGCTATTGTATGCGTTTGGAGAAATAGAGATACAATACTAAATATAAATATTATGTATTATGTATCTACGAATATGATCAAAGTCAATTATAATTTTTTGTAGCCAAAGTACAAAATGCGTAGCAGAAGTAACTCTGGAGTCCGTTTGGACTATTACCAACGAATTGTTCATAAAATAATTATGAATCATCAGAATCCTGTAACAGGACTCTTTCCTGCCAGTCCTAACAATGACCATGCGTGGATACGTGACAATATTTATTGTATACTTGCTGTATGGGGTTTGTCAATGGCATACAAAAAGATAGCCGATGCCGATGAAGACAGAGCAAAAACTTATGAACTCGAACAGAGTTGTGTTAAGCTGATGAGAGGTTTACTGATGGCAATGATGCAGCAAAAGGAGAAAGTAGAAAAGTTCAAGTCTAGTCAAAATCCACACGATGCTTTGCATGCAAAGTATAGCTCTGTTAATTGTCAAACTGTAGTTGGGGACACCGAATGGGGACATCTTCAAATAGATGCCATTTCCCTGTATCTTCTAATCCTGGCTCAGATGACAGCTTCTGGCTTGCAAATCATTTTCAACTTAGATGAGGTAATAATGCAATGACTTGTAAGATATATATACATACATAAGATATATATACATGCATTTGAAAAAGAAATAGAAAAGATATATATACATGCATTTGAAAAAGAAATTATACAATTTCCATTGATCAGATATTCAAACTCCTAATTTGCAACATTCAATGTCCCAGGTGGCCTTTATCCAGAACTTAGTGTTTTACATCGAATCTGCTTACTGTACTCCAGACTATGGGATTTGGGAACGGGGGGATAAGACAAATCATGGTTTGCCAGAATTAAACGCAAGCAGTATTGGAATGGCAAAAGCTGCAATGGAGGCAATGAATGAATTGGATCTGTTTGGTGCGAGGGGCGGGCCCACATCGGTTATTCACGTTCTAGGTGACGAAGCGCAGAAATGTCAAGCAGTATTGCAGTCCATGTTGCCCAGAGAATCAAATTCTAAGGAATTAGACAGCGGCTTATTGTCGATTATAAGTTTTCCCGCATTCGCAGTGGATGAGCCTAATTTAATTCACTTGACGAGAGACGCCATCGTCAAGAAATTACAAGGTCGATATGGATGTAAGAGGTTTTTAAGGGATGGATACAGAACACCAAAGGAAGACCTAAACAGGCAAGAGATTTACACTGGCAAATATCCTACATTTTTAGAAATTTTAAATGATTCGGATAATGTTTCTTATTTGGAAATAGACTGTACTACGAACCTTGGGAACTCCGTATGTTCGAGAACATCGAATGCGAATGGCCCTTGTTCTTTTGTTACTTGATATTGGATTATTGCTTCCAAGGTAACAAAGAAGGAGTTGCAATATACATGAAGTATCTGGAGGACGTAATGATTAAAGCAGAGGATGGTATGAAATTAGTGCCCGAGTTATATTCCGTCGCGTCCGAGGACGTATCGGCGGAATACGCCGAACCCGGTAGTCAAAGTCGAATAGCATTAGGCAGATGTCCGTTTATGTGGGCTCAGTCTCTCTATATTCTGGGGAAATTGCTGCAGGAGGTAAAAGCACAGATGAAATTGTCTTAGTATTAATTTTCATTTGATATAATTACAGCATCGACTGTTGCATCAGTAGCAAATAAAGCAAATTGATCAGGACCATGTTTGTAGGGGTTTCTCGCTGTCGGTGAATTGGATCCGTTGAACAGACGATTGTGCAGTGAGAAAAAGCCGGACGTGGTGGTGCAAGTGGTTATTCTGGCAGAAGACACAGAAATCAGAGAGAAAATGGCGCAGCACGATATACACGTGCAAACAATCGCGGAGGTTGCACCGATCGAAGTACAGCCCGCGAAGGTTCTGAGTAATCTCTATACATACCTGGGTAAGACTAGAAATAATCATTGAGACTCGATTATAAAACTTGAAATAAGCGCATTGCTTTAAATGATAATCCAACAAATTGATGATATTTTATGTTCAGGTCGCAATAAGAAACTGGGACTATCTGGGCGTAAGTCGAGAGACGTGGGAATTCTCAGCACTAGTAAATTGTATTCCTTGCAGGACAAGATATTCGCGTTTACACCGCAGGTAAATAACAACAGCTCGTGATGAGCCTACTACCTTTCTCTTTCTTTTCCCTTCCCTCCTCTCTCTCTCTCTCTCTCTCATATTTATATTTCTTTTCTTACATTACCTCGTGTTCTTGCATCGAACACCAGTTGACCGACATGACCCGCTTCTACATCGCATCGGACTATGAGCTCATGATTGATATATTCAAAGGCGAAATTAATTTCTTGAAGTCTAGTTGGCAGAACATGTTGGGCCGGCCTCTTGTGGTCATGCCCCTGAAGAGCATTCATCTAGGTAATTCAAAGATTTGAAGATCACAGCTTTTCTCTTATAGTTGTGCTAGAGTTTGATAGCCCTGGACTTCGTTCAAGCCATCATAGTCAAGCAAAGTGGCTTGCCAAATACAGAATTTCCTGTGTGTGAGATCTTCGTTCGTTTCGAAAGCTATGGTTGTCCGCTCTGGAACGACTAACATGTTTGCCTGCATGCACTTGTTCTTGTCATAGTCTTCACTTAACATCTAGTTAACCCTCTATGGTCTAATATGATTTCTCAAACGCATTGTGCAAAAATGAGTCTAATTCGACGAATATTTCGTCAATTCAATTTCGAAATTTGCAATCTCTCGGCAGAGAACAATATTGTCCATAGAGGGTTAATAGGGGGGTTTCTCAATCTTTTGCGGTCAACATCCGGCTTGTAGCTGGGATATAGCATAGAGGAAATAATTCGAATTACAACTGTCAAAGTTCAACATAGTCTACGGTCTAATTATTTACAGAAGGTTACATCTCACCGATTATTGTGATACTGACATGTATCCTAACAGATAGAGTCCTGAGTCATCTGTACTTCAAGCTGTTGGGGTTGCATAGGGGTTGTTTCTGATTACTGAGATGCATCGCCATAGTATCGTAGTTTTATAATCGATTGCTCTTAGCTATTTTCTATTATTATTTCAAATATATTCGTGTTGTTTTTCTTCGCTTACATTTTTTATTATATTTTAAATTATAGCGGGAAGGACAAGAAAATAACACTGAAAATAATCGAACATAAAACTGCAATATTTGAATCTTCAATAATGAAAATAATCTTCAATATTTGAGTCCAATGAACATCTCGGAAATTAGATACGATCCCAAAGTGGTCTAAAATGAACGTGACTCAGGACCTTCTATAATACATCTATATCAAAATCGCAGCAATCTGTAACTTTTTATAGCGTGAGCTATAACTTTTTATAAATAATGATTTAGATTACACTCGAATTAATGTTTCATGACGCTGTTCGTTACTAACACGTCTTGAGATCACTTGATATCATCTCAAGAGTAGATAGGATTTTTGTGAGTTGTGTTGATATTGAAGATGTTCGACGGAGATAATGAGGGCCAATTACATTGTCTTCGAAGGAGGCGATGGAGAAACCATTTGCGGAGATGCAGCTTATTATGTGTTTGTTGGTATACGCGTGTGTTGCATGTGTTAGAACTTTGACACGGAGGAATACTACATGACAAATGACGCCGCCCTGCTTGTCAACACTTTTACAACCAATCTGGCCTTCCTTACAATCAACTGGAAACAAATGCTCGGCAGGCCAACCATAACACTTGTCGCTACTCATAATCATCTAGGTATGCCCAATCGTCGCAAGCTTTAGGTCATCCTACCGCAAAAAGCTTGACACAGATAGTACACATTATGTGATGATCATGTACTATAGTCTCTCGTAGCATGAAATCAATTGTCCGAAGTCGCATAGAAAAGCTAAGAATATGTTATTGTCTTTATTGCGTGAAGAACGCAACTGTTTCTCTTCCTTATTCTGGTCAAGATCAATCTATAACTCTTTTACAGATCAAGGTAAGATACCGTTAGCCATGATAACTACCATGAAGAAGCTCAAGAGCGGCTACATCAATGGCACCAGAGTGTCATTGGGAAATTTGAACGATTTCTTGAGCACCTCTTGTATCACGAATCTTAGCTTCTTAGGAAGCTCCGAAGATGGCCGTCCTGACAAGCTGAATCCTCAGGTATATGACCTTCAAATAATGAACTGAGTATTCTTATTATACAGTTTGTAAAGTAGTATCATAACCGCGCATATGCTAATATATCTTTTCACGTTCAAAAGGTTCAACAATATTTGGAAGAACATTTGATGCGTCCGTTCCCTCATCGTACGGGACTTCTGTCAAGTAAGCAAGGCCTGACGCGTACGGGGAAAAATATACGACGTAGGATGTCTGTGAAAGGCGCAATAAAGAAAACTCGATCTATAGCCGTCGAACGTAAGTAACGTTCGTCCCGGTGACGAACTCTAGACTGAGTGGTTTCCGTTTTCTAATTGTGTGTTGACTATATGTTTTTTAAAGAGGACCCTTAAACGCAATGTCTGTCTTTTTCTTGTCACGGTTCCTACCACTTTCCAAGAACGTAAGTGCACTAATTGAATACTATACTGATTAATATATATCCGTCTTGATTTAATAGAAATTTATCATAAATGTCTGTGAGAGTGTTGCAACGTTACCGAAAAAAGCGTCGTGTTCTCGATCGTTGATATTGCTTATAAACATATTTACTGACGAATTATTTTTCACGTTTCTAACGAATAATCGCACAGATAATTTTATAATTCGCTTTTATGTTTATATATTAACTAGTTCGTACGATAAGTAATATTTTATTAATAATATCAAATTTGTACATACATATATATATATATATATATATACATACAGCGTGTCCCAAAAGTAACGGACCACCCTCATAACTCTTCAGTATTGAAGTTCCAAAGAAAATGATCTGAACAAAAGGGTTGTAGGGATTTAAGTGAGCTACCTTATGATGACCTTGACTATGACCTTGACCTCTATTTTGAAGGTCAACTTGCGTTTTTTAAATGGGAACCCTTATTTTTTATTACATTGTTTTTTTCTACTAGTTAATTTGAACTTTTGTCTAAAACATTTTTTTATTTATCGAAAATTTTTTTAGATATTTCAGAAAATATTGATAACTTTTTCAATATTTAACACGTTGAATGCCACGGGGGTCACCGGTGACCGGCACTCAACTTGGCGGTAGCGCCGTGGGGACCACCGGTGACCGGCGCGCCAAGATTAGTAGAAATACATAATTAGAACAAATGTCAATACTTAAAAATTCTTCATTATTACCATCGTTACTACAATGGTTTGAAGAAATTAATGCAGTATAAAACATAAAAATAGTTTTATTTATACATGTTGTCGATAATATTTCACACATAATTGTATCGCATAATAAAAAATTCATCGTGGCGCCACGGGCAATCCCTGTAAAACTAGCGTGGCATTCAACGTGTTAACTTACGATATCTCGCTAACTATTTGTCGGAAGAAAAAGTGGTACTATTTAGTCTTAAGAATATACTGTTACAGTAGCGCCCTTTTGTTAACTTACTGGCTTTTGGAAATTTAAAAATCATCAAATTAACAAAAATCAGGACGCTATTGTAACAATATATTCTTGAGACTAAATAAAGCAAGAAAGTCTAGTACCACTTTTTCTTCCGATAAATAGTTAGCGAGATATCGTAAGTTAAATATTAAAAAAGTTATCAAGTATTCCTCAAATATCTCAAAAAATACTAGACAAATTGAAAAATGTTTTAGACAAAAGTTGTTCAGATTAACTAGAAAAAAACAGTGTAATAAAAATAAGGATTCCCGTTTAAAAAATGCAAATTGACCTTCAAATGACCTTGAAAATAGAAGTCAAGGTCAATAGAGGTCAAAGTCAAGGTCATCATAAGGTAGCTCACTTAAATCCCTACAACTTTTATTCAGATCATTTTCCTTGAAACTTCAATACTGAAGAGTTATTACGGTGGTCCGTTACTTTTGGGACATCCTGTATATATATAGAAATATTTGATTTTTTTGCATCATTTTAGCCGAGATTCTTGGTATGGCAGGAGAAGACCGTAGGCACTCAACCGCTTTAATCGCAAACCCGTTTATTGAAGTGACGGACACCACGTTGTCTCCCAGTGCTACCCAACCGGTGACGATTGATCGCACACCGTCGCCGACGGACGAGCTTATGCCATGGAAAAATTCGCCTAAAATACATAGACATAGAACGGCATCCGAAACTCAATATGCCGAGACAGAGGTGGAAGAATTGCTGTCCATGCTGCGTGAGACGGAAAGCCTCGAAGAGCAAGGAGATATCTTGCAGTATATTGTTAGTTATCTCCTGATTTCAATTCACAAGATAAACTCCTATATTAACTTTTATTTGTGCTGCTGCACTCCATATCTCATGACAATCTTTGCTAAAGATTCTTTATGATATTTAAAACATCTCACACGCACAAGGTCCAAGTTGAAATCTAGATTTATTTATAATACATATATATATATGTATACAAGTGCAACAAGTTGCAGTAGATTGCAATTCGAAATTAAACCGATAAGAACAAGATACACGTTATTTTATTATTTATTTTTATGTTATGTGTGTAGGTGGATTCGAAAGGGTTGTATTTCAATACTGGAGTACTCGAGGAAGGACATCCCGTCCTGGTGAAAGATCTGTTGAAGAGTCTCTATGAGAAGGCTTGCCAACAGAAAATGTGGGGCATCGTAAGACACAGCGCCGGTATGTTGGGCAAACGAGTGGAAGACTTGGCGAAAGCTGTGACTGATCTGCTGGTGCGTCAGAAACAAGTGACCGTCGGCATGCCGCCGACCAACGAACACACAATAGTCGCTCCTTTGCCGGAGAACGAACTGCGAGCTTTGATCCATCAAGCGTACGGCGATGATGAATCGACCGCGATGTTGACGCAGGAGTTGCTCGTCTACTTGGCGATGTTCATCAGAACGGAACCACAGCTGTTTCACGAGATGCTGAGGCTGCGGGTCGGCCTGATCATTCAAGTCATGGCGACAGAATTGTCGCGAACGTTGATCTGCACCGGTGAAGAAGCCTCTGAACATTTGTTAAATTTATCTCCATTCGAGATGAAGAACTTGCTGCATCATATTATGAGCGGAAAGGAGTTCGCTATTAGCAGTGGTATTATTTTCTACTTCATTACTTGCATGCGATCGAAAAATTTGAATGTTCGGATTTGAGTACAGCAGCGGCGTTTGTTTACGTTGCAGTTGGCCGTGGTAACTTCTCTGTAATCAGCCGCAAGTCGAGCAAGCTTAGTAAGGTAACGCTATCATTATATATACATATATATAATGTTATACACAAAATAATATATTCTATTTAAGCCATGATTGTTTCTAATCTGTGTACATCAATTTACGATATGTAGCGTACAAACTATATGGAAAATACCGAAGTATGTCTTAATCTTTTCTTTATCTAATATTAAAACTTGACCTCATTTTTAAGACATATATTGCTATAAAATTATCACTATTTATTCGCGGATTTTGTATTATTCGATGAGCGTTATTGAGTCTGTGACTTTGCCGTTTACGAGTTACGTGAAAGTACAGCGACAGATAAAATTCCTCCTTTGAACATGTAGAAATCTCAAATCGGCGGTTTCTTAAGCGCCGATCAGACTGACGGTGTTGAGGCGGAGGCCGATCGACAAGGCCAATGGTTACGAAGACGACGACTGGATGGTGCATTGAACAGAGTACCGAGGGATTTCTATCCACGTGTGTGGCAAGTACTTGAAAGGGTGAGATCGTTTTTATTTCATGACACAGAGAATACGATACTTTCATCCAGACTGCGAAATTTTATAAAAAGGTATGCCGCAATTTTCAACAGTGTCAAGGTTTAGCTATCGAAGGAAGGGTGTTGCCTCAGAATCTCACACAGGAAATGACATCGGGCGAACTGAAATTTGCCTTAGCCGTCGAAACGGTCTTGAATACTATACCGCAGCCAGAGTATCGTCAACTGGTGGTCGAGGCTCTGATGGTGTTAACGTTAGTTACTGAGCACAACATTGTAGCGTCTCTGGGTGGTCTGATTGCTGTGGAACATTTAGTGCATAAAGCAAATGCTATTTTCTTGGAAGATCAGGTACGACAGATTGTGTTACGTTATAAAGATACGGCAAATCATTTTTTCCTTTATACGCATTAAACGTGATGATCATAAAACTTGTAGATGGCCGTCGACGGTGATGCGACGTTATGTTGCGCGAAACCGAAGGAACAACGTGAAACAACGGCCATGGGAACGTTGTTATGCGGTGGAGCGGCGTATGTTTGCCAACATTTTTATGACAGTGCACCCAGCGGAAGTTACGGGACGATGACGTACATTACAAGGGCTGTCGCCTCGATGTTGCCTTGTTTGCCAAAGGATGCTGATCTGGAATGCTCCATATCGTAGTAATTCTAGCGACAAATGATCTTTGCATAGTTAGAAAATAAAGATGTGAATGTTAATGTCCATTATATGTAGCGATGAAAATTATTATATTCCTCTGTATAAAATAACATGATTTCGCAACCAGACACAAATTATAATCGAGGAAGGTAAACCTAATAAATTCCAATTGTAAGTTATAGACAGAATTGTAATGTGTTGAGATATGTTAATGTTTCGTTACAAAAAATTTTCTTATTAGAAAGAGGAAGTGTATATTAAATACGGACAATAGTTTTCAGAGATATATGTAAAAAATATTTATTTTTGATACTTATACGCGCATAAAGCCGCCATAAAAAATTTCCCTGTTCCTATCAGATGCAGATATTTGCACAATATCTCCAGAAAAATAGTCTAAAAGCAGTTCGATGGACAATCAATTCCTATTTATCCTTGTCTAGTTAACACAATTCGCTTATAAACCTAGCATGGAACAAAACCACATAATCGTGGATTCTTCTCCACTGAAAATGATAATGGACATTGGCACCGAGGTAATCGGTGACATTGGTTACGTGATTACGTGATTTATGTTCATAAAACAGACGCTGGCGTGTCATAACGTTACAGGAAAATCATCGCCATGGCCTCTCTCAAACTCTTCTCTACTCATGACATATATATTGGTATAACTCTGCTTATGTCGGTACATGGCGAATGAATTACCCACGTGTACGTGACGTACACGATGTTCAGGTGTTAGGTTAACCACTTGTCATCGTCAGTCGCTAGTCATTCATCATCAATTTTAATGTCGTTCGGTCTAATTTAGAGAATTCTTTGTTGACAGAATACTACGTTTAAGATGACAGTAAGTCTAGCGTTTATTTCCTGCTGAGTTTTCATCTTCGATTAAAACTGACATTTCTGTAACGATGGTTCGAATTATTCGTAATATAACTTTACTGAAAAATAATGCAAAAGCTTTTCGTATGCGTTTAATCTTTTTTTGATAATAAGCTATAAAGTTGTAAAAAAATTCGTGACTAACAATTGTTAATTTTTGCTCAGACAAAGAAGGGCAAAGTAGCGACCAAAGGTGCAAAACAGATAGTGGAAGAGAATCAATCCACGTTAAGGTTCTATACCAACATGGCTTTATGCGCAATGGGGATTTACTTTGTTGTGACAGTGATACTGTTTGAATTCACAATGCTGGAAATAGTAAGTTCTGCAGTTTGGATTCCAATTGAGTACTAAAGACATTAAGCATGAGATTTCTCAATAGCATGTATCGCATTATCATTACAGACTTTAACAGCATTTTCTGGCATTATATATGCAAGCAGCTGCCAATTTATGCATTATATGGCTCGAGCTACTTATTCAGAATCTGGTCAGCTTCTGGATTCTGGTGTGGACCTCAATATGGAAGGAGGTATAGCAGAGTAAGTAATTATTACAAGTGAATATATGTTGTATTATTTGTAATTTTATCTTTTATTGAGTAACGATTTCATTATTTGTGTAGAAATGTCAAGGATTTAATTATATTGACATCAGGAATACAAATATTGTCTTTTGTATCAAATTATTTCTGGCTGCTGTGGCTTCTTGTAAGTGCTAATAAGGATTAACTTTATATTATTTGATTTATTCAACACAGTAAGGAATTTACAAGTACATAAAAGTTTTGATATATATTATCCTGGAAATTACATATAGGTACCATTAAGAGGAGGCTGGATGCTTTGGAGACAAATCCTATCTCCATGGTTCTTTACTGGACCAGAAGAACTGCCTGAGGTTAATGAGAAGAAGCAGCGTAAGTTAGAGAAGAAGTTGATGAGACGACACTAGTGAAGTTCCTAGATGTCACAGTGCAATATAGAAACTCAGTAAATTGTTGATAACAACTGTTTTTTGCATTCAACCAGGAAATGGGGTATATATCAAAGAAGCGTTGGTAATAGAGAGGTTGTGGAAATCCAAGTGGTTCTCTTTTTTACTAAAGATATCAAGGACATCATGAATTACAATAGTTTCATATTTATGACAAAGATGATTGTATTTAAAGTAGATGGAACTTGAAATTCATATAATATTACAAAGAAATTTGAATGCAGAGAAAGAGAGAGAAAATGTATGTGTGTGTATTTCCTAATGCCTGAAGGATATACGAATCCCTTCTAAGACAGGATAATCTTGTCTTTCCTCAGGCATTCCGAATAATTAACATGCAGTAGATTGCTTCGACGTTTTTCATCGTTTGCAGCGCTAATGGTCTCTCTTGTAATTATAGAAATAACATAACTCTGTTTTTCAAAGATCTTCCATTGAAATATGCGAGAAGTACAGTATAATAAAGTGGTGAACAGGTGCCTTCACAGAAACAGAGATAAGCACGTTGAAATGCGTGCTCTCGGAGACATGGAAGGATCGAAAATTGTATATTGTATTTATGATACTAATGTATGTTGTATATTTGAAAGTTCAGTCACATTCTCTTTACAACACATGTACATCCAATCGATATTGAGTTGCTATCTATTTAATGAATTGATGATATTGCCATTCGGCGATGTCGCATAAATAAGATCCCTATTTCTTAAATTCTGGAAGTTTATAAATCACAGTTGTATTTAAATCTAAAACAACATACTGTAAGTTATAATCATTTTTCTTAGGAATGTTTTACTGGAACAAAGTTAATAGCGACATTACATCATTCCGATCGACATTATTATCGAGTATACTCTGTATTACATATGTATGGTATTTATATTAATCATTAAACTTATTCTCTATACATTGGTCACGGAATGTTTTTGTACAGTCTGCCATAAGTGTTCTTCTTAAGCCAACTTTTGTACTTCCAGCTGTTTCTTTTCTGGTTTTTTTCTAATTTTTATGTATGTATACTCCTATTGGCAATTTGTTGACTGATAGAATAGTATCTGCCTTTATACACTGTCTGTGTCTAGGCCTTTTTTCTTCCGGTAATCGTATTCCGATTCATAAGCTGGTGGATGATTGTGGTCATCTACTCCTGTAGGCATAAACGTCTCTGAAATCACTGCGCATTTGCCGCGGCAACCGCGATGCTGTTCTGCACAACGGTAATGCAGCCTATTCAGCCCCTCAGAACGCGAAGTCATGTTGTACACATATCCTGCATGTACTAATTGTGGCCTACCTCTGGCAGATAACCGATATGTCACTGGTACTTCTGCTGCAAAATTGTACCGATTTTTTTATATCGAAATTGTTTGAATGATTAAGGAGTCAGTCAATAAGAGTCTAAACAGCAAATGTTGGTGCATATCTACTGACAAGATTTACAACTCTATTCTTGCAGATGTATTCTGTATGTTCCAGTCTACTTCTGGCCCCTCAACAATACAATTGAAGTTATTGTTGTTCAACATTAAACTCTCACTTGTTCTTTTTGTTTAATAATTATATTAAGATTTTATATGTTTCATAAATATAATATAATACAAATCTCAAATAATTTTATATATGACAAGTAATATAATAAAATACTGTATTATATATGTATATATTATATATATGTAATAATAAAATATTGTACCTGACTGCATTGTATTGTCATTCGAGTTTGATTTATTAGTTAATGCAATTATTTCTTGATCATCGTTACTGGAATCACTGTTTTCAATCTCACATTTACTATCTTCATCCTCAGAATTATTTTCATCTTTCTGATTATCATCTGATAAAAGATAGATATCATCATTACTGTTTATATTGTCCTTTGGTTCCTGGATCAAGTTGTTTTCATTTTTAGGTGGATGCTTTTTTCTTTTTCTTATGTTTCTCTTGCTTATCTTGTGAGAACTAGCAGAACCATCTGACAGCTTTCGCTTATTTCCCTGTTCACTGCTAGTGTTTGACAATGTGTTAACATTTTCTGAATTATTCTCTGCATGTGATGCATTGACATAATTATTTATTATTGGCATAATTTGTCCCTCACAATCCTCTAAGCCTTTTATCTGGAATATTTGTGCCATCTTCAAAAAGGTAGGTAGGTCTTCTCGTTTCACATTTACTTCTCCTTGATACATGAACTTTAGTAGAGCCGCAATCTCCATGTGCTTTATATCTTTAAGTATTACCACTGGATGCTGGCAAGGATTTGTCTATAAAACAGCTCTAAGCTTTTACTTAATTGTTCCAATAGTTGTTCCAGAGGATATCATGAAGAAATCATAAAGTAATTGTACCTTAAATATGTTTTTAAAATAAGGACTGCATACTGAAAGAATTAACTTATGGGCTGTTATTAATTGTCCATCTACAGCAAGCGTTACATCAACTAAATTATTCTCACTTAAGTGGGAGAGAAGACCAGAAGTCATAGTTTCAACATAGTTATCCCACTTTAAAGAGAATTCCTTTGACAATGATTCCATGGCTATATTTACCTATAAAGTTTTTTACCTATAAAATAATTAATCCTTATGTAATTGAAATTTCCTTAATGATAATAAAACAATTTATCAGCTATTTTTGCTATATAAGTATATAGAGCAAAAATATATATATTGTGTATAATTATATTTCAATAATTATTGATCTGAGTACTATTACAAATTAAAATATTTTATATGGTTATAAAATATTTTATATATATAATATTTTATATGGCTTTATAAACTAAAATATTTTAGTAACCTGTATTTGTAATAGCGATTCTCGTGTTATAGGACGAAAATTTATTACCTTTCCGCTAAAATCCGACTGTGCCGTAACGAGAATCAACGAGAATGCACTTGTTACAGTAGCTGTCAAACATTTCTGTCACCAAAAAAAGATGATGGTACGACTGCCACCGAGATACTTGCGATTTTATTGCATGATGAATTCATTTTCATCGGTCTTCAATATTAACTAAAATCCCTGATTTTTCGAGTGAGTGTAATAATTTATTATCTTAATTCATACACATCGAAAAAAACATCGCTTAGAGTAAATTAGAGCAATGTTATAGAATTATAGCGGCATGTGAGATAAGAATAAATGCACTCGAGTCCGTCCATTTGTCCCATTTCCGACGTAACAAATCAAGCTTGAAGGTTGCTCAGACTGTTTTACCAATACACACGTGGACGTTGCGACACGTAATATAAAATATGAAAAAAATGAACATGTATAAAAGCTACATACATATTAATTTATTTAAATTATCTCAATATAAAGGTTATGGTTATCGTATCACGTATTGCTTGTCCTAGCGTTTATATATGTAATTTATATATGTAAAAAAGATTAAATACTTTTTTTGGATATATATTTCGAGATGCATTCTACATCCAATAAGGTATCGACTATTTCCCTTAATGTAAACTCGCAAAAAGTAAGAAGTTTTATTTATGAATATTATATATTTTAATAAAATTTTTCATGAAAACATTTATCTTCTAAATGAATTCTTTTATTAGAAAATGAATTTTTCTATTGGATGTTGCAGAGTTCTAAATTACATAGAAAGAAAGATAGTGTTCAAATTTTCTACATTCATTCATGATCGATTTGTTTGCAACTACAACTATAGTAAGGTAATAAGGTATAGTAAGGTAAATTTGAAAAGTACCTAACCTACTTTGTCTAGAGGAATCATGTAAAAGCATATGAAGCTTATTATTTATATCGGTTGGAAGTCGGAAAAATTATAATTTGAATGGTGGATTTTGAATTAGAAATTAAAATACGATGAAATTTGTATTTTTACAAATGAAGATATTTCAGGATAAACAAAATGCATTTTAACGATTAAATTCATCGGGAAAGAAAAATTAGCTTCACTAGTTTGATATTGGAATGATTTTATTAGATATGTAAATCTGTACATGTGTAAAATTGGTCTCCATCTTCTTTAGTATTTATCATAAATAAAAAAAAAATACATAAAAGTAAAAAAATTGGGAAACTTTAACGATAGACTATATCATCATCGGTTGCGCGGGCAACGATAATAAGTTCCAAACAGTTTGTAAATGTGTACATACGCACGGCTATATTGCATGGCTACGTACAACCGTGCATTTACAATTTTATCGTGTTTGCGTATCATGTATAACGGTTTTAAATTAAAGGTTTGAAGGTGAAGTCAATAGAATGTACAAAACGGGCGTAATGTCCGAAGCTGCGTTGGAGCCTGGCGTGATAACGCAAAGTATACTCGTTTCTTTAGCGATCGATCAGGGGCCAAAGAGAGAAGCCGGTAGATTGTTCTTACAGGATGGAATTGAATTAAACAAACTGAAGGAAATACGCATTGAATTCCTCAGTAAGTTACATAAACACACAAATGCCATCGTAATTACTACTCATTAATATTTTATTTCATGATTATTATATTATCTTATAGATATCCTGAACATTGATCACCTTTGGATGTTGGAAAATCTGGTGAAATTGACACTGTCCCACAATGTTATTGAACGAATCGAGAATCTGGACGAGCTCGTTCACTTGCGCGAGTTGGATCTCTCGTTTAACCGCATCAAAGTTATGGAGAATCTGAATAATCTCAAGCTGGAGATTTTGCTCTTATTCAGCAACGAGATCGCCGTTGTGCAGGGCATGGATAATTTAAGCAAACTGATCATCTTAAACATCGGCAAAAATAAGATTACCGGCTGGGAGCATGTATACACGCGTAGCCAGTTTTTACTTTGCCTCTTTCTAATTTCTGCTTTGATTTTCTTATTTGTCATAATATTGATTGCATCGCCGTCGTAGGTAACGTACTTACGCGACTTCAAGGCTCTACGGAGTTTGAATGTATGTGAAAATCCTTGCGCCGAGATCGACGGGTATACGGATTATGTATTCGCATTCATACCGCAACTGCTTTATTACCAATACAGAATGATACCGGAGAGCGCGCGACAATCCGCCGTAGAAAAGCACTAGTAATTATTGTCTCTTCAAAGTCGAAACGACGAATATACGGACATTTCGCATACCATGAAAAAATAATCGTACTGATTTATCTGTGCAGTCGCGTAATTAGTAATCTCGAGGAAAATGAGGCAAAGAAGCAAGCGGAAGTAACATTACAACGAGAATTCGAGGAGAAGCTTAAATTGTTAACCATGTCGTACGTGGAGCAGCTCGAGGAAGATTATCTTTTCCAACAAATGTTTGCTTCTGACAAAGGTATATATTAAATCTTATTTTTCGTGAAATAACATATCTTCTTATTTTACTGTTCGTAAAATATTTTACATAGTTATTCTGCAATAATAAACTTCAAAGATAATTGAAACAAATGAGACAAAATTATTGTGTATGTACAACTTGTCCGATTGCATTATCGCGTTAGGCGGCAAGGATCTTAGTACGGTAACTGAAGAAGCGCGAGATATATTCGAGAAATACAGAGAGTCCTTCTCCGGAATATGCAACGAATTGTGCGAACTGGGTTTACAGGAACGTGATAAGAGAGAGAAGGAAATAGCGTTATTCGAAGTTGCTGTTGACAAAGGCGAGGAGGACATGCAAAATGAATCGAGAAGGTGAAAAGAGGACATTTATCCTTAAACTGTGATATTTATTTTAAACTATGTTAACTTGATTCAAACATTAATACGTAATAATTAATACGTAATTATGCGTGTATAATTTCTTCTTTCACTCTGCTGTGCAAGAATTGTGGACGAGGTACTTGAAAGAAAGATGGTAATATTTGCAAATATAAAAGATGCAGTAGAAGCTCTGGTGGAGGCGAAGGGCGATGTGGCTGATGAAATCGCTGAGCAAACGAAGCAATTGTTTAATGAATTCAACGATTTGTTACAAAATGCACGAAATAGACTAATGTCTAAAGAACTCGTATTACACAATCAGTTGGAAGTACGTATTTTAGATCATTTTGCGGAAAGTATTGCGGATGAAATTGATAGCTTAGTTTCTCTTAAAAAAAGAAGCTAAATCAAGTCTTCGCGACCAACATGACAGACATGATCAACTTATTCTTGGAGGCTGCTCGAGCAATCTTTTCGCGTTTGCGAAATGCAGAAATTGAATATAACAATTCCGTAAATATGGCGATTCTACGTTATCTAAATGATTTTGAGGACAACGAAGACATACCGGCTCATTTCACGGATCTATGCGGCGATGAAGATATTTTGGCAACCACTCTTACTGCATCGCAAGATATACATTTGCAAGTGAATATTGGAGATGCTTTGAAAAATATTCATGGCAATTAGAGTAACTTACTGACTTACAATTACAGATAATAAACAATCGAGAGCAGTATATGATCAGTCGGCTCAATGATTGGCTTAAAGAATATATCGATCAATTGATAGCGTAAGTGATGAATATTTCGATACTCGTATAACGTGATAGTAATATTTGTATAATGATAAACCTTATCTTCATCGTGTGACTCATTAATAATCGTGATAAATCGGAGATATATCGAAAGATTTCATGAATTCACTAGAATCACAGTTATTTTTTTCTTTTACGGATAGAAATGAAACTAAGCGAAGCCGTCAACATATACTGGAAATATCACATTTCTTCGGATTGCTGCAAGAGGAATTCAACTCGCTCAGTGTACCGCATCAATTAGACATAACGGACATTGAGCTAGATGACGTGGCTATACTGTAAGACGATGTAACGTTCAACGAAAATAGAAAACTGGACAAAATTTGTAACAGGAATGTAAGTTTCACGTAACAATATCAAAAAATATTTATTCATATAGAATTAATATGGAAAACTGACATACAAAAGGCACCACATTATGAAGAATATAAAACGTGTATATTAGCTCGTACCAAAGTATCTATTGCTGCTTTTGCTTTAAATGCTCGATGTAAAGTTTAAGGCCAGCTTGCACCTTTGGTAATTGTAATATATTCAGGGTATTTTCAGTATCAACTTCTTTATTTTTCTTGAACCAGTCGATCAGATCCTTACGCATTTCCAATTTGGTCAAATTTCTGCCAAGGCCTTTAACGATAGCATTTTATTATTTATTAGTATAGTATAAATATAGCAATATGTGAAAACATAATAATAAAACTCATTCTTACCAGGTATTTTCTTGAAAGACAATATGTAATTTTTGCATTTTTCAATTGCATTGGTTTTATCATTAGCGAGTTCGTCTACGAGGCCGATTTCCAATGCCTTTTCAGGTGTAAATAACGAACCCCTGTTGACATGACAATTATTATATCATATAATGTCTTATTATTGAGTATTTATTAATCTTTCATACCTTAAGAGTGCAAGGTCAGCTTGTCGGTAACCCATCAATGAAATATATGGTTCTCTGAACCATTTTGGAGCAATAAGACCTAATTGCGTCTCATTTAAACCAATGGAATGCTTGCCTTGAACAAAAACTCTGTATTCCGTAGATATTGCAAGCAGACAACCTCCGGCAGGACTGGAACCCTAAATAATAAAGTAATGTTTCTGTTATACTATCACACGGGTATACGGATAGTAATATTTGAAGCAGTGTATACATTAATTGCAGCAGTTGTTGGAATATCCATACTATAGAGAGTTAGCCAAGCATCTTGCAATGAGTGCCAGTAGTTACGAAGTCTATCTTTATCAGTGGTATGGAGCTCCAAAATATCTATTCCTGCTGAAAATATAGTTGGCAAGGAAGATGTCAATATGATGCCTTTGCTATGTGAATTCTTTGCCTCCAACAGAGATTTTTTCAGTGAGCCCAACAGTTCTGTATTTAAACTGTTGACTGGTGCTCTTGACATAGATATAATATCAATTCCTGTTAAATGGTCAGACTTTGTATAGTAAAACTAGAAAATTGTACGCTGAGAACATATAGATGAAGAATAATTGTAAGTGTTACCTGTATCATTGTCTCGTGTTGTTTCAATTAACTTTGATCCAGTTGTGTAATATCTCTTCAGACACATTTGTCTTCCCCTGATTATTGCCCTTAAACTTGCCATATTGACGACTAGAGAATCAGCTTAGCTCACAGAAGTAATCAGGACAATACTGAATGTCTTTAATAAATCAGATGATTTCTATAACGTTATAAAAATAGCAAGACAACATTCACTTTATCTTCGATATGATTAATGAATATCCTAAAATGTTATATAAAATTGAAATGATAAGTGAGAGATAACAATAAGTGAAAGTTTATTGGTCAGAGGCAAAAATCTGTCAGCCAATACTAATTTGTCAGATTAATTCAATCCCCTTCTCCTTCTTATTTACATTTGATTGTTCTCTATTTCTTATCAGATAAAGCCATAATCAGATTGATTTGTTCTTAAAAAGCCGAAAGATGGAGTAAGAAATGTTCTGTTATCCCAGCCTTAAGATACTGGCGATAATTGTCAGTGAAATTTATATATCATTTTTAAGTCTGTTTTACTTATTTAATCGATATTTTTATACACCATTTACACTTTTAATATATTTATACTTTTTAAGATTTCATGTACATCTAAATTTCTAAGAGGTCGTTTATGAATATTCTTCAAATACAAGTTCATAAAAAAAATGAAAATGCTTCCAGAAACTTTCAAATCATAAAACCTGCATTTTTCTTGAATATGTTGGAGAACATTCATTCTTTATTTTACACATATCAAATGTTTAACTGCTCGGTAATAAATTAACTCGAAATCTTTCCAAAATATTTTATAACTTACATGTTTAGAGAGATAGAGATAGAGAGAGAGAGAGAGAGGAGAGAGAGAGAGATAGAGATAGAGATAGAGAGAGATAGAGATAGAGATAGAGATAGAGAGAGAGAGAAAGAGAGAGAGAGAGAGAGAGAGAGAGAGAGAGAAACTCGAGTTATGGGTACAAACTTAACATCAGCACTATGGTCAAAATAAAATATTCACAAGATAACCGCAAATTAAGTAATTCAAACAACTTATATCAGCATACAATTTGTATGTATATATATTATATACCGACTAATTAGCTATCGGCCAATTGACGTGAAAAAAATGCAGACACTGCGAAGGTTACCAGCAATAATGCAGCAGCTGCAGGCTGTAACATGCAACGATAACTGGTCAGTAATATTAGAATTCATAGGTTTGTTCATCTGTACTCCCTGCAAGATCCCTGTCAGATAATGACAAGTATATCATCATTTCAAGAACTCTCTTGTATTGAAAGGATCTACACCTCATGTTACTTCTTTCTTGCTCGTTCTCCTGTTGCAGCCGCACAGCCGTTTCATTCCAACTGCAAGTGGAAAGTGCAGAAAATACAGAGAGTGCAAATGAACAGACCTACAAATTCTAATATTACCGCGCAGCCATCGTTGCGTGCCATCGCCGCTGGATCATCGCTGGTGACCATCGCAGACCAATAGTAGACAGGTGCCAACATGGCTGCTACTGCACTGCCTCGTCTTCTCGTGACATCGCCCTTTGTCCTGGCAACGATAGTTTAATTTACGTCGAAAAGTTCTGATCAGCGACACGCGAGAGACGACACATCCTTTAGATGGAACGGCGAACTTCAATGGAAGACTTCAGCTAGCAAGATGTCAACCCGCTCGCAGCTCACGAAAGATCTGAACGGTTTGTGATCCCGTTTGGCAGTAAAGTGTTTACGTTCTTTCACACGTCGATCGGTCGAGTTGTCATCCGTCATTCTCTGGGATGACGTATCTGTCTCTACATTTCACGTCGCTTGCATCTTACGTTTTTTTCGTGTTACGTGATTAATTGACCGTGTTATATCGTCGCGTTGTGGGCAAAATATGAGAAATGTAATTTTTCATGGTGCTAAATTCGTTCAGTGTGTTCTACTCCGACGTGCGATCGAGCGCATTAATGCTGTCTGGTGCAAGCATACTCTGCGCTTGAGTTGGTGAAATGTATTAACTCACACGCTTGCATAATTAACAGCATGGTTTAGTTATTTTATTTTACGAAAAATAATAGGCAGAATCGGTGAATCATATGGTATGACGTATCCTCGCGAGTGTGTGTGCACTGGACATCATTGATGCAAACGATTATATACATGCAATCATGTGAATTATTCATTGCTTGTAGAATCGGTGAAAGCGTTACTTGGCAAGCATGTGAAAATACTGTTAAAAAACGTGGTGAAACTAGAAACGAAGCAGGATAAACAGGAAAATCGTGTTCTCGTAAGTAGATCTGTTCTTTCTCCTTTAGCAGTAGTTATTATATTTTGCATTGTTGTGTTTTGTATTAAACTAAATTGGTCTTGTTCAAGGTATTTTCACCATGTCGCCTCTTTCTCTTATCGGCCAAAGTACCCACAAGAGTAAGTTAACCAATTAAGCAATAGTTTTCTCTCATTTTTTTAATTGTTACTTAATGACTCATTATTCCAATATCTTTCTTCCATAGATCGACTGCCATTTTCATTATTTAGAGATAACGGCCATAGAGTCCAAACGAGCAAATCAGCTATGTTTGACTGTCGGAGAACGATATTACAATTTTACTACAACCAGCGTAGGTATAGATACTACAGAAGTGGACGCTATGATAGAGGCCTTACACACGGCGATTCGAAATATCTTCCCTACAGTACCGCTAAAGTATGTTCTATCTTATTTATAATCAAGTAAAGTTCCATCATTTCAATCATTGAGCCATTTCAATCACTTTATATTGAAATGATATCATAATATCATTATTTTTAGTTATATTATACGAAAGATAGAAGTAATACCAGCTAGCAGATTGCAAAGTATAAGAGGCAGTGAATTAGCCAGAAGCACAGAAGCTACGAGACACACGGGTCCATGTGGTGGTTTCTCAACACAATATGCATGTATGTGCGATCTACATGGCGTGCCGTACAGAGAGGAAGTGGCTTGGGTAAGACGAATTGTTTGCACCAGCGTCATTAGCATATTACCGTTAATCATTACAAAAGTCTTACTCAAGGAGATACGAATTTCAGGACGTCGATACGATATATCTTTCGCACGACACGAGGGAGCTGAATTTAAGAGACTTTGATCATTTGGATCAGAAGGACTTGGTACCGATTATCTCAGCTTTGGAATACAACACCTGGTTCACAAAATTAAGAGCATCCCATCTTAAGCTGAGCCATGAGCCCTTGGAGCGACTGTTACACGTTATGCGAAGATCCTTGTCCATTCAGGAACTTTATCTGGACAATCTCGGGATCAAATGGTAATGACTCGATGAGCGAGCGCGTAGGCTTTCCCGCGATGAGAAAAATCTACTTAAAATGCACACTTATAATATACGAATATTCGGTTTCAAGGGATTTCGCTCACAAGCTGTCGTTGGCCTTAATTTCTAATGCTAACACGATGCTGCAAACGATAGATCTGTCGCACAATACGATTGAGGACAAAGGTACATGTTAATCGATTCCACTGATTATATCGTATCGCTTCTGCATCTCGAGTATTCATTCATGTATGCGTGTGTATATATGTGCGAGTATGAGTGTGTGCGCGTGTGTTCACCCATTAAGAGAGATTTCCATCTTCCACACATTTGACAACTATAATTTCGAAAGTATCCTGAACGAATTTTCTTTATATTTTTTGTAGGAGCCTCTAGCTTGTGTGGGATAATAGCCAAGTTAATGCAAGGTGTGCCAATAACCATGTATTTTTATTATCCCTAGTAATTATACTAATACGCGCGACACCTTTCTCTCTTTCTCTTTCTCTCTCTTTTTCTCTTTCTCTTTCCGTCTTATATTTAGTTTCTTCGTAAAATATGCACTCTTATCTGATATTTTTGGTTTTTAATATTTTTATTCCCTTTACTCTCCCTTTAGTCTCAGTGATATAATATCCTGGATATTTAATCCCTGTAAATACATTTGATAAGCTCGTATCGGTATTTGTGATTGGAAGTAAATATTTTCCGACGATAAACAAGCGTTCCTGTCGCGATCGTTAGCGTCCTGCTAAAGGTGTACGATATATTTTCAAGGTGGCACGCACCTGAGTGGTCCTATTGGCAAGCTACCTAAGGGTCTGCAGAAGTTGAACCTGGCCCACTGCGGATTAACCGGCAAGGGAGTGGGCCAGATAGCGCATGCGTTAAGCTTGAACAGAAGCATGCCGACTAGCTTGCGATATCTGAATTTCTCGGAGAACACATTGAAAGACGACATCAATGTAAGTTCCGTAAGAAGGCTCACACCTACTTTGTGTAATCGCGGTGACGAGTCGCCGACGACGATCCACCTTTAGCGTAAAAGTCCTAACATATTTCCCAATTACAGAATCTGTGCAATTTTCTGGCGCAACCCAATAGTCTAACACATTTGGACCTTAGCGGTACTGATACTACTTTAGAATGTGTAAGTACTTCTTCACGTTTTCAATTTTATTCAAAACGGTCGGCGTTTAATTGACGTTATTCCCTTTGTGATTATTCGATTTAGTTATTCGGTGCATTGCTACGGGGTTGTGCAACTAATCTAGTCCACCTGAACGTCGCCCGGAATTCCTTTTCGAGCAAAAAGACCAAAGAGATACCTCCGAGTTTTAAGCAATTCTTCACGGCTACTCTCTCGTTGAAGTACTTAAACATATCCTCCTGCAAACTACCGTTGGAGGCGCTGAAACACCTGCTACTCGGCCTGGCGTGCAACGAAAGTACAGTTGGCCTAGAGCTTGATATGAGCGGGAACAATTTGGGTTCCATGGGCGCCCACGTTCTGGAGTCGTGCATTCACGGAGTTCGATGCATAGCGTCGCTGGATATATCGGACAGTAGTACGTAACGTTACGTGTTGAGGCGAATGAAAGAGATCTATTTTTTTTTTTTTCCAAAACTGTACTTTCTGAACTATCTTTCAATTTTTCTATTGTCCACACCATAAAATATCAAATATGTATCCACTTTATTTGAAGTTTAGACAGTGCAACTTATTGCGACTATCAAAAACAGACCTGGATTGATCATCCCGACAAAAATTAATCTCATTATTTGTCATTTATTATGTATGTGCTTTCTTGCAGACATGGACGTGGATCTGGCGCAAGTCGTAACGGCCGTAGGTAAAAACAAATCGATAAAGCAGCTGTACATGGGACGCAATACCGCCAGTATGAAGAGCAAGCATATAGCCGTTGTGATGGACGCGTTGGTGCAGATGCTTCAGGAGGATGACTGCGTGCTCCAAGCGTTGCATCTGCCCGATTCGCGATTGAAGGGCGATCTCTACAATCTGATCAACGCTCTCGGTAGTAACACGTGTCTGCACACCCTCGATATCAGCGGCAATCAGATAGGCGATCCTGGCGCAAGGTTGCTGGCGAAAGCGTTGCAGATCAACAATCATTTGCGAGCCATCATATACGACAAGAACAACATCACGTTACAAGGTTATGCGGATATTGTTCACGCCCTGGAAAAGTGTGTATCATGTCGTGTATAATGTACAAACGAATCTATCATATATTCATGAAGACCTTTTTTTTTCTGCAGAAACTGCAGCGTGCGGCACATGCCGTTTCCGATCTACGATCTGCAGCCTTGCATGAAAACGTCCGCGGAGAAGACGGAGCAATTGGCCAAGAAGATACAGGATCTGCTACAGAGAAACGTCACGCCGTGCAAGTACAGTCACGGGCAGGCGTTTAGATTGCAGCAGGGATTTTTGTTGAGCTCTACACAACAAGTAGTCGACAGACTCGTTGTACAGACGCAGGACACTATCAAAGCCTTAGCGGCGGAGAGCTGTGATGCTAACAATGACATTAATTATGCGACCGGTCTCATACAGGATGCGGATAATTCCAAACAGGTATGTTTAGGTGAACAGGTGAAACTCGAAGAGCTTTAGACTCTGAGTTATTTTCTAGACTCATTCTTTTTCTATTATATTATCAGTGAGTTTGAAGCATTCGTATGCATGTTAGGTCTTGATAGAACTTTTGATATTAAAAACATGTTATATTTAGAATTTTTAGATTCACTAGAACTCTGGATTACAGTCTTATTGGAACTTTATGTGTTTTTTAGTTATTACCAAGATTACACGAAGTACTGCAAAGACGGGACGAAAATAATCCGATTGAATTGAAGTTGCATGATATGGCAAATGAAATTCACAAGGTTGTGACGGTATATCTACAGGTATGTTATTTGTATGCCAGGTTATTTATTTAGGCTATAAAAGTAGTTATTATTTCAGTATAAAATGCATTTTAGAGATTTGATTTAGAGACTTGATACTTGATATACGATTTTAACTACGATGATTGATGCAGGATTCTTTGGATGCGATGTTGAAATGCGTGAATGAACAGTGCCCCACCATATTGTCACAAACAGTGATCAGAGGCGATGAGAGCGAACCGATCGCGGTACAAGATGATCTTCGTAATACATGCAAAGAGAAAAACCAAATCAATAACGAATTCATACATACCACCATTACCGAACAAGCTGGCGCAGATATCGTTAATAGAGTCAAGTAAGTATATTAGGATACTGTTAACTTGAAGTTAACTTATCGACCTACTTTCTTAACGATTTTAATTTGTTTAATTTTTTTTCCAACTAGTGAGCTCAATTTGGCAGTTGCTGCACATATATCTGACAGAATTACGGACGAAGTAATTGAATCATTGTCAAGAAGTTATAAAACTCTGGTAAGTTTTAAACTCTCATTGTATTTAAATCTTAGATAATAAAAAAAAATGATATAAAAACTCAAGCTTCAAATTATACGCAATATACTAATTTAATGAAATATTTCAGATTGGAGATTGTGATAGTCGAACGAGGAGCAGCACGCCAGATGTTCTACGACCTAGCGCCGGCTCAATGAGCAGTGGAAGCGTGATCGGTGTGACTAGTGCAAGCGGTATTTCTATGACGTTACCTCCTGGTAGAGCCAGTCTCGTTTCCGAAGAGGACTGTCCGCCGGAAACATGTTCGTTGGCAAATTCCATCGGCCAATGCGTCAGTGATCAATCGCCGATGGTAAGAAACCATGATGATTGATTGACAGAAACATTCTGCATACAAAAATATTTTCCAACGGCGAGATGTTTAATATTCCATGTAATTTACACCGCTTGATGAGAAATCAAATCATTTAATTTCATTCATTTTAAGTCATGTTTACTTTCATTTTACACGCTTACCTTCCAGAAATTGGACTATCTTAATTTGGTAGGTATACATAGATTAGTGCTAACAATTACACATGATATCGTAATCCACATACAATTATCCTAGATTCAATTTCATTGTTACAATCTGGACTTTATGGAATTTAAGATACCTTTATTTTGGTATTCAGGCGACGCCACATCTGTCGAATAAACGTAAGAGCTTGCACGGAAGAAAACTCAGACCCAAGTCTGTGGTGGATTCGGTGGAGGGATTGTCCGCCGATGATATCCCGGATCTCTTACCGTCGTTGCCGAAGAGCCAAGCTGAAGGTTCGCATCGATCATATCCGTTGGTGATTTTGTCACGAACGAGTTTGTAACGAGTTATATTGTTGCTTCACAGCTATCTCGGAAACTGAACATTCGCTGACAGAGTCTTTAGACTCTGTCTCGGAATTGCCCAATACCGTAGGTCAGCAGCTTCAGCATCTCGTCAAATCTAGGCCGCGCAGGACAAAGACGAGAGCACCTACGAGACCGATGTTACGACCGGATCAGCCGATCGACGGTCTCGCCTTGGGCGAAGGTCTCGACGTGTTCTTCCGACCTACCACACCAACCACGCCTTTGATATCACCCACAAGTGATGACAGGTTCGTTTTTCTCGCTTGCTACAAAATACGATAGATAAGATAGATGAAACAATTTTTTAAGTACCTTTGCGAATACTTTGTGAAACTTGGAAAAAATTTTTCATTCGATTTTTATAACTGATGCAGATTGCAAAATTGTCAATCTTCGTCCATAATTTACAGCTCTCTACATACTTTCCCAACGGACGGCAGTCCTAATCTGTCGTTGACAAGCCACAAGAGCATCCCTCCGGACATGGAGAAGAAACACAGCTGCAATTCGCCGATGTTGAAGACACTCTTAGAACCCGCACCGCGTTCACGCTCCAGTGACAATCTAGAGAAATTCTCCCCTCTTGTCGGCAGAAGATCTCAAGGCGATTCTCCGTTGACCGCGTCGCCACTCGCCCGACGCAATACCACCGACAGCGCTCAGACTCACGAGAGATCCGGCGTGAAAGGTGAGGCCTTCGCGAAGGAGACGTGCAACAATGCCGCTGCAAACGACGTGAGCGACGATTCTAAGCGCAGCACGCTGACAAACGTCTCGAGTATGAGTCCGCGTGGCTCACGCGATATCGACGACAGTTTCGCGAGCACGTCGGACAGGGACGCGTCGGTGACGATGTCCAAGGAGCAGGACAGTCGCAAGAGTGGTGTAAAGAAATCCACCACCGACACTGACAAGTCATCCGTGAAGCTGCGGTCCACTGGCTATGATCTAAGAAGTCCTATTAACGGTAATAGTGGGGCCAAGAATATATCTTCCACCGATTCGGCCAAGTCCCCGATATTGAAGCCACTGGCGAAGAGCAGCGGGTCTACGAGTGACGGAAAGAGCAACGGTGCACTGTTGAAGAACAAGCCGACCCCGCCGGCGACGGCTCCTAAACCGCGACCGTGGAGTATGACTACTGATCGGAAATCTGGTAAAAGAATTTTATTGTGTAGTGATTATTAAACTTTTAGAATACTGGGCGCATATAATGGGTGCTCAGCGTATAAGAAGTTCATTATGAATTATTGGCGTTCCCAAGAGCTCTCGTTTCTACATTCATTCGTCTTGGCTTGTTAGCAACACATTTTATTTCATTTGAGTTAGTAGTAGATTTTAGTTTCAGTTCTTATTTTTAGATTGAAACATTAGTTCCTTTCTGTTCTACCTGAGTTTACCAGTCGCAGATGCTGCATTAATTTGTGTATTAATATATCGAGTGAGAATTTTCTTTCGCTGCTTCTCGCGATACTCAATGTTGCCGCGTGATAATTTGCAATCAGAGTCAGCTAGTTCTTCATAATAAAGAATCTATCGTAGAAGTGACAAACGAGGACTTCATCGTTTGTACATTTACAGGTGAATTCAGTCTGTTAAGCGACGGCTCCAGCCCGAACACCTCGGCGGGCAACACACCGGATTCCGGCGATGCTCTCGACGAGTCGACCGACAGCGGCGTCAGTGGTCCGGCTTCCTTGCCGCCGACGTTATCAGCGAGCAGCACCGCGAGCTCGTTGAGCAACAACAGCGTCGAGAAGAGGTCGGTGAGGGAATTGGCGGCGAGCTTGAACAAGAGTAAGGCGGACAGGAAGGAGAATGGTGAGCGAAAACGTCACTTTCCGCGATGGCAAGATTTGCATCCTCTCGACGTGCTTGTCTCGTATATCGCATGGTTCATTTTTAGCAAGACTCGGTGTCACTCACAGTTCGACCCACGCTCTTCCATCGTCGATCGGCGTGCATTCTTTTGTTACTTCGCCCTGGTCCTTGCCCCACCCCCCTCATTTTTCTTTTTTAGTATAGCGCTGATATATGCATGTGGATCCCTTGAATGTACGAACCTCGCTGTACCTGTTATTTTAGAACATACCGCACCTGCAGCATGGCGGTCGTTGCTTCAACGTTCTGTCGACCGAGCGGACACCAAGGTATCTTTTCTGTTTTTTTTTCTCCTTCGTGTACACCGAGTTTCAAGATGGCTCGAAACGTAGACGATGGCGCTCGATGAAAGAACTTGTTTCTGAAAAATTCCTAGGAGGTGTCAGTTCTCTCGTTGAACATCTGCTGCGTTCAGAATTGCATCCGAAGAAATGTGTTGAAACCGTTTTGAAACTCAGTATATCGAAACCCGTTATTGTGATTGAGACAGATACGTTTTTGTTTTTGTTGATAACTACTTATGTCACATAGAGTCAGTAATTACATGTCTTTCTTTTTTTTTTAACGAAATGTTACTTCACAGTCACTACATCCCATGTGACGCTAGATAATGTCACGATAATACTAATGAGCGAGATGCACCGAAACACCCATTGCATCCAGATTTCACTCAGTAAGAAGTGAAAACCGTCCGATTAATACGCACTATGACGGGTCGCAGGTAACGGAAGTGCCGAGAATGGTTGAGGAGAGTCGTCTCAGCTTTAAACTTCGTCGCACGTCATTCCTGCGCGATTCGAACTTCAACTACAACAACGATGTGGTTGACGTTTGATCGGGAGCAAACGGCCGGCGTCGACGTCCCTCTACTCACACGAAGAGAGTCCTCTTCTTCCTGCGCACGCCGTGCGGAGCCGATATCTGGCACACCGATGACATACAGTAACGGTACTTCATGTCTACGTGCCATAGATGGTCTCACTGCGTTCTCTATGTACATACCGCGAGCGGTTTTACTATTAGCGACAGGGTACCGACAGTTTTTACAGCTACGGAGAAGCACTAATCCGTTGTTAAGGTGGCATTAGAAATCTTATACTAGTTTTGTAATGACGTTGCGTTTTTAACGCGCGCGGCTGTATTTCGACTTAGTCGTCATTAGATACGCGTTCTTCGCAATTTACGCTTTGTACGTTTCGTGTGACGAGACCGATTTTTCACTTTTTCAGTAAAAACGAGCTCCGACTCAGTCTCTTTGTCCTCGGGCCGTCGAGGCGTCGGGTGAAAAACCACTTCCATTTGCAAGCAGCGTCTCATTCCGTCGATCCGATTAGCGATTATCCGTTAGCATCGTTACTAAGAGGCAGGTTGTTGGCAAAGTATTTTATTCTTCGAGGATTCGTTTTAATGTATAAATACTATTGTATAAATATTGTTTGTCTGTGCATTTTAACAGCGAGGATGTTTAGAATAGACGAGTCACACGTCGCGCGATTTCAGCCAGATAAATTATGGAACTTCTTCGGTCTCACTTTCGCGTATCGGACGTAATGAGTAGCGACAGCGATCGAAGCTACATAGAACATGTAGAAGAGAAAGAGAGAGAGGGGGGAGAGAGAGAGGGAGAGGGAGAGGCGTCTTCCAAGATCGCGGTAGGAGCCGTGTAATATCGAGATTTCGTGCACATGCGTGACTTTCGTTTCGTTTGAAAAGAATACATGCAGTAACATCCATTTCGACTCGCGTTCTTTCGTTTTCAATGCGGCATGTGTGTTCTTAAACTGTGATTGATTCGTAGAAATGTTCACACACGTGGGTTCGGTGCATCGTAGTTCCTACCACGCGGTGATACGTTCTACCGTCTGCAAAAGACGCTGACAAGCGCATATAGGTTATCAGTGGCAGCTCTTATCACATTCGTTACTTTACCGATGCAGCTAATGACTCTCTTCTTAGCGAATATAATGGAATTGATGATGTACGAAGCGAGATATTGTCCAACGGACAGATTGATTCCGTTGCGGACTGTTGATCTTGATCTTCGTCGTTTGGATTGTACAAGTTGTAAATCGATCTCAACTTTCAGTATTGCGTCACTCGACGTTACTCTCTTTTTTTCTATTCAAACCAGTTCATAAGTATTCTTTGTGTTTTTTTTTATCATCGCAGAAACTCAACCGAATGAAAATCATTGATCATCGCCATAAACGTAGAACTTGTGGAAAGTCGCAATCGCTCGTGTTTTCGACAGAAAGAGAGAAAGAGAGAGTGTGTAAAATTTTATAGATACATCTCTCGCGTCGTTCGATCGAATAACAATACGAAATTAGTATACTGAAATTGCTCGCGTTGCGAACATTCGAACGGCGTCTCTTGTCACAATGAGAAAGCGTATTCTTTAGGACGTTCAACTCGGTGCAGTTTAAATTAATCTCGCGTCGACGATGTATTTGTCTTTTTATATAGCGATAAAAACGCGTGTACATACATATGTAAAAAGTATAGACTTACATGTAGGCATAAGTAGTGAAAGGGAAAAGAGAAGTATATAAAGTAAAACACTCGTAGAGATTCGCGATTCTCTTACGTCTTCGACGAGGGAAGAAGCAACGCGCAAAAGAGAAAAAACACCCAGTTCGAGACGTCTTGTGAGTTTTTTTTACCGCTTGCTATTATCAGATCGTGTAACACATTGATATTATACACATACCGATTCTCTCTCATATGAGGATACATGAAACATGTGATCGTTGCATTTTATCATGATATTACACATTAAACTGAGAAAAGATATATGTATATGTATATATCATTTTTCTTCTGACATTAAGCACGATCGAGTATTAAAATTAAAGAAAGAGAAAGCGTCGTGTGTCGAGATGAAAAATTGCGTGTACGTGTATGAGTTGAGTGTACACACACACGCACGTGTACCGCGAGACATATACTTAATTTGCGTCAACCTAACTGTTCAGTGTACGTATGAGAGATACATTAGACAGTCATATATATGGACACATATGGATCTATATGAGACGTCATGGGCGAAACATGGAGAAATGCCCGACGATCGAGAGAGAATCGAGGAGAGATGAATGAGCAAGGTTGGGAAGTAACGCATTACTCGTGCCGCCATTACCCCGTTTAAAGTTACTTTATTTTTAATTAAATTTTAATTACACAATAATTACGATTTAATCCCGTTTTTCAAATAATGATTAATGATGAACAATTATGATTGTCTTTACCTCCGTTTACTTCGCAAAAATTATCAAGACTCGATGAAGAAAGTAAAGAAATTATAACGACACGAGTTTCTTGAGCATCGATGACGATAACGTTTTACTTTTCTAATGCATGACGAGCAACGAGTTGCTTGTAAAAAATAACTTTCCCAATTCTGCCAATTGAAGGGAATGTAATTTATCCTTACCTCGATTGCATCGTAAGACGTCTATCAGACGGTCACTGGTTCTAAAGCACACTTCTTTCTTCTGAACTATGCATATAAATTACGTGAACAAGGTGCATTCTCGCTAAACACTCGTATGGTCTACTCTAGATAAATGTAAGGGGAGGTTTCGTATCAATATATATTTAATCGATCCGATTCGACAAACGAATAGCTACTTAATAAGCGCGTTTCATAATACTACTTTTAGACGCGCACCTCCGATGATTTAAACAACCGTCTTTAGGACGAATATTATTCCTACATACGCGACTCCGCGTGCATATCTATTAGATCGGTGCGCTAATAATGGTCGATCTTCGCCGGTCCCTTCTGTCTCCTTGTCGTGATATTGTTACTGTTAAATTTAAGAGTTGGATAGACTCGTACGCATTTGACACAGACGAATCAAGAATGAAGAATAAATTTAAGACAATGTAATATAGAGATAGAAAACGGAGATTATAATGATATAACGCGAGATCGGCGATTATACTTCTTCGCATCGACCCGAGATATACAACCTCTCAGTAGTTGACCAAAAACTTAAACATATACACATTTAATTACGTTATAAGTAATTGCGTCATATATACATACATATATGTATATATGTGTATGTATGTACGAGGTACACACGAGGTATACACGAACACTTTCTTTCGATGCAAGTAAGAAACGCAACTGTTTATCCAATGAGAGAACTTAACTTCTGAGAATGTACGAATATAGTTCTCTCATTGAATCGTCGGTTTTGCGTTTTAAGCTGCAACGAGAGAAAAGTGTTCCAACCGTAAAAGCGAGTATAAACCGCGCAATGAGCGATATATTGTCTTATAAGAGGAAAACCTGTGTATCCGGAGGAAAATCTACGCAATCGCGCGTGTAAAATGACTCTGCCGATTATTGTGCCAAAAATGTACGCCATCTATACGGAAATCACGTACATTTTTTATACGGTTGTAAAAGGTCTCGTTGCGTTCTCCGCGTAAAGATTATCTCATTTTTCAACGTCATTTCATCCGCTCGTACGGATCTGTCGAGGATAGATTTTAACGGCATTGTAAATAACTACAAAAAAGTAAGGGTTTCATCTTTTTTTATTCCATGACGTTTTATCATTCACTAATTTCACTGAACGGAATTGCGTTACCTTCATTCGTGTGTATATACATATATTTATACATTATACAGGAAAAGAAAGAGAGACGAAAATCACTCGTGTGTGGCGTATGTGTGTGCGTGTATGTGTGTGTGTGTGTCGCCTGTCGCATGCGACATAGTGTGCATGTGAGAGATACTTGTACGCAGTATATTTAAATTCTTCCCCGATATACATTCCTATTATACATACACGATATTCTATATACATACGACGCAAAAAAAGATCACCACACTACAGAGACAGACGATACATATAATACCGAAATACATTGTGAATATTAATGCCATCGCGTTCGATGTCGCATTCGCTCAAAAAAAGTTCAGATGCGCAAATAACATTTGATGTTAACATTTGCAATCTATTTTGGTTGGATGGCTTATTAGAAGCGCGATATTAACCCGTTATCCGAATAAAATAAAGTCTCATATCACATGTATACGGACATAAAGAAATGTTCCCTTTATCTTTGATAGACATTTAATTTTCTTGTCGAAACCGTCTTTCAGATTTATTTAGATCTTTTTCAGATCTATTTAGATCAAACGACGACCGACTGTGAAACTTTCCTCTGTGAAAAAAATAAGTAATTTTTATTTATTAGTAATGGGGACTTGAATAAGTTCTCGCTGTTTTTTCGTGAAAATGAATGCTTTATTTTAAAAAATTAGTAAAGGACATGTCATTGAAAGTATTGTCCATCGCTAGCTACTACTTCTCCCATCTTTCTGGCAGCATACGAATACTATGTTGGAAGAACGACTCATCTTTTGAGGTTATCCACAAATCGACCCATTCTTTGGCATCTTCATAAGAATGGAAGTGCTGTTCAGCCAGGCCATCGATCGGAACAAGTGTAATCGGAAGGAGCAATATCCGGTGAATACGGCGAGTGGGGTAGGACTTCCCATTTGAGCGTTTCCAAATAGATTTTGACCGGTTTTGCAACATGTGGCCGAACGTTGTCGTGCTGCAAAATTACTTTGTCGTGTTTCTCCTCGTGTATTGCGGCCGTTTTTCCTTGCTTTTAAACGTTTGGCAACTGTTGTGTGATCAACTCCTAATGATTCTGCAAGTTCATTTTGCGTCTGACATGGGTCTTTATCCAGTAATGCTTCCAATTCTTCGTCTTCAAACTTTTTCGGTGCGCCAGAGCGTTCTTTATCTTCAACATCAAAATATTTTTAAAGCGTCTAAACCAATCTCTGCATGTTGTTTCCGACAGAGCATGGTCGCCGTAAAGGCGCGATATTAGTGTGAGATATTTTTCGAAGAAGAATTCAGTTTGGCGACGGGCATAACCTAGTGGAAGAACTAATATAACCTCAAACGTCAAATTCACGTAACGTCACTTCACGTCCCGTCGCGTCTCGTTACGTAAAGTTCATCGTAATCCTGCCCTTAGTCTCCATAAGAATTTTTTTTGAAAAGCTAATGCAGTAAAATTCCCCGCAAATACTCTTTTTTTGGCACGAAATTCGACATGTTTAACTATGAAACATGACTGAAAAAATATATTGTCTAGGCTTCGGCGGAATAACATATACTGTCACTTCGAGCCTAATGGTGGAGCTTTACGATGAAGTTGGCTGTAGCATTGCCCGATGGAAAAAACTAAGATAACACCATCTGTCGGGAAACAGCGAGAACTTATTTAAGTCCGCAATAGATATCTGTAGATAAAAATAGATAAATATTTTCCTAAAGCAATTATCTAAACTTTCAGCATTAGCAATTAAACAAAGCATGATTATTAGAGAAATAATTGATATTCCATTAGAATTATTTTTGGTAACATTTAAAAATAAATAAGTATAAAATATAAACATTTTAAATTTACGAGACATTTTATAAATTTATTAAAGATTTATTATAAAGAATTTAAATATTTTTAAATTATGTTATGCTCGTTCTTTTTCTATTCATACATCACGAATATAAGTAACTATTTATATATTATATGTACAAAGTACAAAACAAAATTACAAGTATAAACGATTATTTAACTAAAGCCAGCGGCACACGGTGCTTGTTTTCGTGCTGGATTGCTTGCTGGATGAAAATACTGCGTTCTGATTGGTGCATTTCCATTCCTCTTCGGAAATGTACCAATCAGAACGCAGTATTTTCATCCAGTAAAGCCAGCGGCACGAAAACAAGCATCGTGTGCCGTTGGCTTTAGGCCCGGTTCCAAAACTTACTGTAAACGAAGTTTAACTCGTCAACCCTAGTTTAGACGAAAAATTGCGTTCCACAACTGCCTTAAACCATGGTTAACGTTGATTTCTCACAGTTAAAGTTAAACCCAAAACTTTGGGCGTTCAATGAATTTAAACGAAGTTTAACACTGCAGTACCATCAATTTGAGAAAAAAATTTATCACTCCCGGTTTTGGAGTTCAGTTGACAAATATTTTGAACGTTTGAACACCAAAGAGATATGGCTTTAGAATACATATTATCTTCATCTAAAGATGAAGATTTTGAAAACCTAATTTATCGACGGACAAGAAATATAAGAATAAGACGACCATCATATTTGAAAGAATTTGATAATGTCGATTTTCATGCACGATTTAGATTATCAAAAGAATCTGTTATTGCAGTTCTAGCAGAAATCGAGCATGAAATTCTCATAAATAGAACAGTAAGTATATAAATTTAATTTAAAATATTGGGTTTTTTGCTTCGATAGATTATGTTCTAAAACAGAGTATAAAACTATATATAAAAGTCAATTATTATATGATAAATGCAATCAAATCAATAATATAAACTAATTGATTATTATTAACACTGGACTTCCACCTTTTAATGAATTAATACTTATATACAAATACAGCAAATGTTAATGTTGGTTAGTGTTTACTTCATACGAAACAGATATATTGTTCTCTACTAGATGTCATAGCATCCAACTTATTTCAATTTTCCCTCTTTTCACTATTAGCAACAACCAATCATACTTCTATGTTTGAAAAGAAAGAGAAGTCTTTGACAGTTTCTTCATACAGACTATGGCCGGTATTCATAGTCGGATCTTATATTTAAGACCGTCTTAAGTTTATCTTCAAACTCTGTACAAAGTATTTTATTAGCTATACAGTATCTGAAAGTGAACTTAAGACGGTCTTAAATATAAGACCTGACAATGAATACCAGCCTATGGCCCATATTCAAAATGCGCTAACATATACGCTGACATATACGCTTCTAAATACGCGAGATGTAGGTGCGCTTGTCAGCGCTCGTATGCAGAACGCAAGAACAGAGCACTATTACCTAAAGACGACAACCAATAAGAGTGCGTTTCCGAGCAGTATGTAGCTATTGGTTCTTTTCATATCGCGTAATGTGGATGTGTCAAGAGTACGAGATGCGCGTCATCCAGCGATGTTCAAATGTCTGTTGACGATTTTTGCGAAGTGGAGTGTTCTGATATATTGTCAAATTGTGTATAAGTAAGTTTATTTATTATATTAATTTACATTTCATTCTTATAATTTTGTTACATTGCTTATTTATTATTCATTCCTTGCTCTTAATAACGGATAATTTTAATAAATATACATGTTCGTATCTTTATAGATGAGTGACAAGAGAAGGGAAAATTTTTCTGCCGAAGAAAATAAAACAATAATTGATTTAAATTATTATTATTATTTAAATTATTATTATTATTTCTTTAAATGTGACAGGAGCTGTTAGTGCGCTTATACATGGCCCTGACCACTTTTATCGCGCGCTGCTAAGATATCGATATGTTAACGTGCTGTTACGACTTATTCGTGGTTCTGAATAGGGATTTTGCTCTAAACACGCGTGATTATCGATATGTCCTAACAAAACGCTGCTATCATCGCGTTGAGAATATGCGCGCTAATAATTAAGAGCGCTAACATCTCGACTTGTTAGCGCGCTAATATCTTTGTTAGCGCGTTCTGAATATGGGCCTATAGGTTTAAGTAAACTACAGTTAAAAACATGATGTGGAACGCGATATAAGTTTAACCATGCCGTTAAATGTAACGTCAGTCCAGATAATCACGGTTTAAACTTGATTTTGTGGAACTGGGCCTTAGACTTGAACCGCTTTTAAAGCCAATGGCACACGGTGCTTATTTTTGTACTGGATTGCTCGCTGGATGAAAATACTGCGTTCTGATTGGTGCATTTCCATCCATCTTCGGAAATGCACCAATCAAAACGCAGTATTTTCCAGCAAGCAATCCAGCACGAAAACAAGCACCGTGTGCCGCTGGCTTTAAACGACGTCGCAATATATGCAAACCAATAGGGAGTTTTTGCAATACCGTTTCTCAGATACGATAAACGTAAGTCGTGAACGTCATTTGCTTAGAAATAACGTCACAATGTACGCGACCAATAACGTTCACGTTTACCGTATTTGAGAGACGGTATTGCAAAAATTCTCTAATAAATATTCAAAACTTAGGAAGTACATTAGACGTATCTGGAATTTTAATATTTATTTAATAAATATTATTAAATATAATCTAGAATTTTATATATATATATATTTTTTTTTTAATTAGAGGAAATACAATTAAAACGAACAGACTTAAGCCGAAAGCGATTAGGTTGCCAACCACTGTTGCGACACATCCAGTAGCATCCAGTAGAAGGCTGCAAGATATTCACAGTAAAACGTGGAGGAAATTACGCTGAGACATTGACGCAGCAATGGTCGCGTAATCCACTCACGTTTTCGGTCACGTTCACGCGCAGAGATTGCGAGCTCTTCAAGAGACGTGCGCGAGGATGTCGCGTTCAAAGAGCGAGAAGAACGGTAACGGTGGTAAGTGCGAGGTTAGTGTGTGGACACGTGCAATCACAGCCAACTCTGAATGGCCCGATAAGGTAAACATAACTTCGAATTTTAACCTACAACTATTTGCCGCTGTAATATTCCACCGACATACACAAATCTTAGATGCAAATGCTATCTTCTCGATGAGGATTTCTATGATTTGTCATATTTTGATGTAGTGAAAATTTTCATTTCTTAAATTATTCACGCAATGACTCAATGAAATTAAAAATTTTCTGAATGTATACACTACGATATGGTACACGAGGGATACAACGAAACCCAATGACAGCGTGAAATTAATCAGTTGATATCGTTTATCTCGTGTTTTCCAGGAAGAATTTCTTGATGTGATATATTGGGCGAGACAGGCGATCGGCATTATCGTCGGTATAGGATGGGGCCTTATACCTTTGAAAGGTTTTCTAGCTTTATTGTTGTAAGTATAAAATATATAGCAGTGCGACAATCTTTTCTCTTGGCTTATAAACTCATCGCTAAATTTGCACACATTCTCAAAATGATATCATCAAATGTTTCCATTTCAGATTTGTATTAGTCAATGCAGGAATTACATATTTATACTTTAGTAGTTTCCAACAAATCGATGAGGAGGAATTTGGTGGTGTGTGGGAACTGACAAAGGAAGGATTTATGACTTCCTTTGCTGGATTTCTGGTAAGGAATTACAGTGTACAACAATTTAAATCTTCCTCGAATGGGCTTCTAGTAACATTTTTATGTCTGTGTCACTAGGTGACATGGATCATTATATACTCTGGACTGCATTTCGACTGATTTACGTGCTTTATCCGACGTTTGTTATGCCGCTGCCTACGGATTCGTACATTGGCTCGGATCCATGTTTCACACATGCAAAGAATGTTCGACTGCCTCCTAATGCTCAGCAGTGAATTTTTGGATTCCCCCATGAGTGATGACGTACTGCGTCCCGCTGACTGTCCCTTATCGAAATTATAAGTCGTTTCGCGTGATATGCGCGCCTTGCGAACCTGGTCGACGCTCACTCGCAGCTTTGAACCTGGTCTTGAGTTTGCTCCGAGTTCGAGACTAATTGTTAAAGGCATAATTAAACGCTCGTTATCCCGGCACGATTCAGTCGATCCGTAATTAATTTGTGATTCATTTACAATTACGATATTCAACAGCATCCCGTCGACAATTTGGATTTCCTTCGCGAAAGAAGCTGTTTTGTTGTTAAAAGGTAACTTGGTGAGTCGCGTGTACGCTCCGCCGATGATCTTTTTTGTAATGTGTTCGGTGGACGAAGAGCGTACGAAGGAGAATACGGAAGGCGCGCGATTTACTGCCTCGTTCCTTCGACAGGAGACGAATGAAACGAATGGCAGGGAGGATGCTACAAGAAATTGCCGCGTACGATCAATCGATTTTATCACGAACTGTTTTTGCACGATCTCGCTGTTGGATTAGACGAGCGACAAGCGGCATGCGACGCGATATCAGTTCCGTACATCTCTGAATATTTCATTGAATAAAGAAATTTGTGATAAAAAAAGAGATATGGCGATTAGTTGACCATCTTGGTTATCCTCTCATACTTTTGTTATTATTATTATTTAGAATTATTATTTAGATAGTAGAGCCAACACATTTTATCTTAACTACGAGGAAGCAGTGAAATAATTTACCGTCATCGATATATACGATATAATACCGCGTCTCTCATGAATTCACGTATGAAACGTAAGCAATAGCATGTAACGCGTCGAATATATAGCCAATAAGGACTCAACGAAACGAGCCATCGGATATAAGCATCGATAATTGTATTTAACGTATTTATGATTCAAATTTTCGTCGAGCATCGAAAAAGGTGTTAAGAATCGCATTGACATATATTTTAGACATCATTCGCGAGTTATAACTATGCATTTATATCCTGATAAGATTGCGCTTGCTGATAAAATGTCATAGTCGATGTCCAAGGGTCGAGCGGAACAATCAGCCTCGCGTGTACTGGAATCCTCTGGGCTGGCAAATTTTTAACAAAATACTTCTTCGGGGTTTGATCAAAGGTTAATTCTAAACCATCTTGAAGTCTGAGGTCTTAATCTTTTTATTTCATCCGATCATTAAGCGTTTGCGTCCTCGCGCCCGTACCTGTTTGTACTTTGACATTATTTGCTCGCATTGGCTTTTATCCTGATAATGAAGTTGATAGTGATGAAAGATGATGGCGAACAACAACGGTATCTCAGCATGTGCGCTCAGCAGCGACCGCTCGAGAACATACAAATCGACCGCTTTGTCTTCCGGCGTGGAATCCAGCCGAGTCAGTCCGAAGTCTATCATTACGAATCGGGTATTGGCTGTAAAACAAAATGGTGAATATCAAGATGTGATAAAGTGACGGAAATATAGTAAAATAAGTAAATAAGTAAAATATAGTAAATTGGCTGGCACGGTATCGTGCCTTGATCGTACAGTAAACATCGAAATTGAATAACGTGTGAATCTATATACTGTAAATTGATAATTTATCTTAGATACATATTAGATATATCATAGATCATGCTATATGATGAATACAATTGATATATAATATACAAGGTACAATAGGTGCATAAAAGTATACAGATACGCGATGAATGTGAAAGTTCGTTTCAAGTTTCATTGTACGATGACTGAAAGTTTCCGCGTTCCGTTGTACACGTGATTCAGTGCGTGACATTGTCCCTTACGGCGTCAGTGTTTACCGTATCTCGAGAGACACATGGTGCAAGAAGTTCGTTACCTTCAGACTCATTACTGTCGGATCGCTCGATCGGGCCATTCCTGAGCAGTATATTCGACGTGGTCAGGTCGCCGTGAATGATATGCTTGGAATGCAGTTTAGCTATGAGTGCGCCCAATCCACGTCCGATGAATTCCAACACGTAACTCCCCGTCTCCCCCGAAATATGTTTGTCTATGAAGTCCTTCAGCACTGTTGCGTCCTCTATGTATTCCATGTAAATTCTGCGTCGCTCCAAGTCCACTAGGTACAGAGCCGGTGTCGGCACTCCTTGCAACCAAAACGGAACAAGTTAAAGAGATAATTCCCGAAATTATCCCGAGGACTCGATCGAGGAGTTTCTATAAATCGAAAGGAGCAAAGGGAAGCCGACCGTTTCTAGGAAAAAGCGTTCAACCTTCCGTTTCTTCAATTTTAAGTTCTGCTTTTGTCGACTTGAAAGAAAAAATCCAATCGTCGATCAAGCCTTTATCAAGCCACTCGACGTAAATCAACACGTTGAAGAGCAAAGTAGAAGAGAAAAAGAAATAAACAAACGAAACAACAAGCGAGCGGTGAGCTTAAATGTTACCATGCGCGCGCATCGACCTGCAACATGCGTTTTCGACTGCATTCGCGGATTTATTTACCCGCGGACTTGGCGCGTACAATGGCACGAGCCTCGGCTCTGATGCGATCCGCAGTGAGATGCGTGTCCAGTTCCGGGTGTCGGTAATTCTTCACGAATCTCTCCTTCAGCAGGCACGTCCTGCCCAAGTAAACGCCTTTGTAGAGACGCGCCTCTGCGCCTTGCGCTATCAATTCCATGTCTCGCATTATAACTCGCGAGATAACGATAGGCGGAATACGCGCGCGAACCTGGAAAACTGAAAGAAATCGCATATCAGTATTTAATAATGTCAATACAATTTGCATTCGCGACATCCGCAAAATAACCTCCAGAGTTTCCGCAGAGCGAGACGATTACCCTTTGTCTCCGGGCAAAATATCAAGGATAAGGATCCTCCGCGTTACTTGCGAATACCGGATCTCGAAAGATTCGCAGCGAGGCGAGAACAACGATACTATTCGGATTTCGCGAGTGTACCGATGGAAGTTGTCGCTTATCCTTGACGAGCGTTAAGGACGAGAATAAATTCTTCAAGACAACAAGAATTTCTTTCGTTTCACTCGAGACGAAACGTTAAAGGGGTGCGGCTAGGCTACCAAGGCTCATGATAAAATGGGAATCCTACATTGTTACGAATGTTACGTAAATCCTATCGATAAAACGCTATTGCTGAGATTTGCGCAACATTCGCGACGACGCGTGTTCGCAAATATCGCGTTTGCCGATACAGTTCGCACGCATAAACAATAACGATTATAATTACAATAGTGATGTATTAATACTGTCTCTAATATAATATAATATCAATAATTCTCAGTACATGTCGCCCTCAAGTATGCTTCTATAAGCAAACCCGAGATATTCGTTCGCTTAGGTCGAAAAGTCGACGAGATATTTCGCGTCAGAAGACCGAGACTTGTGACGAGCGAGAGATGGGGACGTGCCAAAAGTCCTTCGGGGTGATCGCAAATGCTAGGAAAGACAAGCAAGATACATATTCGAACAACAAACGCTCGAACAATATCGTGTTCGTAGACAGGTCCCGTTAAACGTATCCACGCTTTATCGCACAGCTCGCACGAACGAGCGACGCAAGAGCGAGTCTCGTCGCTGTTCGGACGAACCGAAATATCTCGGCAGGGCGAGACGAAAGCGAAATACGTCGAAAACGAGGGCGAATAAACTCCAGGAAACGATCGCGAGAGGGCGATCGCCTAGAGGAGAACGTGGCGAGTAGCGAAGCGAGGGCGATCGAATCCTACGTTATCGCGAACCCCGGGGTGTTACGTGCGCATGTCCGAGTAATTGGACGCGCAAATATCGCACGATCGCTGATCTCGCTGAAACGAATACGCACATACGTGTACATGTATATACATGTAGCACATAGCCTCACAAGAGAATGACAAAAGACGCTAGTAGTGAGCGAGCGAATGAACGAACGCGAGCAGGCGAGCAAGCAAGCGAATGAGCGAATGAGCGAATGAATGAACGGGCGAGCGAACGCGACGCGTCTGCTCCGTCGTTCCTTTTTCTCTTTCTCTGCTCGGGCCCGTCCGGAGATTCGCTTGCGCGAGGCGAAACGTGCTACTAAGGGCCAGGGCGAGGGACGCGGGCGAGAGCGAGGGCGAGGGCGAGGGCGAGGAGGTAAGGTACTCGGGAGAGTGCGGCTGCTAGCGCTAGCGAGGCGAGACGAGGGCGAAACGCGAATCGATCGTTACCTCGCCGGCGTCCTGCGCGCTAATCGCTATCCCGGCGCTAGTATTCGCCCGTACTTTGTCGCCGTCGGTCCGCCGACGCGAGGACGTGCAGCGCGAGATTATCCTTTTTTTTCTTTTTCGTCTCCTCGCCGCGTCTAGTATCGCGCGCGCGTCCCCCCGCGGTGGTTGGCGAGCGGTCGGCGGCACCGCAGCGGAAGTATGAGGGACGAGGTGAAGATGGACGCGAATCGCCTGATCGCCGAGGTGTACAAGCGACCGGCGCTGTGGAATCAGAGGCACATCTCCTATCACAATCGCGAGGTGACCAACCGCGTCTGGATGGAGATCGCGGCGATATTCAATCTCCCCAGTACGTGGTCCCCCCGTGTCCTTAGCACGCCGTACGGCGAGCGGACGCTCGCACGCGTGACGCGATGCGGCGCGCCTCGACGCGACGCGACGCAACACGCCGCCCAGGCGCCGCGTCCTTCGCCCATGCGTCGACCGCCGCGGCAAGTCGCGCGCGGTTTCTCCTCCGGCGTGGCGGCGAGCAGGCATCGACGACGGCTGCTCGAAGAAATAGCCGCGACCGATAGGAACCGATCGGGTCCTGATGCGACCTGCGAAGTCGACGACTGTTTTTAGCAAGTCAGTCGTGATTTTGTGTGAAAATTTCGCACGCGACCGGGTCCGTCGTTCGAGAGGGAATATATTCGTGGAATTTCTCTTCTCCTCCGGGAGAACTGGAAACGCGTCCATGCGTTGGTACAAAGACGCTTCACCTTGATCTCGTTTTGTCCGAGCTCCCACGCGCGCAGACGGTTGAAACGGCGCCTCCTCGCGCGCGCGCCCGCGCCCGCGAACGCGAACGCGCCCGCGTGCGCACGTGGCTCCGCGAAATGAGGAGGAACTGCGTGCGGAGAGACAGTATTCTACGGAGAATATTGCCTCTTCCGGTAAATAAAATTGACAGGTACATCGGAAAGTGTTACAGATTCGCGTGACGTTTTATCGCGTGTCACAATTATTTTCTCTTACTGTATACGAGGTTGGCCATTCGACAGTGATCCCCAGTGCGATTCGAACATTTGCTTCGACACGACTCGATCGAAAAGGCGCACTACGTGGAAGATACTACGCGCTATCGAATTTTGTAATCGAAAGCGTCAATCAGGCGTCTTCGAAGCGGAAAAACTCGAATGGACAACCTTGTATCTCTCGTCTCCTCTATCGAGACACATCGTTAATTACACTCGAATGTCGCATGTTTCACGACAAGACTATATCGTTCCTGCTTGTTGGTCTGTCGAAAAGCGTTCGTCTGCTCACGGCAGAAGACCCAACGCGATAACACAATGCGTGGTACATTTAACTTAACCTCACTTTGAGCGCGAGTGAGTGTGAACTCGCTCCCGTCGACGACATATTTCGCGTGGAGATACAATTATTGAGAATGCTTCCTACCTGCGCTACCTCGGTCGCACGGAAACGCACGTTCTAATCTCTGATCGAAATTCGACCACAAATTTCGGATACACGCACGCACATACGCACTGTTCGCTCGCTCGAGGCCGCATGCGCGAGATACGCGCGTGCGAGTGCAGTCGATATCTCGCTGAGTCGCTGAGTATTATATTTAATTCAAGGAAAACTCTCATCAGATTCCAATTAAACTATTGTCAACGGCAATTTCTTCAGCCATGTAACTTGTCGTTAGACAGTAATTAATAAACCAATAATTCTATGTGTATGTTCAAAACAAACAATACTTGACTCTACACTAACAATTTTAGATCTCCAACTTGTAAAAGAGAACAGGAGAATGTTCTGCTTTAACAACAGAATTATATTTTATTTACTTTATTCTTTTGTCGAATGTCAAATCTGTCGAATGAATTACTCAACTGATATACAAATGATGGTTAACTTAATCAGATTTTAATAAAAATCATTCTGAGTATATAATTTCCATGCGACTCGCGAAACCATCGTAAAAGAATATAAATTCAAAATATACAATTGAAAATAAATAAAAATACAATTCTATTTTTTACGCATGAGATTCTACATCACTACACACGGATCTATCTGCGCTGTATTTTTTCAATGATGAATTTCGTCGATTCAAACTGACCATATAGACGCGTGTAATGATGTTCGTCGCGACTCCTGCGACTAAAATTAAAGTATTCATGCGCACTAATACATCGTATCAACGTTTCAGTAACATTCACAATATATATTTCATCGCACAGACTCGCGCGCGTGTCTCGCTCTCGAGAAATGTCACAAACTGCCGTTGCGCTTACATGCAAGCGTCCTATCGCGATCTGCTTGCAGAGCCGATGCTGAAAGCCAAGTGGAAAGGCCTACGCGACACATTTCGCGCGGAGTTGAAGAAGGACCAGGTGTACCGTAAGAGCAAGTTCCACCGTAATCGGCCGGTATGGATCCACTTCAAGAGCCTGCAGTTCCTCAAGGAGCAGATGCTGCCACGGCCGCCGATTTGGGAGCGCAGTGTCGCCAAGACTGAGGATGACCTGCAGCCGTGCAAGAGCGAAACGGAAAACGGCGCGTTGGTGATGCACGGCGGCCTCAACAGTGGTCTTGACGATCGCGACGCGATCGCCGATCATTTGCTATCTATGGCCGGTCATGACAACGGCCATCATCAGCTGAAGTTGGACAGCGACGGTCGGCGCCTCGTCGACGTGAAGCGCGAGCCCGAGGAAAGCTTCGACAACCTTGAGTTCCAGAGTGTCGCCGATAACCTGGCGGATAACGAGATGATGCTGCAAAACATCTCGCCTGAACAGGTGTTGATGAGCGAAAGTGACGGTGCCGTCGGCCTGACCGGTGTGGATCCACTCGAGGGCAACCGCTTCGACGACAACTACTACTTCCTCATGAGCCTGTTACCGCACATCAGGACCTTGCCGGCGGATCGCAGGATGCTGCTGCGCATGCAGATGCAAGAGCTCGTTTACAAGGAGGTCTACAAGAAGGCTGCCGATAGCGAGCAGACGGCGAAGACTTAACTCGAGTCGTGCGAGCGACTCGCCGTCGTCGGCCGTCTTTCGGCGTCAACTCGCGAGATTTCTTGTTCCCTCGAGGAGTAAGGAGTCCTGATTTGATACGTGTATAAACGAACGACCCTTAGTCCTCGAGGATTGACTGTATGATTCTTAGAAGACACGCAGTGTATTTTTGATTCTCTCCGTACGAGAACGATCGGTGAAAATAAAAGAGAGATAGTTACCTTTTGTTAGAGAGCGATGTTGAAGAAGATACGAGGGAGAAAGAGAGAAAGCAGTTGAGAGTGCCAGTAGAATTCGAAGAATAGTGTCAGCACAAAGTAGACGACCGGCGAGAATTCACACATAGTGCTCCCGAATGAATCCAGAAAAAGAAGCGGACAGTTCTACCTTTCTTCGACGAAATAAGACGAGCCTTTCCGAGTAAGATCCGTTTTTGCCGCGAATTCTCTTCGAATGTCGATTCCGACGTGGTACGAAAGCACCTTCCGCTATCAGCGCAGATCTCGCAGGTAGGTAGGGCCCCGATCGATCCAGGTATTTCGTGGTTCGTTCGCCGGTGTTCATCGGTACTTGGAAATTGCTGAAAAACACCGCACGCGAATTAGTGCGGTTCAATGTACTCGAAATTATCTGAACATAGCTAAGGATAATGATCGACACGCAATAGATGGTCAGTTCATGCGACACAACAGTCAAAAAATACGCTGCCCTTCGGGCTCGTTATTGCGCTCGTCTCGCGCGGAGTTGCTTCTTCCCGAGGAAGAAGATTCCGACAAGCACGGCTAACGCAGTATGAAATACCGCTACACGGATGATCCCTGTATTAGCCGCGTAGCGTGCGCTCGCACCTGAACTCCGCTGCCGCCGGTGGCGACACGGTTGAGCGCCACTGGTGCTTTCTCGTACCTGCGGGTACGACCGTGACGCACACCTGTGCGCCCGTCCCATGCGGCCACGTTGTATACGTGCATACACACATACAGGTACACACACATACGAATACGCGCGCATACGCATACACTGTTGTACGTGGTGCACGGGCATTTCGCAGTCGCGGAAGGCGCATGCGCGCTCACCGTGGCTCCAATCGGATCCGATCGTTTCCTTCGCTTTCGCGTCGCGTCGCGTCGCGTCGCCTCGCGACTCCTCGCCCGTGGCTACGTTCAGTTCGGCCGATCGCTCCCGCACCGTTAGCTCCGATCGCTGTGATTCTCCTTGCGGGTCTCCCGACTATCTGCCGTCCTCTTCTATCCATCTCTCCGGCCGTCGTCGGACAGCCGCGAGTAACGTCGTGTCGCACGTTATTCACAACGTAACGTCGCGTCGCGTCGCGTCGGTCTCCTCTCTTTCCCTGGTGCCAGCACAGGTGTTGGTAGAGTTCAGTGGCTGACAGGGATACATCATCGCCACCGAGGCGATATCACCTATTCTCTTCGTAGTTTCGCCGGAACTTGTATCGCGTCGCTCAGGTGAGTCAATTTTCTGGAATCTCAGTCGGACGCTCCGCGAGAACCAGGAGAGAATTCGTTCTCTTCTTCGGCTCTCCGCGCCACGCAGGGTGTCCCCCCGCTAGCAGGTAGCTATGTTCATGTCGGTGGGATTTCTCCCTACTTGTTTGGCGCCGATGTTTCTTTCCGAGGAGGACGTCCACCCCAACGGATTCGTTGTTCGTGAATCTTCGTATAATCGAGTCATTAATTAATATTCCACTCGAACGAAATCATGCCGTAGGTCTGAGATTGCGGCTGCGTCATCTGTTTGTCTCGAGGCGTCGTTCACGTGCCATAGACCGCTCATTTTCAAACGTTAATTACGTGAACGTGTCTTCGCGAATATTTTCATCGGTGAAAAATCGGCTCTGAAAAAGGGGCGAAAATAAGGAAAAGCCACCCACGTCGGGAATGTGAGACGCTCATTTGAGACGCGGTCGACATGCGAACATTGTTCGCTAATAATGACACAGAGAGGCTTGTTTTAGATAGTAACGTCGTCTTTTGTTTGTCGTCGTCGTCGTCGTCGTCGTTGTCGTCGTGTGAACGTGTGCAAAAGAGTGAACGCGCGCTTTGACGCCGTTTCGCGCTATTACTGTAAATTCTATTGTACAGACTTTCGATCGTCCTCGCGACGACGTTACTTTCTGTAATATACATACAAATGTATCCTACCTTGGAGAGCCGCTAATTTACGACGTGCGTGCAATACGAGCGTGTCCAGTTTGGAAATAGAGCGTGCTCCGCTCGATCTAGTCTAGCGTTTAACCCTTTAACCGCGTTCGCGCGCGTTTTGGAGAGAGGTTGATCGCGAAACGACCTGAAAAGAAAGAAATAAGAAAGATCGAGAGGAAGGAGAGAATACTTTAAGAACAAATTATACCACAAATGATTATTTTATGAAGAGAGAATAAAGAGAAAGAATTCTTTCATTGTGTAGCATCCACTTATTTACCACCTCGCTCGATCAAGTGTGATTGTTGATGTTAAAAAAAAAAGATAATAAAAGACATCAACATTACGCGCTCCCTCAATCGAACGATACACAAGGTAAAATTGCTACAAGAAATATTTCACTCTTGTAAAATAAAATATAGAAAGCAGTTAGAATATTTTACTTGTTATCTCGTTCGATTGAAATGCGGCACTTACTTACGGGCACCAGAAAACCGCAGAGGCTGTTGAAATCCCGAAACATGAACATTCATTTAGGAAATTATCCCTCGTAATGCTGGAAGAAACTACAAGGAGTAACAAGCGACACAACGCGTCGCCTTAATTTTGCAACGAACGCGCGGAAGAGCTCTCGGGCACGATCGACGTGAAAATCGATTCCTCCGAGAATCATGCATCGAAGAAGAGCGGAGAATAACGGTTAGGGGGTTAATCCGCTCGTTAACCGGCGATTTGCGGAAGAGAGAGAGAGAGAGAGAGAGAGACTGGACAAGACGAGATTAGACTGGACGAGACGCGGATGCCGGGTATTTAGGCGCGTGTCGTCTCGAAATGAAGGTTAAATATCGGGATTCTTGCGCCAGCTTTAAATATATCGCGTCCCGCTTCACGTTCCTTGCTGGCCCTTGCTTGTCCGCGCTTTCGAGCTCCCGCTCTAAATAGCGAACTGGAGGCCCTCTCTCTTTCTCTCTCGGCTGTGCGAGAGATTCGAAACGCATCTACGCACATACCGTTCCGAGTGACAAGTGCCTGGAGACCGAAACCGACGCCGGTCCTCTCCCAGTGCCCTCGCTTTGGTAAACAGTCCGAACGAGCGGCTGCTAATAAATGTTAGGGCGCAGAGGAGGCGGGATCGTACGGGCGCGCGCGATTGTAGGTCGATTTCGCCGCCGCCGCCGCTGCCGCCGCCGCCGCCGCCGTATCGTTTGTCAGCTATGCGAAAACGCCAATCGTTAATAATAAGCTCGACCGACTGGTATTATCGATCTCGTGCGAACGTGCGTTAGGAAAAACGTGCCTGCTTATTCTGCCGACTCCGACGAAATAATTAATTGCAGCTTGATTAGGTTTCTTCGCGCGCGTATCCGTGCAAGAAAGCTTGAGCGAATACGAGTTGACTCGCGAGATAGTTCGGGAAAAAGTTCAGAGGAAGTTTGCAGCGAGTTTCTCAGCCTTGTGGTTAACACGTGGAGTACCGCGAGATTGTACCAAGAGCCTGGCCGACGATCAAATTGACCAGAGATGCGGCGAATCGTTGTAATTTGAGATGCGTGTAGATATCTTTTTCCTACGCGCGCGTAAATAATAATCAAATGGAGCGCGCGATTTGCGGTGCTTAATCGACGGTTTGAAACACGCTTAATGTGGGAGTGCATATTACGTGTATACGAGAGATACGACAGCGCGTTATGCATTATATACGGAATCCTTGATCCGATTTCGATTTCTAATCTACCACGAACGCTGCAATGTGGCGGGCGTCGTGTGTAACGCGAGTGTTCTTGCCGGCTGCTCTGTTCGCCCTTTCCTCGCTCCTCGCCGCACTTGCACGCCATGAACGGATCCGAATGATTGCTCGGTGCGGATAATAACGGTAACAATCGGTAACAATCGCACGAGTCCCTCGATCTTTTCCAACTTTGCTCCTCGATATTATCCTCGCTCCTCACTGTCGAGCGTCGAGGTTCTCGCGGTTGCGCCAATACCGTTTCCGATCCGTTCATTTGACGAGCCCTCGCGGCAATTGCAGGTTTAATTTTTCTCGCGGTAGTTTAGTCGGTAATTTTTCAGGAAGAACAGAGATCTTTGCTGCTTCCTGGTTTCGAGTCTCTTAAAAATACATGCAGGCGAGTGTTTTTTTCGACAGAGAGATAGATAGATAGAGAGAGAGAGAGGGGGAAGCAGAGGGTGGAAGAAAGAGAAAGAGAGAGAGAGAGAGAGAGAGAAGCAGAGGGTGGAAGAAAGAGAAAGAGAGAATGAGAGAGCTATCGAGGAAGAGAAACATGCGGCAGTACTCCAGCTAATGGGGCGTGTTGTGATAATATGCTCTTATCGCACTTGGGAAGCTCTTTTGAACTTGGCGGTCGGTTTACACGACATTGAAAGACACGTGTAGAAACGATACTGTTTGAATGAGCAACATCTATCGATAAACTAAATTTGTTCGAGATTTCCACTTTTATGCTTATACCCCGAAGAATAAATTCCCAGATCAACGGAACTTATTTTCAGAAGTTTGACAAGAAAAACTTCGCATCCTCAATTCCAAGTTGATATTCACGATTATTTTGAACAAAGAAAAGTTGAGGCTCTAAAAGTTAGACGAATAATCTGTCACTGGAAGAGAAATCGCCGACTGTGAATCATCTGTCTGATTTGCAAATGTTCTTCATTTCTCTCTCATCGTCATCCCGACCCGACGAAGTTCTTTCTTGAAGCTTTCGCGCCGCTGATTCATCAATAACGGAATCGCGTCAAACGGAAAAAAAAACGCTTTGTTCCCCCGGCTACGCGTCGCGAGACTGAACAAATGCGCAGTGCACCACGATTTTTCGATAAAGTCTGATAAGACTCGTTTCTGTGTTCGTTGTATTTCCGTCAGTCTCGACGATTGATATCCAATCTACATGAAATGCGGCAATTCTGTATACCGTTCACGTTCCTGACCTTTCAGTTTTTCGTATTTTGTTCAACTTCTTCAGTACGATGTTAAATCGGAAGAAAGATATATCTGTCTCTTTCATCTTATTCGCCTATTCTCCGCCAAGTTTGCTGCTCGAATCGATTCGAGCGTGTTTCCCGCTTCGTGAAATCCACCGAACGTTATTCGAAAACACGTCCAACAGTTCGTTCTCACGGAGGAGCGAAAGACAATGATGTTATTATCTCGCGTGAATTCGCCTCGGAAGATTAATCCTCGTTTCAGCAAAATCGTGGAGAAGTTTCAGCGTGTCCACAAAGCGCAAAATGCACGCGTGCGAACAGACGTCCGGAATTGCAACACCTGTTCGCTCTCGGCGATAAAGTTGTCTCTTTGAATTGCCCGTATTTACATGCGCAATCCGCGAAAGTTTGGTGCTCAATGGAGTGAGTCATGTGGGGAGCGCGTGAAAGATAAAAGCGATATTAAATAATCCCCTGGTCGACGTTATAACGACGGGCGCGAGTCTGTTGTAAATAATTCATCAGCGGGACGAGTTCTTACCTTCCTTCGGCGATTCTCGCGGGCTCGACTCCGCTGTACCGTGACTTCCTCGCCGGTTCTCACGCTTTTCTCCTACTCCGCGTCTCTAGAATGCGCTTAATAAGCTGATTGTTGGATATCACGAGATCTCGCCGTCATTCTCCCGCAACCGCGGCGCACAGCTGCATTAGCATGGCGGCGCGGATATCGGTATATCCTGCGAAAAAAAGTGAAAAAATTGGAAAAATGCAACGGGTCGAAAAGGAGGTCAGGTTAGTCTCGCGGAAATTCGCTTAGAACTTTTAGAGGCTATCAGGACAGGTATTAATTATCACCGTTGGCCGCCTTTCGAACGTACGTGTGGGATTCAGTAATATATATACATGTATGTGTGTGTAGACATTTGATAAAATTCGCGGTCGGGAAAGGGTTGAAACGTGATATGTCGCCAGGTTTATTTGGTTCCCTCATGGGGCGCGTTATTACTCTTTTCCCCTTCTATCTCGCTTCTCCAACAGTCTATTTTGATTTTTAAAACTTAAATCTCGAGGACCATTTTGAAAGTGAGGAAAAATATGAACTTTGAGAACTTTGTTTTAGAAACAATTCTGGAAACTCCTTGACGGTGAATCGACCGACGAAAAAACTCGGGACTCGTTTTCTGAAGCATTCAAAGAACGCGCTCGCCGCACCGAGACGTTAAAAGCAAGTCCACGTGGGCATTTATAATCGTTCGTTATTTCAAGAATTACACGGGTAGGGGAAGAAGGGGGCGACGCAGACGAAAATGTACGGTTCTAAAGTTGAGGGGAACAGCGTGAATAGTAAAAAAGAAAAGGGTCGTGCGTACATACAAGTTCACCTCGACCGCGACTTCTAGTCGGAGGACGAGAGAGGAGAAGCTCGCGGGCAACGACTCGACCCTCTCCCTCTCCTCCTCCCCTTCCTTTCTCCCCCCCCCCTCTCTCTCTCTCTCTCTCTCTCGCTGCACCGCTAGCCGGTCTCGAAGCGGACACGCTCCTGGCATATCTCAGGTCTGACTCACCAGCATCTTCTTCTTCCTCTTTTATGGGTATCAGTCCCTTTTCGGGACACGATACCGCTTTCTCCACTTCTCTCACCTTCCTCCGCCGACTCCTTTTCTATTTCAGTTCCTGTGGAAACGTTCGAAAATCGTCAGTCAGAGGCCCGTGTACATATCTCCGTTTCCTCTTAATTATCATCTCGCGATGCGCGCTGTTTCAGTATCGACGAAGGGACGACGGAAGGTGAAGAGCGGTGAATGAGAGCTCCTCCACATCGCGAATCCCGGCTGATGCACGGCCGGCGAGCAAACTGGAACGATAACGAAGGATGGTGAGCTCTCGTACGCCCGGTGTCAACAACGTCACGGCTGCTAATAACGCGGCTAATAACGAGGCCGACGACGTGTCCTCGTCGCCCGATAGCACCGACGTCGGCGTCGGGCTCGGCGAGGACGAGAGTCGTGTGAACGGCGTCCCTGAGAACGGCGGAGACGGCGGTGTACGCGGCGGCGGTAGCAACGGTGACGGTGACGGTGACGGTGACAGTGGTGGCAGCGGCGGCGACGGCAGTGCCAACGTCGGATGGAGTCAGAGCGGCCCGCCGTCGCTCTCGATGTCGGTCGACCTGCACAACCTCGTGACGAGCACGAATCATCAAGACTCCGGCCGATACTCGGTGAGTCCGGATCACGCCGGCGGCGCGACGCCCGCCGCAGCAGTTGTCAAGATCGGCTGCTACGACGAGGAGGAGAGCTACGAAGGCTTCGGTTCCGTCGAGGGCGACGCCGACGACGGCCCGGATTCACCGGGTGGTAGCAGTTCCGCACCATCGCCCACTGGCACCAGTTCCCGCAGGTGAGGAGTATTCGATCGCGATTAATTCGCGGATTTACACGTGTTTCGCTTGCGTCTCACGAATGTCGAAAATTTCCGATATAAGTCGGCAATGTCGCATCAATTTGAGTTTATAATTTATGATTTATAATTTAACTTAAAAATTTGTGATGGATATGTATCAAAGATTTATCTTTCTTCGAAGAAGAATACTTAAACATGCCGAAAGAATCGATCATTTTTCAACGTGAGACTGAATTTTCCCTACTAACGAGATAGATACGAGATCCATTATTTATTATGATGAATATGTAGATTTGCCTGGGTACTGTATAATATTCCACTTACTGAGAATCAATGTAGACCAATATGAATCGCATAAGGGGATGTAAGATGTTAGCAAATAATTATTCGCTAAAATAATGCTCAATAATTGAACATCTGAGAGTCCTAATACGCAATAATATTTCATGTACGAAAAATTAATTGAATTTCCCTGACATTGAGATGGGAATGTGATCTATTATTAATGACGAATATGTAAATCTGGCTGTACCGTACAGTATTTTATGGATGAAAGATTCGTAGAGAAGAACGACGGAAACAACTCGACCCGATAACCGACTATTATTCCGCTCTTCATTGTGATCTCTTTACGCATCGTGAGCTGCGCTTCGGTTTGAATGATTCTTTCGAATGTAGTCGCTTCGATCGTACGTAATTCGACGTTCGCAAAAATTACGGACGCGCGATCGCAAACGTAACTTATATATTATTTATCCTTGCCCCCTGCTATCGATCGATATGGAAACGAGATACGAGAGTACCAGGAATTCGGAATCGCTTTGGCAGCTCTAATTTAGGCACTAAGAAGAGCAAAGCGAGCTAGGCCTTTTATTATAGCTCCCAAGGCAATTGTTTCCTGCCGTTACTCGCTCAATATGTAATATTAGGCGGAAGGTAGCGGATGATTTTTTGATGCGAAACTGAACACAACGGCGCACGTTAAAATCCAGCATACTCAATTCGAAACATGTCCGTTTGATTGATATTACGTTGTACAACCATTATGTAAGAGTGTAACGCATGTCGCATACAATGTCTATCAGTTTGGAATAATACCGACTGACTTGCTATCCGTATGCGCGAGTCACACGTGTTGCGTAATGATGGAAATGTATTTTTACAAGAGGCTTGCGGTACTCGCGATGCGCTGAAGGACTCGGTAGGAAGTGACGTGATTTCCTATTAGCGCCGTTGCACTTTTTTATAAGGAAAATTCTCTTGCGCGCGCCTCAAATTCAGTTTAAGGCGCTAAGCTAAACGCACGGTGTATCTGGCATCTATCGTTCTAGTCTGCCAGACGAAAATCTTTTTCTTTAGTTTTCCAATGCTAGACGAGATGTAAATTTTCGAATTTTACTAAAATTCTACGATACGAAAAAGATATGAAAAAGCACACGCTAGAGAAAGAAATTATTAACTGCACTGGCAACACATGCATAAAATTGGCACAATTATATACAAAGATTATTCCGCGATTCCTGAGACGTTCTCCGTCTCTCGGGACATTTTATGGATTACGTGACCGCAGTCCCGAGATTCGGCAGTAAAATATACAAATTGGTTTCATCGCTGCCAGTCACCGTGCGTGACGCGTAGCTCTTGGAGTCGCGAAACCAGTCGCTCGTGTCCGCTCCGGCAAATTCTGCCGACGCGGAGAGCGAGCCGTGCGAACTCACTTCGCCGTTACATTCGTATTTTTTGACTTTGCAGAAATCCGAGGAGCCCAAACTCCACCGTCGGGAGACATTCTTGGCTTCGTAGCTCATTGCGGAGAACGCCACCTTGGTAAGAGAAAAAATACATATAAACAAAAGAGAAAGAGAAAAGAGCAAATAACGCGAGTATACACGCACACGTACGCTCGTGCATGTAACTTCCTGTCCGACGGAATTTCCGTCGGCGCTGAAAAAGCGCGCGGCCCAACAATAAATGCGGCATCGCGGTCGCGACTTCGTGGCGTGCGAAGAAAAGGGTCCCGTGAGAAAGCGACGGCTCGCACGTACGTTGTATAACGACATCGCGCGTCCGCGGCGCGTCGTACGTTTATAGACGCGCGCGAGAGACACGGCGGCAAGGCGGCCGCGAAATTTCGCCGAGAAGAGAGACGCGTCCGCAATCTCGCCGACCGCATCTATCCGCGGTATATAGAATGACGGAAGCGAGTTCGCGCGGAACGTCGTTACCGAAACAATCGCTTCCTGCTCTCTCGGGTTCCTGGGGCTTGTTAGCGACAGTCGAAATATTAGGCCGAGACGGAGGGAACTCTTGCGTTACCGGCGCTCTCCCGGTAGTCGTCGCGAAAACTCCCGGTTATTCGAACGCTCATTATATATCCTAGCACACGATGAGTATTACAATTTATGATATAAAAAGAAAAAAAAAGAATGGTTTAATTAACGTGAAAGTGAAGGAACTACACGCATTTTTTTTTTTTTGTGTGGCGGAAACGGAATTTCTGGTTCTTATGAAACAGATTCGGTCCTAGGAACCGGAATTTCTGCTCTCCTCAAATACAAACATGCCCGATTCGTCCGTTGTCGTCACGTGTTAACGTCGACGCGATTCGAACGCGCTAGAAACGTCAAAAGCTATCAAATGTAAATGCATCAAGCTTTCTCGACCAGCACAGCGCTCATTTAAACGCCGAGCGTCGATTACTCGCTTCTTCCGATACACTCTGCGTACTTCATACATGTTACCGTACATATATACCGTACTTATATAGTACGGTACTTTGAGTCATAAGTAACTCCGCTCGCATGTACTCGGCCTGATTCGTCGGATTCGATCAATAATACGGCGTAAGAGAGTGTTCGATCGCTATTTAACGAGCGCAACTGTCGTCTACGCTAAGCGACGCTTGCGGTTCACTGCCGTCGAGAGAAAAAATTGAGAGCTCCTTGCGGTACCGCGCGTATACGCATATACGTACGTACATGGAAAAAAAGTCTCAGTTGATGCAACGGAACGGAGCTCCGTCGAAAACTCGGTGACGGGAGACGATATCTCAGTTATCACTTCGGTTGCGTTAAAAGACGCTTGATATGACCGAGAGTGCTTTGTTGAGAGATTTGTTGAATAGAAATCTCCCTCCTGATTCCTTCCTACAACCGGTTTTCTCGTCCGGTCTCCGGAAAATCAGGTACACGGAACCAGAATTTTTTTTCCGTGTATGAAAAAAAATACATATTTTCGCGCGCCATGTTAATCGTCATTGCTCAGCGCTGCCGTCGTATATAGAAGCGGTGATATTTGGCTTACGGTCGCAGCGCTGCATTTGGCAATAACATTTGGCGGCAGTGCGCGCGATGACCGCTAGGACTCGCTCGAAAAATAGACGCAGATATAGATAAGAATTTAGAGATACAGTTCTTCGTATAGACAATTATTTCGCAATGAAATTCAAAACTGCGCACAAACGCTGAGGAAATATATTTTCGTTGCTTGCAGCTCGGGAAGGAAGAGGCTGAGCTCGAACGCGTTAGCGAGGTAAGAGCAGGCGAGCTGCGACGTGCCGTTAAGGCCTACGCCGTGACTTTTCTTTCTTCTTGAAAGATTCTCGACGCGCGTCCGACCACACCGGTGCCGCACGCTTCCCCGTGCGTGTCTCGGAAATCGTTTCGCGTTTGATTACTCCCTGCTCGTGATTTAATTGATGCGCACACGCGAGAGGAAGAGGGTAATCCCCGCGCGAAAGAAAAGAGTCTCGCTCGCCGACCGTAGGAGAGATGATGCCTCTGCACCGCGACGATAATAATAATTATTCCCCCGGAGTCGCTCCTTTCACGGAATGTGAATCGACGGACTTTCTAACGCGTGGGCGTGCTTCTTGCGTTACTCGTGTTCTCTCTACCCGACGATACGCTCCTCGATATTCATATTTCCTTCGGCACGCTACCGTCGTCACCCGAGACGTGTCTTATCCGTTTGTGCCAAAGCGGGAAGCAATCGACACCTACGTGTGCGGCGCTCGAAAATAAAAAATAAATAAGAAGAACGTATTGTTCGTCGCGAAGAGCAGACCCATTGTTGTCGCTAATCAGCTTTCCATACGAGAATTGAGTATTCTTGCAAAGATATAAAGATAAAAGATAAAGATATAAGATCTACATTTTTATTAAATCTGTGTTTCTTATCGAGAAAAGTTATATGAAACTCGTCGACTTTTCATTTCTCCAGCTCTGAATTATTTAAATTTTTATCACGTTTCGTTTTTTGAGCACTTCTGAAAGTTGACGAATATTTCAAGTCGTGAGACTTGCTTTTACAATAACGACGCGTTTTCCTTCTCGCGTTTGTCATCGGCTGCTTGAGATTACCTTTTACGAGCGACTCACACCCATATTCATAGTCAGGCCTTATATTTAAGGCTTCCTTAAGTTTATCTTCAGATGGTCTGTAGCCAATAAAATAATCCGTGCAGCATCTAAAGATGGATATAAGAAGGCCTCAAATATAAGGCTTGACTATGAATACAGGTATCAGTTCTCAAGTCTGTCATGCCTTCGCGGAATTCTAAAGAAGTCCTTCGACGACTTTTGCAGCCAGCTCTATCGCAGTGGCAGCTTCAACAGCTCAGGGATGGGCTCAAACTACGATGCTGCGGACGACGTGTACAGTGACGTATCCTTGGAGGACGTGATGGATCTCAGCCACAAAGTGAGTTACAAATCGCGCCTTTCGCGGCGCACACTACACTCATAACAACCGCCTCTCTAACCGAGGGTATCGATCGTGCGAGAAGCAATCTCTCTGCGCTTTTTCTCAGCCGTTCCATTTTGCAAAAGAAAAATCGACGTTAAAGAAATGCGCGCAGAGAGGATTTGCGTGTCGCGTGAATGTAGCCGACAACGAATAATCGACGCGAAAATTTGCTCGTCACTTCTCGAGCGAAATCGACGATGTAATCTGTAACCCCGTTCCGGCAGCCTCGAGCCGGGATTCGCGGATCGAAATTACCGTCTCCGTCGCATACACAACGATGCGAGTCGACGTCCTGGCAAATCTTTAAGAGGACCGTCGTCCTGAGCGTCGCTAATGTGCGCGTCGCGCTCTCGACAACCGTACAACGCCGGCGCGCCGCGTGCGTATCATGAAAGGAACCCTCAACATGGCCCTTATCAGCCGTTCTACCCGGCCGGTTATCCACGTTGGCCACCGTATGACCCCTATGCCGCGTATCACTGCCAACCGGGCGCGTTTTACCCGTCCGCGGCGCCGTATTGCGACCATCACGAAATCGCGAAGGAGGACGTCGCCGCGAGCTGGTGGTTTTGGTTCACCATCCTGCTCTTTGTCCTCCTCGTAGCCGGGACCTGGATCGGCGCAAAGTGCTACCGTAGACTGTCCAACGAGACTCGACGTAAAATCGCTGCTTGGCTGCCTAGATCCCCGCTGCAGGTAATCGCGCCCGTCGATCCCACGTCCGCGCCTTCATGGTCTCCTGGGACACTTATTCGACTGGACAAAGAGAATGAGAATGAGAGAGAGAGAGAGAGAGAGAGAGAGAGAGAGAGAGAGAGAGAGAGAGAGAGAAAGAGAGAGAGAGAGGGAGAAACGCTGTCGGATAATTAACCTTGGATTATATCCCAGTCGTTTAGATAGTCCACCGCTGTACCTTTAGTTGAAGCTTCGCTTGGCTTGAGTTCCAGAATAGACGTTAATTAACCGAGGTAAACGAATAAGAAATAATTAGATGAACGGGATAATAACGAGTCTTGGTAAATGCCGCAACGGCAATTACCGAGAAGTGATTGATCTCAACGAGCGATAAGTTATATAATAATCGATGGAGACAACAGACAACTGTGAGACTAGATTTTGTCGGCTGATCGGATACAATCTCCGTCCGACGATATTAATTGGAGCTGAGTCATGCGTGTTCTTCTCATTCATGGGAGTAATCCAGGGTTAAGTAATTTGCGCAGCGGGTCTGGGAAAAAGACCTGCCGCGCGCGCGTAATCGTTGCATTTCGAGAAAACGCACATGAAGAACGGAGCGTGGATGGCCTTCCTGCGGAACGCAGCCCTAAAAGGCGAATCTCATTGCTCGTTTGAGTGAACCGTTCCGTTCCGCAGAGAAGGAGACGGGCAGAGACAGAGACAGAGACAGAGAGATAATGCAACTTTGCATTTCTTTTTGCCCACTTATGCACAGGGCTATAATCGCAGGGACAGAGTCCCCTAGAGCGGTCGCGATTCCCTCGGGAAAACTGCCCTGACTCCGTCTCGTCCTTTCTCGGCTCGCGCAGACAGCCACAACGAGGACGAACATGAAAGACACAACGCAGAATTGCCATCCTGCGGAATTCCTCGGACGCGTGCTCGCGAGCAACATCGACGTGTCAGGCGAGCGACGGAAGAGCGAAGATTATGGGCTTTCGCGCGATGGCAGCGACGAGCTGCCTCCTTCCACTTCTTCTTCGTTAGCAGATACGATGACGGAGACATTCATCAATACCGTCTACAAGGATGACGACGATGGCGATGGCGATGGCGATAGCAACGACGACGACGACGACGACGACGATAACAAGAACGACACGACGAGAAGAGATCTCGAGTATCGGCCGGCGACGAAGCTCGATATCGCTATAGGAACTTTTGTCTCGAAATACAATTACCAGGACCAGGAATAGCAGTCGGAACGACTCACGAAAGTTAGTTGCGACCGGGAGGATGAAACTTTACAACCGAGGACATTGTAAAGACAATCTAGGCGAAATACAATTATACACGGACGTTAATTGCCGACGAGAGCGAGTACGAGTAGTCTCCCACAATGAAGACTTTTAAAGGACGCATTTGATGTTTAACGAATTCGTTTTCGCGTCGCATGGGAAAAATTGCTGAGCCGATGTAACTTTGACGAGATGAATAAAGATATTAAATTCATATATTAAAGCAACGAGGAAAATATATACATAATATTAAGTCACATTGCACCATTATATCAAAGTATTAACACTAGAATTATCAAAGCGGTAAAAATGATGAGTTTGTAATCAAGATGTGTTTCTTCCCGATGGATATCGCGTCGTAACTTGACTTGTAACTCAGCATGACGTCGTAACTCAGCTTTGTGCCGACGTTTCGCAAACATTGTAACTTGCATCATTAGGGCTAGGAGCTCCGATAGATGGGAATACATCCTGATTGTATCAATGGCCCGTCTAAAAACTAGTATGACGAATTTGTAATTTCTCATAAAAATTATTCTCACAAATTATAATGATTGCATTTTATATGTTTAGATGACGTTGAGTAAAACTGAACAGAATGAATAAACATTTTTTTCTCTGTATATATTTTTTCTCAAAGCTGTCATTTTGATCGCTCTGATAGGAAGATTTAGTTCGCTGATCGTCGGTAGTTTCAGTGTTAAATGATCAAGATAATCATATAAAAAGAGACTGAGGCTAAAAGAGTGAGATTAGAAGATAAAGGAAAAATGTACGATGTCTTTTTAGGACATCGCAGTATTCTCAGAGATAAAACAGAAGGCTCTGCTAACGCGTCGCGTTTGTGCGCATTATCGCGAATAAACGTGACAGATCTCGTTTTGTCATATGTCATGGTGTCATGGATCTCATCGAAGTTACATCGGCTTATCCCCGATATGTGCCCGTCGCCCGCTATTTTTGGCACACGCCACATACAGAAACCCTTTTCTTTCTCCTCACCCCGATGACAATTTCGATAATCTCGCACGAACCGAAGAAGAACAAACGCCTGTCTCTCATGTCGAACGTGTCTGCGCATAACGACATGGCGACGCCGCGATGGCTCGTCAATTAAATTGACAAGTTTGCACGTGCCTATGTAGAAGACGGAGAAAAAATTCGTAGTCAAAGAGACACGAGTCTGTCCTCGTACATATTCGCGCGGGAGAAACGACGGGCAGCCCGATGGGTACGATTTTGTCGGCGAGCCTGGCGAGATTCCAGCGCGTGGAAGCATGAATCGCCGTGACGACGATCGACCGAGACGAAATTCGCGAGTGACAAGTCGCGCGATTTCGCAAGCGAGAACTCATCGCTTGGTACGACGCGCGGTCTCACGCGCGGAAGAAAACAAGTCGCATGGCCTGTCCGATGCAATCCGCCGGTTTCGTCGGATGGCCGGGGTGGTCCTTCGTGAGTTTCCTGTTGGTCGCTGGATGGGTTGCATACTTGGTACACGAAATGTACGTGAAAGCAACAGCCGCATCTCCGACGTGATCTTCAACAATGACGACGGCGGCGGCGGTGGCGGCTCGGTAATGTAACGCGCGATGAACGAACGCGGGACGTTGATTTCCACCGACCGACGAAAGTGCTCGAGACGCGCGCGATTTCGCAACGCGAGCGTCTCCGGTTACACGATGTAGTTTGACGTCTGAGGGAGTAAATAATATGGAGCCAAATCGGGATCCGCGCGATCGGGAGAACTCGCCGGGCGCTTCGCGAGTCTCTGCGATACACTCGGCATCGTTGACATCCGATCAGTTACAGTTATAATTTTGTTTCGTTTATGTATTTACTGCGAGAAAAACAATGGAGAAAAGATGTCAATCTTAAAACATGTTCATTGAACATTAGATGAGGATTCCATTAAAGAACGTTCTTCTTGAAACGCGAGAGAAGTACCCGTGTCCTGTGTGAAACATTTTGTAATTCTTCCTTCTCCAAATTGTCCTTCCAGTAAATACATAAACGAAACACGCAGCGATTATAAGAGAGACCAGCTTGACCTGGCTTCCTTACAATCGCAGCAAATGAAATACATCGCGGGGTTTAACGATCTTAGAGCAGGAATGTCACTTGGGGAGACTAGGGTAATCGAGCGTGACGTGTTCAGTGGGGTGGAAATTAGATTTCGCAGTGTGATCTCCGGTGATGACGATGACGCACGAGGAGGAGGAGGAGGAGGAGGAGGAGGAAGAGGAGGAGGAGGAAGGAGGAGGAGGAGGAGGAGGAGGAGGAGGAGGAGGAGGAGGAGGAGGAGGAGGAGGAGGAGGAGGAGGAGGAGGAGGAGGAGGAGGAGGAGGAGGAAGAGGAGGAGGAGGAGGAGGAAACGACGACGACGATTAACAATGGGCCTCGAGATAATAATTAACGCGTAACGTGCATGTGCGCGCATCGTGCTTCTTATGTAAATGTGCGCGATGTCCAAGATAAACTGAACGCACACGACTCGCTCGGTACTTCGACGTTGGAACGTACGTTTCGCGATCGCTGACACACTTGCGGTGATGTAACGAGCGACGGCGGCAGACATTATCGTCTCGTACGGTTCGCGTTAGTCTGGAAAGCGTTTTATTATCGATTGCGGCAGTGAGCCACCGACGCGAAACGTCGCTCCGTCGTCTTGGAGTTCAACGAGAATCGAATTTGCGCCGTGTCCGCAATAACATATCAGGAGCGTATGTCGTTTATCGGCGCCAGCGCTTATCGAGAGCTGTTGATATTCGCCTGGTATCGTGCGCTTCGCAAATGTGCGACTCCCATCGACGACCGCATCTCATTTTCTCCGACCTGATACAGTGCACACACGTTGACTGCCACGGGGCAGTCACCAGTGACCTACGCTATGACCTCGTCTCGTTTCATTGATCTACACACATAGTGTCGATCTAATGTCAACAAATGAATTGTATAGTCAATAAGGAGTCAACGAGACGAGCTGGGCTAATTACCGTATCTTTGGTGACTCAGACCTGAATCGAGTCGACTGAAATTTGAGAAACGCTGAAACGATCAATGGAAATCAGCGTGGCGGTCAACGTGTTAGCCCATGAGAGGATCGCTCCGACCTGCGGATTAGCTTGATTAAAAGAAAGAAAGCGAAAATCGCGACTCTCGAAGAAGAGAAAAGAAACTTGGCGTCTGCTTCGAACGAGACGCAACACCGACGAGTTCCGCTTCTCGAGTTTGCGGCCAGATGCGGACACGAACTTGGCGCACTCGCCGTTCCCAGAGTAACACGCTCGAGCAAGTGTTACCCGTCGATATTCATATCGCGGTGAAGGAAGACCCGCACCGCCCGCCGCGCGTCACCGACGTTTTCCTCACTCGGAAATGTCGCGGTCGAGGAGAGGAAGGTGGTCAGGGCGCGTTAGAGCGCGTTCGATGTAACACTCGACTCGGCTCGGCGCGGAGTTAGTCGGAACACGGTATGGGGCGCACAAATAGCTCGGCGGCGACTACTCCCCAGACTCCCGGCCCGCGGTGGGCGATCGGATCGGGAGAGAGACGAACGTACACACGTACGTACGTACGAAGGAACGAACGAACGAACGAACGGACGGACGAACGAACGGACGGACGAACGAACGGACGGGACGAGCACAGACCTGGGACGGAATATATTCCTGGCGCGTCGAGTCGCGTAGAAGACGCGGCGGAGGAAGTGTGCGTGTCCCTCGCGCGTGAAGGAAGCCGGGCGGCCCCGAGGCGCCTTTTCGATGCGTATTATCGCGGCGCGGCCGTACGTCGCGACGGAGGCGGCGACGGCGACGGCGACGGCGACGGCAACGTTGAGGACGGCGGTGACAGTGACGACAACGTCGACGACGAAGACGAAGGAATCAACGGAGTTCACGCGGGGATGACAAGTGCGCTCGTAATATGGGCGATGACGTGACGCGATAGACACGACGACAACGACGACGATCCGGGAAGCAACGAGAGCGACAAGCGCGCGCGATATGGAGCTCAACTTTTTCGAGGAGACGACGGACTCGAGTGATCGCACGTCTTCCGGGGAGGGGCCGTCGTCCGGACCCGGCGCCGGCCTCGAGTACGATCTATGGGAGGGCCAGTTCCAATTTGTGGGACATCAGTCGTCGCCACCGCCAGCGCAGCGGTGCGATCGACCGTCTACTCGTCGCCGCGGGTCCCGGCTCACCGAGCAAGTAAGAGGACGAAGAGCGCGATCTGCAGAAAATGCATCGCGGTGGCGTGTTGGGATTTTGCGTTTTGATGTCCACTCGCGTTAGCTCGAGTTCTCTCTGTCTCTCTTTGCCTCTCTCTCTCTCTCTCTCTCTCTCTCTCTCTCTCTCTCTCTCTCTCTCTCTCTCTCTCTCTCTCTCTCTCTCTCTCTCTCTCTCTCTCTTTCTCTCTCTCTCGGTCTGTCTTTCTCTTTCCAAAGGTGAGAATTAAAAATAAATATAAACCTCGCTCACGGCACGGTCGTTGTGCGCGAGCGAATGTAGGGGTCATTTTTGCGCATTGATAGCGATGGAATCCTCGCGAGAGTATGAGAGCGAAATGATGTAAACACTCTCAGAAATATGTTACTTTACGCTACGTAGACGTTGTAGAGCAATATAAATTATATTCTTTCGACAGAGAAGCTCGATACGTGCTAATTTCTTTTCGACCAAAAAAAAATTGAGCCTCGTCGACATTGCTGAGTAATACGTGGTTTTTTCCGTGGGGGCTGCGTTAATATAGAGTATGCGTCATCTTCGCCAAGAAGCATCGGCTGACCAAAACAACATATTTCGCACGTTGCGCTGCGTCTGTTAGAGCGGATGCGCTTTAAATCATAGGAATGACACGCTCAACGATATGTTCTTTCGTTGAATGAATTATCACGAACAAAACTGTCGCACAGTTCCTCTGATGCATAAGATGATAAAACCACATTTCGGAGAGTATTTGTTTTCGTCGCGAAGAATTCCTACGCGAACTAATCGCATTAGATATTTCATGCTACGTCGAGCGACGTGTACGTGGCTTATTCTAATTATTGGACAACATCATATATTGGGAATAACCGAGTCGAGTCAGGTCGAGTCGGGCGATATTGTATCTGTCCGGTTATCCAAGAGCGATATCTCACAACTTGCCGTCGTCTTTATCGCAAACATTTCTCGATAATTCAAGGTGTCAGCTCTCAAGATAACCGCCATGCGGCGGCAAATTGAAAAGATGCAATATATACGCTCCCCTCGGATTTACCGTTGTACAGAATGAAAAGCCGTAAAATTATCGCAGCGAGCTTCTATCCAATCGTACTCGTACAAGAGTCTCGCTATATTACTTGAAATTAAAGCGCTTGACCGTAACAAAAAAGGCAAAATTACTCATACGATTCATCATCCGGAACACAATCTCGCTTCGATCGCCGCATTAATAGCGTGACGTTACACGTTGTTGAATCACAAATTCATCATTCATCAGTGATTATGCTGAAACTTTGTTCGGACAATTTTGCGGTTTCTGTCGCGCGAGACTCCGCAAAAAGCGATTGTTTTTCGGAACTATCACTCTTCGCAAAAGCGCATTCGACTACGCGCGCTACCGCATAGAATATTCATATATTATGTTATCTGTGAGAAGGCCGCGGACACACATATAATATCCTGTTCATTCCCATTGATAGTCGCGGCAGCGTGGGCGCGCGCAACTGCTACTCCTAAACGACGTTTCCTTCAATACACTTTCTCCGCGCAATTCCGCGCCCACGTAGCACGCTGTTCGCGCGTTTACACAGCGCTGTGATCGACGTGGGATTTATTTACATCCATGATCAGCGGTCTCATGGCATACCGATACCCCGCGGAGTCTTTAAACTTTTCCTCTATGGCGAAATGCCGCATTGGATAACATGTTTGTTTCTTCTGTTATAAAAGTATACGTATTTTGTAAGATACCTTCTGGGAAACCTTCTGGGTGAGAATTATGCAGAAGCAAGAATCGATAACGTACCTGATAAGGCAGCAACGATTTCAGTTTTATATATCGACGCGAGATTGTTAAATATAATTTGCGGAGTCGCGTAAGAACGTAGGAGACTCCGCTCTTGGGAGAGGAACGCGAGTTTCGAAGTGTAATGCGATCGAGATTACGCTCACTTGTGTGTTCCACGAGATGTTGAACTCTCTTCTTTGTGTGCCGCAGGTTCAAATGATTCAAGAGCAGATGCATGCCTTGGTGGACACTAAGTCGGTCGGCGAGGAGAGGTACGCTCGAGCGAAGCAGGAGAATGCGACGTTGCAGGCGCGCATACTGATGCTCGAGGAAGCGGCCAAAGATGCGGAAACGAGAGCTGAGGAGAGGCTTCAAGTAGGTGTTTCATCCGTTAAAACATCCTGCAAAAGGTCAAGTTGAATTAGTCGCGAGTAAACGCGGGATAAATCGTGAGAATTTTCTTTTCATCGCGTTGCCTCGGAGTACAGAATCGTGTCTAAAAAGAAATCTACGAATCGCAAACTCGTTTTATAATTTGTGCTCCGACATACATACACACACACACACACATGGAGAGCCTGGAGACAGTGAAAAGCTCTGCAACAAGACTAATTGCGGCTTGGAAAAAAATTCCACGCAGACGGGGTTTCCGTTTCGAGTTACGGATTATGCGTCGGCATTATACGAGTTACGGAGTTGTGCGTTGGCAGCTTTTACCTCGACTGAGAGGATACTCTTTGAGTACTTTCCTCTCAAACTCTTTCGTCTTTCGCAGGCTGAGCAACGGAGGCATCGCGAATGGGCGTGCCGTTTGGAACGCGAACGTCAGTTACAACTGGAGAACTACGCGATCAAGCTGCAAGCGGTGGAGCTGGACAGCTCCAGCTTGCGGGATGAGATCGCGCGAGTCCGCGAGCAGCTGGAGAGAGCGCGGGCAGATAAGACGCGACTCGAGAACGATCTTCAAGAGGCCAGGAGGGAAGCGGACGCTGCGCGCGAAAGTGAACGCCACGCGGTGAGCCGAGCGAACGAGGCTCATCATCTGCTCGAAGCCATGAGAGAGGAACTTTCGTTGCACGTCGAGGATCAGCAGAGGCTCGAGGAATTGGTGCAGCAGGTGGCGCAGCTTCAAGCTCGCAATAAGAGTACGTTCACCGTTATCGCTGCGTGCACTTGAACCGGATAACGCGAGTCTCTCCTTCGACTTCTAATAGCTTTCGGGTGTTCTCGTTATAAGGAAGAAATGAGGTTGCGTTAATGAGAACAAAATGAACTGAGTGCAATTGATGATAAATAAATGGAGATACAAGTGAATTGAAAAAGAAAAATATTTACGATAAAATTAACATAAATTTGGGACTCTTGAGAATAAAAAACAAAAAAAAAAGAGAAAAATTGGAAAAGTGCGATAAAGTTAAAGCAAATTTCCAGTCCGTAATCGCATAAAAATAATATTTAATATTACCTGTAGTAATAAATCATGTAATTTAACATACACACAATAGAGGCGAGCTATTATGTTCTTGATGGTTGTTCATGTTGTAACATCCTGCTCGTTGATTTGCAGATTTGGAAGAATCTCGGGACGAACTGCAAGCCGCGGCCGCGTTGCAGGCAGGTCGTGAACTCTTAATGTTGAATCCTTGCAACAGTAACGCTGAGAAGGGGCCTAGTCTCGCCGTGGAGCTGTTAGCCGGCATGAATCCAGATCAGGTATATTTCATTCTTGCTATTATGTCAATTAGACCGATTCGAAAGTCCGGTTTCCTGCAACCCCGTTTATTGATTAGTGGTGAATAGAGTACAATGAGTCACCTACTAATTCATTGCACTACCGGCACTGTCGCCCAACAACGACTGCTGATGGATAAACAAATAATCACTTCATTAAGCCGGCTCTCTCATCGTTTTACAGATAGACGGACAAAGATTCGGGGAATTCGGCGAACCGTACACGATGGCTGAGGTATGTGTGACAAGTTGAATCAAATTGAATCAAATTGAATCGTCACAACTAATAAGTTGATCCGAAATCATACCGATGACCACTGTGTTCTCTGAGCAACTCTGTGAATCATTGCCATGTTACAGGTGAAGCAGGCATTGAAGGAGCAACAAGAAGTGAACACACAGTTGAGAACATACATCGACGGGATCCTGTTGAACATTGTGGAGAATTATCCCCAATTGTTAGAGGTGAAACAAACACACTGAAACATAGTGCATATAGAGTCTAATATCCTCGAGGCGGTCGTACGTTAACTCTCTTCATCAGGCCGACAGAAGAGCTGCCGAAAAAGCTGCTTAGTGAACACTCTCGGCCAATATACAATTGTATTTTATATAACAAAGTTTTTTAACGCAAAATTCTCTCAGTGCGGAAGAGAGTGCATTGAATCCGCCCGCGAGGTGGGGAGTGAATTTTAACCGGAAGCCATTTGCTGCTTGATGAAATGACAATTTGACTCTTGGGCGGTGCGAGAGAGCCCGGGGGACGTCGAGAGGACGTCTAATGAACTCGGTCGTCCTCTAGACTTCTTTCCTGCTGACGTCCCGTGTATTCTCGCGTCGATCAGGATCGAAATGTGTACTCGTTTTAAAATCCGCCCGAGGTCGTTGAGCCTCGGATGGATTGTTTAGAAAAGTGATGCTACTGCAGTCATGTGTAACACGGTTACAAGAGGAAGAGGGGGAGGAAGATTTCCAACCCGTTCGGTTTCGTTCCGTAAGACGAGCTTTGCGCTCCTTTACGTATGTAGATACATACAAACACACATAGTTCGCTCCAACCGATTCGTGCCGACTCAACCACTGCCGCAATCGTTAGTTTTACAGCGAGTTAACGTGTATTTGTCGTTACCAGGACGGTGAGAGCGAATCTCGATTACGTTACGTTTTCTCTCGATTGTTATCGCCGTCGAATAGCTTGTACGAGAGTTACCTAAGTGAATACGACATGCGATATGTGACAACGGGGTTTACATGACTGTGCTATGTGTCACGAGAGCTGTGATGCGTTAGAGTACCTTTTAAATTAAAAAATTTAGCGTCGCAATATATACACATACATACGAGATATACGACATACACACACACACATGAAACCTAACCAAGACATATACCTATAATTATATAGGTGGAAATCGTGTACTCTAGATCTTTATACCGAAAGTTAGTAAAATTCTAATTAAATGGTTATATTTTGATACTTGTTGTTCTCTTCTCCTCCTTCCTTTCCTTGTTCAGCAGCAACCTCTGTATAAGAATTAATAAACGGTAATTCTACTCACCCAGAGGACATAGCGCTTGGAGATTAGAAGACTCGATCTTCCTCGTTGAATCTGATTCATTGTTGAAACTTGTTACTCGAGGGAGAAGAAGAGTCCACCCGACATACCTTTGCCAAGATTCCAAACTACTAAATATTGTTTTAACGGTTATTTCGAATCTCGGCTCTTATTTCAAGCGTAATTCCAAAGTCGCTGCTATGAGGCGCCACCTCGACGAGAAACCAACCTAGTGATGTTGGTCAACGACTGGTTAATCGGATCTACATCTTCGCAGTAGCAAAATTCAACGACGGACGCGACGATTTTTTTCTGCCTGGCAGAAAGCACAACCCCGTGGTCAAAGGACCCAGGTCAAAGGATTTTTTGTGTTCTCATCTACGCTACTCGGGGGCTGAACGGCTGGGATTTTGACTTTTCGTAATCTTTTCGCCAGTAATTACGGAACCTTGAGCCCGTGCATGTTGGCGAATTTAAACCGCGATAGCGCCGCGAGAGCACGCCAGGCTCGCATCGGAAGGCTCTCGCGGTGTCCTTCTGTGGATCCTAGAGGAGGAGCAGAGGCGAGAGCGGCCAAGGAGTTCAAATGTTGTGTCGCGTGTATCGCCTGCACCTAGTCAGTAAGGAACCGGATAAATCCATCGCGAGTACTCTCGATCTCTCTATCGCGTGTTGAGTGTATGTGTGTTCCGCCGCGTTGTGCCTGCCAGTCGACTTGCGCTTTGGGTTTCATGATTTAACGACGAAATCTGTTAGGCTCCGGGCGGCGCGAATGCTGAGAGGACACACGTAATTGCAACATTGCTTCATTATACCGCGTATCCTTGTAACGGAACGTGTCTCCCGACACGTTTGACAATTTCAAACGCGCGAATACGTCTTTAGCTCAACTGTGCGGTCTATTGCTCTTTATTGTTTGAAATGAGTCACTTGGTCCTGCTTATCTGAGGCATTCGCGTAGGGTCTTCACCAGGTTGTCTTCACCTGTGAGATATACACGAGTCTCTTTTTATGTTTGCAGATGCAGCAACGTGCTTGGATGCAGGTAGAGAGGTTCATTAACAAAACGGCATGCTTGTAAGTGTAGCCGCGCACTGTCACGTGGGATGAATGAAGAAGAACTGTTGAAACGATCTGCCGCAGAGCGCGATAGGATTTTCAGCTGCTATGACCGCGGTAGGGAAGGTGCTGAGATTGATCCCTGGGAGGATCCTGGCTATGAGGTCTATCACACTACAGACAGATATGGATTTATACAGTATGTATTCATATTCATTTGGAATTGTAATAATATCGAGCTACGATATATGTACCAATGATTTTCTTTCCTGTTGTAGTGATAAGAGATTACCACAGAAGCCGGATTCATATGAAATTAAGTTACACCACGTAGAGATGGAGAGACTAAAGAAATGGGAGAAGATGACAAAGCAATGGGACAGTGCCTCAACCAAGGAAAAGCTGCGGCGTAGGATATACAAAGGGATCCCTAACAGATTTCGTGGTCAAGTATGGATTCTCCTTCTGGGTATTAAGAATTTGAAGAAGGAGCAAGCGGGCAAGTATGAAGAGATGCTGCAGTTGGCCCGTCAATGGTCCACAGAGATAAGACAGATTGATGCTGATGTTGCAAGACAATACAGAGATCACATTAACTATAGGTATATATACAGATAGATATAAGTTATACTTTATCAGCAAGTGTTATGTATATATGATGTTGATATACTTGCCATTATCTTTTCAGGGAGAGATACAGCATAAAACAGAAGTCTATGTTCTATGTATTGGCTGCCTACAGTATGTACAACATGGAGGTAGGATATTGTCAAGGAATGTCCGTGCTGGCTGGTCTGCTGCTGCTCTACATGGACGAGGAAGACGCGTTTTGGGGCCTTTCTGTGTTACTCGCCGACAAAAAATATAGCATGCACGGTCGGGCTTTTTCTCAAATACAAGATAGTTCTTGAGCAACATATTTACTGCTTTCACTGGCGGCATTACTATCGTACATTATTATTGTTCTCACACCAAAGAGAGGGACATCGATCTAATTGCCGATCGAGTTATTGTGTCTAATTTTGTAAAAAAGTTGCGAGAATGAAAGATTATCGATGACAAAGATTCATTCAATGTTCCCGTATAAATTTATCACACGGCCAGAGAAAAAATGCATGCACAATGTAACCGCTTGAATGTGAAAGGTCAAATCATAAGCATGTTTACAAACTTCCGGGCGATATTGACATTTAGCGTATCGAGCGTATGTATTTGCGCGCGCAGTAATACGTACTCTTATTGTAGGTTTCTACGTGGACGGTTTCCCGAAATTGAACCGATTCATAGAACATCATGACAAAATAATGAATAAATTTCTGCCGAAGCTGAAACGGAAGCTGGATAAGTGCGGCTGCGACTCTATATTGTATGCGTTGAAATGGTTCTTCGTTGTTTTTCAAGAGAGAGTAAGTCCTCCGTCATTTCTTTCTCTCTTTTTTTTTTCTCTCAACATAATTTTTCCTTTATATCTCGTATCTCGTTCCTTCCTGCGGACGACAGTCCTTTTGACGATGCGAATTCTCTCGATACTGATCACGTTGTCGCCCGCAGACTCCCGTTAGTCTTGGTCTCCGTATTTGGGACATCTTCCTGTTGGACGGTGATCGTATACTGCCAGCCATGGCATATTCCGTGATGAAGCTGCACAAGCGCTTTCTGATGCCGATGGAGAGCCTCGACGAATTCTGCAACTATCTGCAGAACAAGCTGGAGAAAGATTTCTACTTCGACGACGATGCCGTGATCAATATGATGGAGCGCAGTATGGAGGAGCTGAAGCGTGCCAAATTAGACTACCCGGGACCGCCGTTGCCACACGAGCTGCCGCGTTTTCCATTCGGCACTTTTAAGGAACCTTCTTTTACCAGCAAGGTGAAACATTTGCGCGCTGAAAGCAGAAGCATATATTATGTACATGCAGAATACATGCAGAAGCATGTATTAGTCGCGGAGTACTGGTTACAATCCTCGACGCATCTTATCGCGTTATTATACCAACCATACGATGGAGAACTCGCGCATTCCTGAATCACGATACTCTCCTTCCGATCATAATTTTGCCAGACGTGATAAGAGTGTATCCGTTTCGTTCGTCAGGTTGGGAGGCGGAGCGAGGAGTTTAGCGAGGCTCAGCATGTAATGCGAGAGTCCGTGGCGCAGCGCAGGGACATGGCGTTGATCGACGACGGCAGGGAGAGCACTACGCCCGTCGAGCCGACCAGCGGCCTTGGCGGTGAGTTTAGAGTTAGCCACGAAACGTTACATGACACTAGCACGGACAGTATGTCGCGCGGCGAACGTAGCAACGACGATGCCGAGGACGACGATGCCGTAAGCGACACCGACGGTGATTCGGACATTTGGACAAAGATTATCTATAATACTAGACTATAAGCGAGAGAGAGAGAGAGAGAGAGAGAGAGAGAGAGAGAGAGAGAGAGAGAGAGAGAGAGAGAGAGAGAGAGAGAGAGAGAGAGAGAGAGAGGGGGGGGGAGGGGATTGTATGTGATTGTCTCGCGATGAACTTGCCTGTTTTTGCTCAATGACACTCCATGTGTCGAACGTAGGTCCGTAGGGGAGCTCATTTTCCTAGAAAGGCCTTTACCAGATATAAAAGAGCGTAAAAACATGTTCTTAGTGAGGTAATATGTTCAATAAGGTAGCACGTAGGCTTCTAAAATTATTATCATGTACGATAACAAGTAAAAGAGGGCTGCGTCCCATGTATGGGAATGCGCCCTTGGCGCGTGAGTACCGGTGGATATTTTTTTAAAATAGCGTTCTCGGCGGTGTCCAGGCTGCGATTGTGCTCTGGACCGTGAAAAAGTATTTAGTACTTCGAAGTGATGGTTCTCGGAGGCGTCACGCGCGCGGGCGCGCGCACACTTCGCCAGATGCGTCTTTCGCGAAGGGAGCATCCGCCGAGTCTCTACGATGAATTTCTCCTCATTTCTGCATTCGTATGTTTATATTCAATAAATGTTGCAAAATCGACCAAGCCAAGCCTTGTATGATTTAGCGCAACCCGCTCTGTCACTTCTGTATGATTAATTTCTTCCGCGCGAAACTGAGATAACACGTCCTGTTCGACTTTATCGTCGACCACGTCTTTCCGGACGTTGCGTAAATAAGTGATAAAACTAACGAAAACAAATGATTTTATCGTAAAAACGTATACACGTTTCTTACTAAGCTATCCATCTCCCACTATCCATCATCTCTTTTGCTTTTAACGTTCGAAATTGATTTTTTTCTCTAAAATCTCGCAGTTCTATGCGTGAAACACTTGTTTAGTTTTTTTTCATTCTCTCCTTCACCTAAAAGTGAAATGCTTAAACATGTTAAACGTTACATGTTAAACATCTTTGTGTTCGATCAAATAATGCATATATATTTCATCTAACTAATCATCGTAATATCACATCAACACATTGTTATATTATCATGTCTTATCTTTAACGCTTAAAGAAAGCGATTTCAAAGCGCAAAATAGGACGAGGACTTCCTGCTTTATGTTTTAGTAAACACTCACTGGATCCTCCGTATCCACCCGCGTCGACCGGTTCTTTAGACTCGCATGGGAACTAATATAAGCTTGTCTGTGTCCGCAGGGAGTAAATTCTCGTTCGATCCGAGTATGGACGACGGCGCGTCTCCCAACGGCTCCCGTCGTTCGCTGGCTGAGACGTCGGTGACGTCAACGGCGGATCTGTCGGTCTTCAGTTCGGCGACACGCTCCCAGGCGCTCGACAACAGTCTCGACACGCAGAGCAACATCTCGAACGCGAGCTCGGGCAGCGGCGGTTTGCCGACGCCGCGAGCGACGCCGCATCAGCCCAGTCCGGACGTGGTTCGCATCTACGTGCCGTACGCTTCGCCGGCGGCTTCGTTTAAAGACGACTTGCCGCGTACGTTGCCACGCTCGCTTGACACTAACAAGATCCGCATCCGCGTCGACCCGGACAAGACCCCGATTGTGGAGAACTTGAAGCCGTTCTCGTTGGAAAGTCCGGAGGTAGAGCTGGACTTGAAGTAACAGGCCACGAGTGAGTTGATCGCCGGGAAGAACGTGGCACGGAGATTGCTTGTCGGACAGGTCGAGACTGTGAAGTTCGAATATAAGTCGTGAGTTGGTGATCTTCGGTGTACGTGAACGGGGCGTCCTGGAAGTTGCGCTTCTCCAAGACCGTGAAGATCGACCGGGGGTTCCATCCCGTGATTCCGTTGGTTTCTATAAATTATCGCCAAATTTCGGCGCAAGTTGTGTTGTATAAAGTAGAAATAACGAAGCCGGATCGTCGATTCGGTGGAATTTTTCAAGTCTCTCACGGAAGGTCAGTTGTACGGTTTAATCAGCTGAGAATTTATTCAGGATCAGAAAGAGAAAGTTTGAGTTCAGATGATGTATAATTTGAGATAAATACGTTTTGCTTTTTTGTAGAAATTTTTTTTTTTAACGGCATTACGTTTCGACATTGCCATCGTTAAGAATGGTATTTGAAAATAGTATTCTGATGTAAAAATATTTAAGACCTTTTTTTTTCTTCATTCGTGTGTCAGTCACAACAAATTGACACGAAAAATAAAAAAAATCAGATGTCCGGACGGACGAACGGCCTTGATTCACAAAACAATTCTCTCGGAGAGACTTGAGCGTGACTCCCGGCACATTCTGTAAATGTACATCGTGCGTGTACACGAATACGTAGGTCGTGTGTACACGATTGACGGAACAATGACAAATATGAGATCTATCGCGTTAAATCTCTAGAGATTTCTTTATAGAAAGCGTCAATTGCGAGAAGTTGATATTTAGAGGCGAGGCGAGACAAAAGAAGATGAATACGATGTACCATTTAAAATGTAATCGTACATACTATACGATGTAATCTTTAAATACCCGTTATCTCTCTATAAAATTACATTTCGATTCGCGAAGAGTTGTAAAGTTGTAGGAGAGAATTAATTATATTTAAATTGTAGAATATATCGAAAAAAGAAAAGGAAGTTAATTACTCTCCGGCTTACAAGAAAACAAAAATCACAAAAGAGATCTCTCTAAGAAATTTGTTATTATATGTGTATAAATTTCAAACGGTTTCATTGAGATTTAAAAGCATTCAAATACGATAGACGCGTATTGTATTTTGATTTAAGAAAGTCGAAACAAGAGCAAAATGTGTGTGTCGCGGCCTAATTTACGTTCGTTCATAATAGCCGAATAATCATCGTGTTTGTGACATGCAATCGTCGTGATCTGTTTTGCCTCTTCGATTTCCGCGAGAAAAAGAGCATCCTGTTAAATAAGACGATGTGTCTCTCTACTGAACCGAAATAACGTCGTTAGATAAGATTGGATTATTAAAGATCTAAGGTAGAGAATCACGTTGTACATAAAGAACACAACTGTGCACATAAAGTACACAGAAATATGTATCTAGAGACAAATTCATTTTTCACGCTTGTCTACCGCGGAGAATCCATGTAGACACGTAAGGATACCCCGATAAGTAAACAAACGGATAATTTATATGCATAATTGTGACTAAACTGTCCGGAAACCGACTCAGAAAAACCGAATCTCATCTTACTACGCGAGAAGGTAGAACGGCGAAATTTGTCTCTGGATACGGCGCGTTTCGTCGTTAGAATTTTCGGTCAGGGTATGTCGTTTGTTTCTTCGTTCTAGTGAATCTGAGGAGAGTCCAATGACGCAGCTTGTGCGAGATCATCTTCTGAGCAACTATACCTTAGTATTTAAATGCAAATTTACTCAGACCATATTTTCATCGATGTGACAAAGTAACGTTACACTCACGTGACATAATACCGCATTCGTCACACGCGTTCGTCGGTTACACACTCGTTCTCACAAGAGACAGATACTTTTAACTGACATAGAAGTATTATTGCGCTACCTTGGTAATGTTGTCACCTTATTTTACTTTTAAGTTGTGTCCCCTTTTGTCCCTCTCTCTCTCTTTTGTTTCTTTTCTATTATTCGTACATTGTAAGAGATATACTTTTGTACATACGCATAATATTTAAAGAAAATTAAAAAAAATAAAAATAAGCAAAGAGGAAGACTAATGCCAAGATCAGTAGCTATCGAGTTCGTGCTCTCCGTCGTAGAATGTGAATATTGAACAGTTCATTCTGTGTGTATACACAGTATATACACCGAGTATATTTGTGTATTATGATTATTATTTAAACCTCGCGAAGCGTCGCGTTTCGTTATGTATGCATGTGTGTGTGTGTGTGTATGCTAGCCTTTTGCTTTCGATCTCGAACCAACATTCCCGAACACGCGCGCGTGCAGTATTTCTCAATATGCAAATGTATATAGCCTTCCGCGAAGCCTAGGGAGAAGGTTTTACTCCTTCCTTCCTTTCTCCTCTTCTTCTTCCTCCTGCTCCCATTTACGCGTACTTGACGCTCGGACTCGGCGACATCAAATGATTGTTACATACCTAATAGAGAGCGATAATAAGCAATGATGGTTGAATAAATATTGAATGTTGATTGTCTGAATCTTTTATCATGTTACGCCGGAAATGAGATTAGTAGGATCTTTAGGGAGCGATCCACACTCGCGCGATGTATAAGCCCTTGACCCTTCGATATTATTTGTTTTAACGCGATTACTCGAGACGGTTGTGACAACGACGGCCTTGCATCTCGATTTCACGATGAACGAAACGAAATTGTGCGCGCTCAGTCGCGAGATACGCGAGATCGCCGTTTATCGGAGTTCTTTTTCAAGCCGGAGTGCTTTTTCGCGAAATGACTAATTTTTATACTGACAGCTTTAAGATAATAATAACGCGATCGACATCGACGGATAATGTCACGACGTTTATTACCGCGAGAATAGTAGAAAGCGAGCTTGGGTTGCAACGCGTTCGCGCGACTCGCTTGAGGAGATCAAGCTTGATAGCCAACAATCTAAACTTTTAGAACGAAATAAGACGAGATAAGAGACTTTACGAATATACATATACGCATATATATGTATATGCATACGAAAATTGTATATTTCATGAATCAATACTAGCGGTTGTTCTAATAATGCTGGTGTTGTTTTTTTCTTTAGCACATAGTCACGTCTCGCTGTAAAACTGTCTCGAGAAAAAATACATCAGCATATCGCGTAGAGTTATATATACATTGTAAGACCGGCGATATGTATGTGCGTGTGTGTGTATGTGTGTATCAAATATGCACCCTGTCGACAGATAAGTCGTCTCTGATTGCGTGCAACGAGATTATTCGCTTCGCGTCACGTTTAAGCGCGTCCGCGTTTTAGTTCTTAAGAGGGAGAGAAACGAATCTCCGGCGAAGTAATGACCAAAACTATTACTGCATTTGTTCGTTCCCCACCGTGAGCGAGGTGACAGAGATTGATTTCTCTTAGGTATATTATATTAAAGTTACGATACAATTAACACTTACAACGCAAACACGCGAGAAGAGTACAATTATTTTATTATTAGATCGAGAGTGCAGAACAATCATTACTTTGTTAAAATCTAGGATTACTTTCAGACATCGAGAGAGTCCCCGCTTCGTAGATCCGACTAGAAATAATTGAGCAAGCATCGATTAGAGAGATACAGCGTGTCCCAAAGCTAATATTCACTTTCCGACGGTAGATTGCGCGAAAATTCGATCCTTCCTTGTTCTAGTAGCTTAATTAAAAACAGGAAAAATCCACCAACTGACGAGAGAACTTTGATCTTCTTTCGTGACGCGTTCTTTTTACAATATCAAATCAAAACGATCTCGACCTGTCAACGTTGCGAATTGTTCTCATTCTCTCTCTCTACGGGGCTCTAACGGTGACTCAAACTGACTGGTTCTTCGGATATCTTAACGCCGAGGATATCCAACGAAAATAAATCGCTGCCGATAATTCAACGAATTATGCGCTTGTCGTTGAGGAAACGGACCGACCAGTCGTGGGACGCGCTGTATATATATAACCCTGTTCATTATTCACATTCGGCCAGCCACTGTCGTGTGTACGCGCGGACTATTATATATAATAATAGTTCAAACTTCAATGCCTGAGAAGCAAGAATAAGTGCATGTATCTGTACAAACACTTTTAAGATTGTAGCGCGAGTCGATATTTTTTTTATACGTGTGTGTTGTTAGCGGCCGCGGGGTAGACATAGCTTTAGAATCTCCCGCGTTACCTTCCACCCGCTGCTCTCCTATAGGGCGCAGTATATAAATATAAATATATACATACACATATATATATATATATATAATAGGAAGACGTTTGTGAAAATTGACGAATGCAATACTCAAATAAAGATCCTACCGATTACCGACGCGAGACGCACTTGTAAGTCGATTAATTGTCGAAACAATAAAGTCTTAATTGTCAACATAGCAGAAATATATCTCGCTTTTTCTTTCATCATCAGTTTTTATTGCGCAGTTATGCAATGTTTGTTCCAGTTTTTTTAAATTTCAGTTTAATCCCTAATAGGTATGTATTTATCCCGATCGTGCACTTTCGTTTCGGAAACCGATGCAGGATCAACCGAGACTCTTGCGATGATATGTTTTCAAAGATGAGATCAATAATTATCGTAATGTCATGGAATAATGATACCTGTTAATCTTGTAACAAGAGTTACAAGTAATAGTTAATCCTGTCGTTACAAAATTAACAGGCAAGTTACAAATTTACGTTAGAGGAACTCAATATTGCCTTATTGATCTTATTGTTTGACACCCATCATAATGGTACAACCATCTCAATTGAAAACGACGAATCGAGGATACTTTCAATGTTGAAAAAAAAAAAAATGCTTTCTACTGAAAACTTTTCCTATACATTTATTCTCTCAAGATAAGCTAATATTTGAAAGAAATATAAATTTCAGATGAGAATATATATATGAATTAGTATTTGATACATGAAGATACTCTTTCATCCGTTACAACAAAATATCTTCAGAAGATGCATCTGTCTTTAACCATCTTGGTTCCTCAATTACAATTACCTCAAACGATCTTAATATCGGTTCACTTTTTCATTATGAATTGGGAGATGATACCGGGAAATGTTATCATAGAGATCGATTAGTTTTTTAGCGAATTTATATAGGTAAACATATGTGTCTCAGAGGATGACGAAGAGCATATTTACTACTTCTTTTTGATATTGTACAGAAAATCAAGTCTCGAAATTTATAGCGTCCTCAAATGTATTTCTATTAATTGTATTCTTATCTCTTATGGATTGCGATGTTATCTCGAGGCACAGTACCCTATCGATTCAATAATGCAATTCAAGAGTACTTAACGCATTAAAACATTTTCGTGTAATCTTACGTAAAAATTCGTTGCCACTGAATCTTTCTTTTCTTTCCTTTTTATGACTATATGACTGTACAACTATATGTACGCTGTATAAACATAACGTAAAATTGATATAGTTAATACTATTGCTAATTACACTATTGCTAACAAATGCTAGTGTACAGAATGCACTTCTTTATATAACATTTGTATTAAATACCTGAAAAATATTACATATACAGAATCGACTCGATAGAAGCACGTACGGTAATCAAAGATATACTGAAATTTCTTCATGTAACCAAAAATGAAAAATTTAGCTCGATTAAATTTGTGAAAAATTTCTTTTTCGTTTTGTTGCTCATTCATTATCATTGCCTATCATAGCTAATATAACTCGAAGTTTTGCGATAATTATAAATTATAAAGTAAAAATGCATATACTTTTCAATACGACAATGATACGAACGCTGCGGAGAAATTTATGCGATTTCAAATTAATATACTTTATATATGTTGCTATTTTTTTTAGTGTCTTCAGAAATTAATTCTTGCGAATAGTCATGTTTTATAAATAAAAAAAACGAAAGCAATAAGTACAAATATGCACATTAATCGTTATTTAAATATGTTTATATTTTATATAATTCGTCATTGTCTAATTTGGAAAAACTATGTGAGTTTTCCTTTTTCGATTTCTTTTGGAAAGAAAATTTAATATATCGTGTCGGTTACAAGATGACAGAAAAGTAATAATATGCAACTGCCTTTTGCATAAGGTAATGTTGTTACGCGTCTTCTATCTATTGCTTATTAATTTGACAAAAGATTTTTTTTCAACTTGTTTGAGACATTCATTACTGCACCGATTGGTAGAAAGTATCACTCGTAATCGGCATTAGCGTGCCGTTTATCAGCACTTGCGGTCCGGTATAGTAACGCCATAACAAACTGCTACCTCTCTTCAGCTGGTTATTGGCTGTCAGATGGGACCAACACTGTATCCAGTTTTCGTAGATCGGCATTTGTGGTGGCATACCGGCTACCAATCTGGTGTGACAAAAATTTTTGTGGAATTAGTATAAATCTTACTTATTGACTGATTGACAGATGGTAGTGCTGCAGTGCAACAAAAAATATTAATATAAAATTAAAAAGAAATTATTAATATTTTCAAAGGAATATTATTATTATTATTATTATTTCAGCAAAATATACATTCGAGATAATGTTCTTATTTTTATCTACAATAAATGAATTTATAGTTTTTGATATTATATAATTTCAAAATGAATGTACAAGTAAGCGTAAAAATTGTTAATTTCTAATAAAAATAATTAATATCAGGATTTACTTACCCGCAGTTATTTACTGCCATACAATGTGATACCACCAAAAATGGATACGTGATGGTCGTAGCTAAAAACTAAAATTTTTTTCCTTAATAGCTAATATACATGAAACATAATATCTAAGATAAGTACATTCATTGATTACATAGATATTCGTAAAGTACTAACGATAGCTTGAAAATATACCGTATAAATGTATATCTTGATACAGCCAAATAATTTTATATCAAACAATTTTGTTGAATATGCAATTCGCTTACTTTCATGGTCGACGCGGTGTATGCTTTCATCGCTTGTTCGTGAACGACGTAATTGTTTAAGATATATGTGGAGGCACTGGCTAGTATCAAAACTGAGACATTCGCTATGAGACGCGGTATCAATCCTGCGTAATATCCTAGGAAACCATTTTCCTTGTAGATCTCCACAAATGAGTAGAATATACCACTGTTATAAAAATATGAGTGAATTTTGTTATAGTATATAGTAATAATTTGTCGTAATAACGACAAATGAAGCGAACAGAGAGGAAAGAACAAATATCCAAAGATTTAACAGCCAAATTATATTCTATCACAAAAATGAAAAGAATATGTGCACTGTGATTCTTAATTAACACAAGATTTTGCTCGTAATTTAACTATTAAAGACTTTGTATTATTTAATAATATTTTTAAACCTTATACTGTTTGTGATACAGATTGTGATACATGTTCTAAACGAAAGAAATTGATTTTTCTTCTCCGGATATTATAAACTTGCATTGTGATATTTATTCATAATATATACCGATATTTTACTTCTCTACCCACAAACTGTGCCATCATCCTTAATGAAATAACTTCCAAAGGATGACTAACTACGATCGCAACTATTCTACTAATTGTGTCTCTTGTAAGCTCACGTATACATTTCTTACGCCTGCAAATATAAGAAATCATATAATTGTAATTTATATTACATTTTTCATTTTTGCACTTTGCACATACCTCACGCTTTCATCTTCTTCATCCTCATCTTCATTTTGCATCACATCTAACTGCAAATATTCTGCAGTTTTTTGAGATGCTATTGTGCTGATTGTGTAAGAACATAACTTTGGTACCAAACCTCTATAGCAACCCGTGAAGCCATCTACTCTTTTTATATGTCTAACTGAAAAATAACATGAAATAGATAATAGAACAAAATATAAGGTAGTTAAAATAAAAAATATATAATATAATAAAAATAATGAAACTTTCATTTCATTTGCCTTATTTAAGTATTCCTGATTCTATACAGATTTTTAATTAAAATCAAGAGACACAGTTGTGTCTTGCACCAAGTTCATGCGCAGCAACAGCGAGGCGGATAATATAATCTACTGCAGATATAATATAATGCAAATCATAAGAATTTAATTTAATCTGAAACTTACCGTATGCAAAAATATTAGGTAATTTTAATGCTGGTTTTCCAAATAAAGTTACAGTTGGTTTTGGGGGAATAGGTTCATGTCCAATCTGCAGTATTTTATAAGTTAGCTATATATTATTTATTGTCTCTTTTATTTCTTTATTATCTCAAAATTTTTTTAATGTATGACACCCTTATGTGAAGATCTTATTGGCTAATAAATATTATACATAATTTTACCTGTATCAGAACTTTGGCATATTCCATAGGATGAGAAACCACATTTATTAAAATACGGCTGGCTATATCTGACCATAGGACCTCTGGGTCTTTTGGTGGTGGCATGTTTGATAAATGTTTATATCTTCTTTTTCCTAGGGAACATAAATAAATTAGATAAAATTCACAAGGACTTATTCTTAGCAAGAAAATTTATAGATATCAAAACCGAGATTTATTTTTAAGAATAAATCATAGTAGAACTTTACTATACCTTTGAGAAACTTTTTCAAAAACTTTCAAATTCTATAAAATTATTAAAATAAATAACTGATAATTGTGGGAATTCGCGATTAACCCAATATCTGCAAAATAAATCATAAGTATTTTTAAGCGTGGATTGGCTTAAACTACCATATTCGTTGTTACTGAAAAGTAAATGCAGTACTGACATAATATCAAAATCAAATTAATACGTATAAAGTATAACTATAAATCAAGAACTTATGCTTGACATTTTTTCGTTCCGAGTTACCTATTTTTCGCGGAATTTTCGTGCCGTCTTTCGAACCAATGGAGAGTGGCCGTTGACGGCGATCAACAGCAGCAAGGTTTGATGTCGCCGTGGTAAAGTATTCTTATTTACTTCCAAATGCAACAAATGTTGATGTCCTTTTTTAGGACAATATTGTCACATATGAACTCTTTGGGTGCTCTCGAAGACTGTCTCGCACCTCGATGGAGCTGTGCTCCGAATGACGATCAGGTTTAATCAGATAATACGCGCAAGAGCAAGTATATATTGTCGGGAGTGTATCAAGATTATCTTTCCGTTTTCCATGCACCAGCTCTGTTGAAAACGCTGCCCTAACGATATCGTCCGTCCGTACCGATGAAAATTGTATTTCATCGGCAATTCATTCCGACGACGACTTTCATTTCGTGCGGTAATGATCTTTGACACCCGGCTGGATTTACTCAAATTGTTTGCCGTATTACGTGAACGAAGATAGGTATAAATTTCACTCGGGATTTTAGCACTATTCAAATGGATACTTCTCGCAAAAGGTTGACAGAAAACACGACGAGCGATTGGCGACATGCATTACGAATCGTGATCTTGATTCGCTCTCGTTGATTGTGACGTATATTACATAATAATCTTGACTATAACCTTCAAATATATCGGATCAGTCAGCCGATGTAGTTCTTAGGACGTAAGAAATTCATTCAATTCTGTTCGTTTTGATTCTTTTTACTTCCTTGTCACGTCATTCATACTTTTCAGGACGTTTGTTAAAGTTTTTTGTTCCACGTTGTCTCGTGTAATCTTGTGATACGATGACGCAAGCTAGTTTTATTTTTCTTTGAGTTTGTAGCGAGCTATTTTATTGTTACGCGAATTTTATAGTAACTTTAACGCGAGAGTGTTATTAATTTCCTCCATTGTTGTTTGGTTTCTCACATGAACTTTTCTGTATGTTTCAGTTTGATGGACAAACCCAAGACTACAAACAAGTTTGTTAGACTTGTCAAGCGAAACTTTATCAGCGTGATCTTTCCTACAGTTACTGTGCTCAGTATCTACGCGGATTTGAGGCATACCGCTCGTTGGAAGCAACAACTTGCTGAGAAAGACCAAGAGAAACAACAATGAGTGGTGGCAATATATTTCAGACACAGAAGCACATCTGGAAGATGTACTGGACACTCATATTTCCAATAACAGGTTTCTTTCTTGGCTACAAGTTTGACCGACTGGAAACAGAGAGAATGACGATGTTCCGAGATAAATCTGCTCTATATGGCAGAGAAATGAAGCCAGGAGAGTCACCTTCTTGGCCATATTAATTCTGTACTTATTGTTTCATTCAACAAGTAGCAGAATCAGTTAGTCCTATGTGAGTCAACAAATAAATGCTCTAATATACAAACAACAAAGATCGCAAATGTATCTGACTAATATACATGTAGTTTAAGCAATGATGCAACAGGTTTATTGATATTTATATATTTAAAGTTAATTTCTCTTTTTATATTTCTCATTGGTAATAGTTTTATGCATTGTACTTTAATATTACAGCAAGAAATATAACAAATGACAATGCGATTTTGTGATGAACAGATAGTGAACACATGATTTCTATTTCTCTAAATTATCAGGTTTGATATGTACAATCGGTCAAATAAGAGCGTGGTCGGGTTAATTTATAAAAAAATTTATTAAATAAAATTTTTAAATACATATATGCATTGTATTCGATGAAAATAAGGATGCAATTATGTCAATAATCCAGTCACCACCGGCGTCGATAATTGCCTGGCATCTCCGAGGCATACTTTCGACCAAATTGACGGCGTATTGTAGCGGCAAGGACCTTCAAATAATTGGATTGGCTGTCGCAGTCGCCCGATGCAAATCCCATTGAAAATGTGTGAGCATACATTAAGCAGAAACTTTGTGGAAAACGTACGTACACTTTGAAGCAGTTATTTTGCGAAATTTGTCGGATATGCCGTTATTGACATAATTGCATCCTTATTCTCATCGGGTACAATGTATATATGTATTTAAAATTTTTATTTAATAAATATTTTTATAAATTGACCCGACCACGCTCTTGATCGACTGTATACTAAGCTTATGACTATACCTCAAGACTATACTTAACACTTTCAATGTTATTTGTTTATATACACTTACGAAGCATTTTATAGAAAAAAGCATTGAAAGTGTAAATAATTATATTTAATAACTATAATATACTATAAACCTGATCTATAATTATATTCAGTGTTGCACTAAAACTATTGCAAATTTTCATGTAAAATCTCATCTATTCTTCAAATATAGTTAACAGTAAACTAATCCTTAGATCATCAAATCTTCAGTCTTTTAGGAAGCGGCGCGTGTGCAATAATAAGTGTGCCGAGAGACGGAACGTTTGTTAATGGAACATAGTAAATATCTTGTTCTTAACCTTCGAGTTCTTCGTCTTTTGCTTCATAACGATATTGCACTGGATATTCTCCTTATTTTCAGTCGACTCTTTGGTCGCCAAATTATACGCCTGTCGCTTCTTCTGCAGCCACTCATTAGTCTTTTCATTCCAGGAAACTGGTCTGTCCTTCAAACGACTGGGTGCCTTTTTATCAGTCGCCAAGTCGAGATAAGAGAATTTCTCCTCGTTGGTAGGATTGTGTTCCGGATTCGGTACCATGGTCGCTGGAACTTTGTCTGGTCTGCAATCCACGAGTCCGTAATTCTGGAACTTGGTGTCCCTATCCTGTGTGGCGTTTATGTTCTCGCTAAGTTTACGAAGGACCTTTTCCTCTTGCAGCTTCTCCTCAGGCATAATTTGCACTTTTGAGACAGTCTTATAATTCTGTTTGTTCCAACGCTCGCTTGCTGACCTTATAAAAGCGTACGGCTTTTTATAGGCTTCCGGATTGAAACGTTCGGACGTCTTCACGAAGGACGAATCTCCAGGATCAGCGGATAACGTGGAATTGAGGTCGTCGTTAGATTCTTTGAGTCGTTCTTTGAATCTCATGCTGCTATATGAGTTAAGCTTATTAGAAGATGAATGTCTCGACCAGTAACTCTTCGAGCGTACAAAGTTCCTCGGCTTCTTTTCAAGTTCCTTGATTCTCTCGTATGAATCGACAGGTGGTAGAATGTTCCTCGGTTTCTCCGATTTTGCAGGCTCGTTCGCTTGAACGATGCTCGTGTGTTCATTTCGTTCCAGCGAATGATCTTGCTCCTGAGACTCTCGGAATTCGGATTTCGACTTCCGCCCAACTTCCTTGAGCCTTTTGTTGACGTTCCGCAGGTCTTGCTGCTTCTGCTCACATTCTATCTGTCTCAGCTTGTCTTGCAGTAACCTCTGCATGATTTGAATTTCCTTCTCCCTCTGGAATAACTGTCTCTCTCGATTCTGCAAGTTCATTTCCTTCGCTATCACGGCGGCCTCACGTTGCCGCAGCGTCTCGATCTTCCGCAGCCAATTCTCTTGGAAGACTTCCTCGCTAACTTCCTCGGGCGACGGAATCGCCGCAGTGCAGCCATTCTTGTAGCCGTGGTGGCAGAGATCACTCAATTTGCTGTCAGTATTCGAGGAACTCTCGCTTCTCTCGTCGATTGACATCAAGCTGTTGACCCTTTTGAAATGTCGTACAGGATAAAATGAATCCTGTGATTTAATTAATGTTTGATATTCTATTTTTTGCATATTCAGATACTCTTCGATGTGAGTACAGAGATTTTCCTCGTCGTTTTGATATTTAAAATCGTCGTTCTCGAGCCGCTTGTCGCATACGGTTTCTCTGTTATTCATTATATCTTCCACGATTTTTACATCAGTTGATTTGCAATGCATGTCCTGCACGCAATATTTCGTCGATTCTATGTATTTTCCATGCGAGAGCGATGAAGCATCCTCAAGGTTTTGCTGATTCTCCTCGGATGCCTTTTCTTCAACGATTCTTGACGTATATGTCAGCTGGATGTCGTCGGTCTCCTTGAGAGACGAGAACTTTTGTGCCGGGTATTTATTTATTTCAGGCACGATGTACGTCTCGACTCTGTAGAGAAGTGGTTTCATCGACAACATGATGACCAATCGAACGGGTCCCGTCGATCTTTCGAAACTTAGAACATCTCTAAGTTGAATAAAAGTTTCCTGCATATAACAAGAACACCATTTAGTTGTTATAACGTTATAAATAAAAATTATAATTTTACAACGATATACTTATATATAAAGCTGAAGTAATAACGATTGAATATATGTTATTCTGTTTTGTCTATATTAATCTTTTAATATAAAGTTATATGTATTAAAATATCTATTAATATATTAGATTTATTGCTTTTATCGACAGTGATAATAACGACGCGATGGAAGCATTCGAATTTTTCAAATCGTATTCAAACTTGTACTATGTACAAACTATGCAAATTGTTAACAGTGAAAGTGTGAGAGAGAATTGGCACATATAATGTTTTATAATATACTATAATTTACTTGTGATACTAGAGAACACAATAATTGATACAATGTAAAAAGAATATATTTCGTACCTTTTATCCGTTATTGAAGAGTAATTATTTCTTATGTTTTTACAACACTCAAAAGTCTTTACAACACTGAATCATTGTTTCGGAATCATGTTTCGGAATGTAGTTTTTCCTTTATCCTTGACGTTCTCGCCTTCTTATTCAAACTGGACTGTTGGAACAACGTTCGTCTGGAGAAAGCGTGGGAGAAATCCGGCGTCCTCTACCTGCGTTATTTTCTGACTGGTCATTCCATCGTACTCGAGATTTGATTCGCTCGGTTCCTTTTAAATCTCAGCTCTGTTGAACCCAGCGGCTGGTTTTCTACCTGCGGTGTCTTGTATTAGTTATACGTAGTATAACGTAGTATTGCAGTATACGTATAACGTATCTCGCATACACATGTCTCGCTTGCACATGTTCACGGAGCGTTTGATCCTTGAAAGAAAAGTGGAACCTTGTCAGAAAGAAAGGTCAGTGATTTACGGGCATGTTAATACATTCGTAACCAGCATCATGTGTGTGTAATCACCGATCGTTCATAAAAGGTCAGTTATGTATGTGTGACAGCGATACATTTTTTTGTCCGTGTTTATATTATCCGTATCAAGCTAAGTCTGTTTTATGTCATTGTAGAGTAGAAAAATTAATTTTGACGGACAACGTATTAATAGTATATAATAAATACGGGACGAATCAACAACCAAATTGAAAACATGAGTCAGCGAAATTTTAAGTGCAGTTAACACTGTACAAATTAATGTTTATTAAATATCATAAATCTATGACCGTCTAGTTGAACTTTTCGCTTTTACTTCGGACTTTTCTTAACTTTCAGGTTTTCTGGTGAGAAAACCTGAAAGTTACAAAAAAGAAGCTGAAAGTTACATAAAAGAACATCACTAAATCCATAGTTAAATCTGAAAAGATTAATGGTTTGAAAAGATTAATGGTTGGTAAAATATTTTGGGAAATTTCACATGATCAAGGTTGGTAGAAAATGGAATTTTCTATATATATATATATATATATATATATATATAGATATATATATATACATATATATATAAGATAAAAGATAAGATAAAAATAATTTCTATTTTTTCGAAAAATTTCCTGAACTGCAGATTAGTATAATAAATTAGAGAGGAATGAAATATTACTTATCTTATTCTAACTTATTGCAACGTATACCAGTTTAGGAAGTCTTTCAAAACAGAATTTTAAAATAAATAAAAAAAGAGAGAAACACACATATTTATATGTATATCTGTATATAAAAATATAAAGATATCAAAAGTATTAAGTTTATATATATTTTAAATATATATTTGTTAAATATAGAAAATAGCATTATAACATTCGGGTTCTTCTGTTCATCCCTTGATTTATATAATCAAACATTTTTAACGATTTAATTTAATTAATTTATATTTTTCCTTTTTACAATCTCGTCTCATTCTTTAGTCATATTCTTCAGTCAGTTCTTAGTTCTTGAAAGAATTTATTTTTTATATTTTTTATTATCTGATATACGATTTTTGATTACTTTGCTGAGTGCATACGAATCTTATCCGTTATTATTTAACTGATCACTCAAGAAAACGATAGATGGTTTGAAATGTTCCGCGCGATATGTGATGGACATTTCAGAATTTCCCTTGTTAAGTTGGTGATAATAAATTTTCCAGATTGTTACCGTGAGTATAATCTTTTTTACTATACTTTGGAATCTCTAGAATATGAAGAAATTCTAGAAACAAATATTGAAGATACGTTCTCGGGAACTACCAGGTGGCAGCAGCGGCGCATTTCCTGGAGAAGTATCGCAGGGTGAGAATTATTCTAGTCGATAATATCCTATCGGGGAATATTGCGATATATTGAAAATATTCTGTCACTAATTTACAAACTAGAAAGTACTGTTCATTGAGCTTACCTCGTGCATTTTATCGGACCAAGTTTCGGTAAAGTGCGCGCGCATATCGACGAGACGCACGTTACGCACATCCGCCACTGAAGAAGCTGAAGGTAAACGATAGTAAAAATCTTCCGACAACGACAGTCTTCGGATTGTCAAATATTGCGGTTGATATCGTATCTGCTGTTCATAGTTCGAGTAGAAAATCTAATTGAGTTTTCCATTGAATGGTGAAGTGGACAATCAACCTTACTAATGCTGCGTTTCATATATTTCTTTGTGCCTGAATCGAGAACTTCCTACCCCCTCTGCCTTCGACTTGTAGTTACGGTCCTGTGGCAAGCCGCCATTTTATGCGCATCGAGAAGACAAGGCAGTTCTGTGCACGAACGAGCTCGCGATTCCTGGCATTCGCACTTTCGTCCGTTATTGAGCTAGGGAGTTAGCAGTGATACTAGGCGCGGCTAGAGAACGATCCTTTCGTGGCTCAGCATCCCCAAGTCACCCCAGAGAAATATCCGACGCGCTTCCATCGCTCCCGTCAGGAGAAAAAAACTATTTGTATAGTGATTTTGCATCGCAATTTTGGGTGTTCTCTTGGCTATTGTTGAGCGGTAAAATTACGTTTGAATATTCAAGTAACATGGATAAAACGACAATCATCCTCACCAACGACACCAAACTCTACTCTCCAGCGCGGCTGACGCCGACGGGAAAAATCAGCCACGCTAAAACCCGGGTATACACGCAGCGTTATCGCAAGGAATGGGAACAGATGCCAGACTTCAAAGGTACACATTCGTTTTCTTACAATCGTGCTTACGCATCGTCATGATCTATATATGTATACACACATACACATACACATGTATTGTACTCGTGTGATGTCCGACAATTACCCATGCGAGGACTCCCTCTTGTTTGTTCGAAGCTCGTGGTTTGCTCATAGAATTTGATTTGACCCTCGAATCGCACTACATGTTTCTTTCCATATTATTGCAACCTACCACCTACCTGACTATCGTGTAGATAGCAGTCGACTCACCCATGCCATCTGACTGAAGCTAGTGCTAACGTAATAAAATACGTTGGTATGATCGTGCTTGCCTTTCTTTTTTCATATAGGCATAATTGTTGATGACGTGATAAAGAGACTAAAGACCGGTTGTTTCAACTTTTTGGTAAGTTAACTAATAGTTAAATCATCATGTCTGTCTTTGTCCAAATTGAAGGAAAATAAAGATAAGCACACGACTTAACTATCAGTTAACTTAAGAAGTTGGAACAACCAGCTCACAGAGTGTTATATTTTAATTGTGCATCTATACTTTTTTACTTGTTCTTTTCTCCATTATTTTTTTAAATATAGAGATATTTTTATTCAAATGTAGGAAGAGTATCTGTTATATATAATATACTTGCAGAAATTATGTGAAGGATACAGATATGAATTTAATAATATAATTTTTCAGATAGACAAACATGTTGGTTATTGTCAATATGCTATTGCATGCGTGTATTCAATATATATTTTATACCATTGAAATGACATAATATGTTTATAATATGCTTATTATAAGAAATACATATTTATTATTCCACACTTTGCAGCAAAATATCAGTTTGTTTATATCGCTGATTATTATAACGTTTATAACGCTGATAATTGTGTTCTCTTACCAATATAATATGTGCATATGCCATAATTTTCATGGTATCAAATTGCTTGTTTTATATGTTGCCATAATGCTTCTTGTATGAAGATGCATCTTTATATACTTATGCTACTATTCTAATTCTCAAATTCAGTCTTCGTACAGACAATATGTCAAAATTTCTATCTGGGTTGTTATTTTAAAATTTTTTTCAGAAAAGATAAGCAATATACTTTTTTCTCCTTTTTGTTGATAAACAGTAAGTAGAATGTAGATAGAAAAATAACTTTTAATAAAAGTAGAAATGTTTACAGAAAGAAAACAGATATTTATATAGTATACATATATATATTTATAGAGAGATAGAAAAATAAAAAAGAAACAAATATTTATAAAACAACAGAAAATCATCATGTATGTCTTTTTTATAAATAATATAAAACAATATAGTCATATCAAGATAAAATTGATATACAGGATGTAAATGAGTAAATGATCCAACTTTTTACCACGCGATTTAGCATTACCGACAGCACTGTAGTTAATGGAGTCACATATAGATGTTGCACGCAATGTATCGTTATCGGCAAGTTTAGACGGTTGACTTCTCCGCTGCTTAAGCTAAGATCAAGTGCGAAAAGGTGCAAATACTTAATGTGATAATGCATTATAAAATAAAATAAAATAAAATAAAAAATATGTAGTACATACATAGAGGCTGAGGCTGTTTCGATATTCACTGCCAGCACTGAAAATCTATACTATACGTGACATAAACTATGTACTTTCAGTACTGGCAATGAATATCGGAACGCAGCCAGAGAGAAACCTGAGAGCGGCTACTGGGCGGCGGTTAGGCGGAGACGCTTTTTCCGATGCGCCCCTTGAAAAAATATGTGTACATTACGCCCGTCCTTTTTTTTTGGCCACGCAGGGGAAATCCATCATGGATATCCCCGATCCTTTGGGGGGGTCGGGAGTTATGCCGGACTCATACCGACTAAAACCCCTGCGGGGTGCCTACCGCTCGGACCGAAGTGGGGGGAGTCAGGGGAACTACGCCTGCATTCCCTCCCCGACATATTACGCCCGTCCTGACGATAACGGCAAAGCACGCACGGTTCTTGTTCACTCTACTTCCTTCAGGAAGATAGAAAGTTAGAAAAGCACAGACGATCAATAACTCTCCGTCATTGGTCACGTTCAGCGGAGAAAACTGCTCTGCTACCACTCAGTAGCAAATGTTCATGATTGGAGAATTCTTTTAAATCTTTGGCAAATCCGAACAAACGTACCAATCAGAGACGTTTGCGGAACGGTAGCGGAGCAGTTTTTTCCACTGAACGCGACCATTGTCTTACCACCGATAAGCGGACCGCGCGGCAGGAGTAGGCACGAGAAGAGTCAGCGGCGATCTTATCGCTAAGCTAGAATTTCTCCCGTCCTGTCCCTTCGTCTTCTCATTCCCACTCTTTCACGTAATACGCTGTCTGCAATTCGAGAAGAAATATTTCGAGACCGCGTGGACAATTTCTAGAAATGACACAAAATGACGCTAATGGGGGTGGCTATTTTTTATATTGTACTCAAATAGAGATACTAAAACTTCTACAGTTAAGAATGCATGGTGATCGCGGAGGTAAGCAGCTAGCTTCGTCATCCTGAAGGAAAGGGTTTCGAAACCTGGCATGCTGTTTTGTTTTCCTTTTTTCATTTTCTTCTTCTCCTATATGGAAATGTTTGTTATTCAATGCAGTTGGTATTGATATGTTTCATATACTAAGTTTTCCAAAAGTAACGGACCCCCCTCCTCTATCACAGAATCTATGCATTATAGGGGAAAATGACTCGAACAAAAGTTGTAAGGTTCATAACGTTCTGTTTTTTTGTGACCTTAAATTTGACTTCGACCTTGAAGATCATTTGAAGCTCAACTTGCGTTTTTTAAATGGGAACCCCTATTTTTTATTACACTTTTTTTTCTACCAATTAATTTGAACAACTGTTGCCTAAAACATTTTTTATTTGCCTAATATTTTTTTAGATGTTTGAGGAAAACTTGATAACTTGTTCAATATTTAACTTACGATATCTCGCTATTTGTCGAAAAAAAAGTGGTACTAGACTTTCTTGCTTTATTTAGTCTCAAGAATATGTTGTTACAATAGTGAACTGATTTTTGTTAATTTGATTTTGAAATTTCCAGAAGTCAGTTAACAAAAGTCAGGGCGTTATTGTAACAATATATTCTTGAGACTAAATAAAGCAAGAAAGTTTAGTAGTACCACTTTTTCTTCCGACAAATAATTAGCGAGATTTCACAAGTTAATTATTGAAAAAGTTATCAAGTTTTCCTCAAATATCTTAAAAAATATTAGGCAAATAAAAGGATGTTTTAGACAAAAGTTGTTCAAATTAATTGGTAGAAAAAAAGTGTAATAAAAAATAAGGGTTCCCATTTAAAAAACGCAAATTGACCTTCAAATGACCTTCAAGGTCGAGGTCAATATCAAATTTGAGGTCACAAAAAACAGAACCCTAAAACTTTTGTTCGGGTTATTTTCTCCTATAATGCATAAATTCTGAGATAAGGGGGGGACGTTACTCCGTTACTTTCGGAAAACTTGGTATATTTAACTTATGATATAATTGTATATGATATAAATGTAAAATATTTATATACTTTGCATGGTGTGTATGTTCATAAGGCCCGTACCTAGTATGCTGGAGAGAAAATAAGCAGCTAGATCGACATTTTGGCAGCCCCTTATTTTCGAAGAAATATTGTATATATAGGATAAATTACGCGTTAGTGCAACAATAAATTGATATAGTTACTGATCAAATCGCAATCATTGGCCGCGTTCAGCAAGGAAAGCTGCTTACTAAGCGCTTAGTGATTATCGTTCTTGGTTCATTCCTCTGGATTTGTTAAAGATCTAAAAGAATATTCCAATGATAGATAATAATCACTAAGCACTTAGTAAGCAGCTCTTTCTGCTGAATGTGGCCATTGAATCAATGATATTTAAATTATTATCAATCATGATATTTAAATTATTAGCGTTAATAAAATTATTTAATATTAATAATAATTAAAATATAATTGTTGCATATTAATATTTACAACGCATATGCATGTATTGAATATGAAAATCATAAAATTGAATATAAAAATTATAAAAATGGTCACCCTCATTAGCGTCATTTTGTATCATTGCTAGAAGTTGTCAGCGCGGTCTCGAAATATTTCTTCCCGAATTGCAGGCAGTGCGTTACGTAAAAGATGAGAAAGCGAAGGGGCAAGACGGGAGAAATTCTAGCTTAGCGATAAGATCTGCCGCTGACACCTACTCCTGCCGCGCGGTTCACTCATCGGTGGCGTGACAAAGGCGATTGATCGTCTGTGCTTGTCTAACTTATTATCTCTTATAAGGAAGTGGAGTGAGCAAGAATCGTGCACGCAGAGAGAAGCCTGAGAGCAGGCATGGCTGCATTTACAGCGTTATGGAAAAATTGGCTGATACGAAGCGCCAACTGGGTCCATTTTTCATGGACATGAACTACTAAGCCAATGTCCACGATTTGTTGGTACTATTCCGTGCTATGTCCATAATTATTTGGTTCTGTTCTGTGCTATGTTCACGAGCGAGCTAGATTAGTTAGATAAAAACGAAGAATCGGTCTTTGTCTCACCACCAGCGAATAGACAATCGCGACGAAGCGAGCCAGCAGCGATGTTATCGTAAGGCGGACGTCGCCGTCTCCCCTTTCACCCCCTTGTTTTTCTTTCCACATTGTTTTATATTCATAATTCGGGAAGAAAATTTCGAGAGTTCGGACGATTTCTAGCAATGACGCGACAGAGATAACGCGCGGCCACATTAATTTGTCATGACTTTTATATTACTTCTAATTACATGAACGCCCATATATGCAAATTATAGATAATTATTGCGCGTATGTTTTAATATTGTACAATATGGTATATAATAACAACAACTTTATTTCTTGCAGTAATTTTTTTAAGATCGTTGAGGTCGTGAATTAATTTTTTTCTTCATCAATCAATTATCTGCAAAAATTAACATTTTTTAAATATAATATAAAATATTTCTCTTCTCTTCTCTCCGAAG